CCAAGCATGTAAGATTCAATTAAAATTTAAATACAATCATAGAGATCATCAAAGGATGCACAGAACATAGGCAAAGGGAGAGAGACATAATAGAACTTGCCTTTCGGATTCGGTTTGAAACCTTTCAACATCGTCTTCTTTCTAGGTTTTCCGACGACCTTAGTTGCCATTGAATCTCCTCTACTGCTCTTGGTTTAACCCCACGAGCAACTCAGTCCTTTATCCTTGGTCCAACCTTTAATCCATAACGAAAATCCTAACGAAACTCTCTCTCTCTCTTCCTCACAATACCCTCTCTGTTTCTCTATGTCTCTATATACGAATAGGGTTTTAAAAAAACCCCTTGCAAAATTATCACAGTATATTTATAGGCATAAATAAAACCTAAGTCTACTTATATTCAAAGATGGAATCCCAACTAAACCCTAGTCGGCCAACAATTTTGTTATACGATTTAAAACCCTAGAATTTATAATACACCTTAAATGACGGTAATATTATAATTTAATTAATAATAATTACTAATTATTAACCTAATTCACATATACATATATACCCATATATACATGTATATACTTCCATGGGTAAATACTATACCCATTTACACTATCCAAAAGTCTGTGAATCCTAACCAAGCCCAACCTTGTTTTAAAAATAAATAAATAAATAAAATAATGCATTTAATTAAACATTTCAAAGGCCTCTTAAGTATATAATTCAATTAAAACAAAGAATTCAATTAACCAATTAAACATTCCAACATAACAACTAATCATTTAAATCAAATAAAAAAAAATTAAACACAAAATCAAATAAAGGATAAAATAATTGAACCCATAATCAAATAATCACACAAAAAATGCCCTAAAAAATAATTTAAATTCCAATTTTATCCTTTTGAAAACTAGGGGTATTACAGCGCACAAGACCCGTGACCTCAGTCACAACAACCCATTGACTCTTCAAAAGAAAAAGATGCTTACATGGCAACACCTCTCTTTATGATTCTAAAGACTTAGCTGACCACAATTGCCTCAATTGGTGCACAATCCCATCACTTACCTGACAACACATAACAAACAACTCATAATCCCCAAACTACGTTCGGATCATACCTTAAATTGTTCTGCTTATCATCACCAATCATCACACCATAAAACCTTCACTGTCACTCATCCAAATTAAGAATTCAAACTTATCATTCCACCGGACGATTAAGCCACTACCAAACAATTCTTCTTCCAACATCCTTAACATAATACCATCATAACAATAGAATAAGCACCACTCTTGATACTCCCCACAACGACCACTATTTACCACTAGAAAAGAACCTCCATACGGTAATGCCATACCGACAAATCCTCAAAAAAAAAAATGAGCATAAAAACCAGAATACTCAACACCCAACTATCATTCACAACTATCAATGATACAATCAATCATTTCAAATCAACAGTCTATTACTTGAATCCTCAAACACTCAACACAATCACGTGATACTTTAAACATACCCGGAATACAACTTCAACCCACAACTTATAATTTCTAAAACACAACCTATTTGGTACACAATACCCATCATCTATCCCTCCATCCGTAATACGACCAAGCATACCATTGACCACATACTATCTACCTTATTGTGTAATCATGCACTACACAGCTACAATTGACCACTATATACCACATCGAGACTCTCTCGACAACCGACACAACCCATAACTCTACTCATCCACCGAGCTATAAAATCAACTCACCAAGAGTCAGTTAACCACAACACACTCCTTAGACTGTACCTGAACACCCGCAATACACATCTACAACCCATAGACTACACTCGTGACTCTAGCAACCTCTATCACACCCACCACAAACCGGTTCGAAGAGAACCCTTGTACCAAACTGCAACCTAAATTACAAACACTAACTTCTAAAAGTCATACATACCTCATAAAAACCTCACATCGTAGACCTAACCTCCACAATTACAGGAACTCATGCGCTAACACATAAAACTCATACATCTTACCCTGGACATCACACTGTACCATAGCAATCGTTCGAAGGTCGTGCCTCAAGCATTACGCCCTAAAAATAACTAGAAAACTAAAGTAACCATACACTGAATAGCTTGATCCACGAGTTAAAGACCTACGCCATTCGTTCGATAAGAACCGGTACCTAAACAATCTTGGAGTAACCGAACTCTTCCCCTACTCAGGTTAAAACTTACACAACCCTCAATGCCGTGACAAGTACTCTACCGTACTAGCAACCATCCACTTGTTCGACCGTATAAACATATATGAATATAGATATATACGTATACAAAATGAATGAAACCCACAATACTATACGAAACATGCTTGCATATATTAGGCTCATTACTTGTCACATTAGCATAAAAAAAAAATTGCACCAACCATGCATACTGCTTGCCACCGTCATGTATCACATACTTTCCACTTTATCATGTATAACATGCTTTCAAATACTTTCACATTTTATTTACATATAACGGCAATTTAAATACGTAAGCACTTAACAAATAGGCATGCCTTCAAAACTGTAAACATATAAACAAGTAGCAAGTAAACATGCTTTATAAAACAGCAAGTACATAAACACCAACACGTAATCAACGCAGGTCAACCTTCTACCCCTCTAGGCAAGCCATTACCCGTTGTCCTTAAGTTTTCGAACCTAAAGCTCTAATACCGAATTTGTAACGACCCGAACTCGAGGGTCCGAATTGCTAACCGGGTCCTTATCTGAACTCGAGGTCAACTAAGGGCACTATCGTCCTTTCCTATGTCGATACATAATAATAATAATAATAATAGTAATAATAATAATGGGATTATAGTTATAAAATATGTCAAAACAGTCTACTGACCCGTCAAAACCTGTGGAAGAGCGTTGTTCGTCACTTTCCTTCCGTATCCTGAAAAATGTTAATAATAAAATGGAGTGAGCATAAATTGAGTAGAAAGTATCTAAGACATACTTCTTATGACCCCGTGAATCCATGTATAGAATAGAAAATAAAAGAACGGGATCATATTATACTGGGGATGTATACCATAACCACAACATCCAATATAAAAACATTTGCCATCCAAGTCACAAACACGCCATGTACGCAATGAAGTGCAATGACATGCTCAAGTCACTCCTCACTTCCAAAACATTTTCGTTTCAACATCCAAACCGTTAGTGTAATCCGACCCAAGACACCTGTAAGGCGTCACAAGGAATGGGTGGGCTAGTTTTTCCCCAACCACATGGCACATCCATGCCGTCGTCTGGATAGCTCAACCACACCAGAGTCTCTCTTTAACCCCCTCTAGATCACATTAACACCACAGACCACTAGAAGCCTCCTAAGCCTCTGGGTTTTCACAAACACTTTCGAAAACGTTTCCTCAAAACAATTTTATTGGTTTTTAAAAAAATACTTTTCCTTTTTTTTTTTTTTTCTTTCCCAATGGATGCATAAATGCTTCATGCTTCACAATTTACCATAATTTTCACCTCATTAAACCTTAACAACTTTTCATAATAAAGAAAAAATTTCTCATAAATTTATAGCATACTTTAAGTTAACAAAATTTCTACAATTACGTAAATTAAACAAAGACATAATCATAAAAGCATACTTTCCATATCCAATCAACAAATCATACACACATATATTATTTACACATAACACACATAGAGATACACATCATATATCTAGTGCCATGGTAATTTTTCAAGAAAAATTTACAATAAATCCCATACATTCCATATATATCACGATTACATTATCAAGGGGAAGTCCTAACATTTATTTTCATAATTTCAACATCACTTTTCTTAACAATTAAAAATCATGGGGCATCTAAAATATCAATACTAAGTATGTATCTTCACCACCAAGTATATAATCATAATCATAGATTCAATTAACACATATAATACATTCACCACCTTAATTACATACAACCATAACAACATAGGCAAAATTACTAAAATCAAACATGCTTAGAATCAAATTAAAGGGGAAAATTCACAAAAGATCAAAGAAAATATGAATTAGAGCACTCTTACCTTAAAGGATGCAAGAATCCCAATTCCAAGCCTAATTTTCGAAAATTCTATGGTTGGCCAAAGATGAAATTGCTTACATCAACTTAAAGATCCTGCCGAGCTTTCCGTTTTGCCGCAAACGGCACCAAAAATCTCTCAAAAATGAGAGGGAAATCAAGGCCTTAAGGATGTAGATATAGAGAGATAGAGAGTTCTGGTAGTGAGAGAAAGCTTGGTCACAATTTTTTTTGGGAGAAAAATGATCAGCCAAAAGATGATATAACAATGTAATAAGTTAGTGTTTTGTGGGGCCCAGCAGAAAAAATAATAAAAAAAATAGAAATATTACACCTAAGTTGCACAATTTTTCTCAACAGGTATCGCTCTCACGCTCTGAGCGATCTCGGGTTCTGTGTTCCGCGCTCTTGCTCAATTCTTAGTATTTGTGATTTAATTTTGTCGTTTTCACGTTTTCACTCTCAGAATTTGCTCTCGCTCCCGCTTTATGTAACTTAGGTTTTGACAAAAAAAATAACGTCAAGGAACGTTGAGCTAACATGTAAAATTTTAGGAGAGGTCATTGTAATAAATCTTAAACACTCTCTTTGTGCAAGATTTGTCCAAACCTCAGTATAATTTACCCTAATTTTAATATCTACGTTAAGGGGCACCATTTTCTTAAATTTATATGAACAAATGAGATTGGGACCCTACTTTCGTAGAGAAACTATTCCCTGTTCAGTGAATGTCATGCAGTCCTTCTCCTCTACCGTTTATCACACTATCGTTCGGTAGGTCCATTTCCAACTTATCCAATCAAATCCTCCTATGCAGAAGTCCCACAGCTTCTTACCATAGACTGGAGTTCAGCAGATCATATGCCATTATAGCGGAGTTTGATAAAGCAGTGACAAAGGGCACTTCCATGGAAATCTATCCTCTTATCCGAAACCAAACAAGCAAACCAGTAGAAAGAAACCCATAGACTATGTGTAGTTTTGAAGCTCAAAAAGTGTAAAAACACACACTTTGCACTTCAAGAACACAACTTTGGCTATGGCCGGAGTACTCGGAACTTCTTCTGCAGCAATCTTGGCCCCTCGATCCCTTTCTTCTCCCACCTCCAAATCCCCCATTCACTCTCTCTCTCTAACTCCAGGTATATATATATCTCTCTGTCTAAATATATACATATTGTTAAGCTCGAATTATTGAATTGGGATACGAAATGAGAGGACCCAGATCATTTCTGGTGTTTCTTTGTCTAAATTTTAAGTTTTCTTTATGCTTTTGAGGTTATTGATGAAGATAAAGAGATGGGTTTTGGTTGAATTTGAAATTACAGGGCAGAAGAAGTTCTATGGAGGAATTGGAATTCCACTCAAGAGTGGGAGGTCTCAGTTCCGTGTTTCAATTACCAATGTTGCCACTGAGATCAGTCCTGCTCAAGAACAGGTATGGAGTTTCCTTATTTGTGTACCTTGTGATATAAAGTATAATGTTTTGATGTAATATCTCTATCTGATGCTTTTATTTTTTAGCTAGTAGCATATTGTGGCTAACTTGGTTGATGGGGTTTCATGGTACCCACAAAATTTGTGGATTAGTTTTTGTGAAATTTGAAATTATTGAAGTGCACTTTAGATGTTTGTTGAAAGATCTGTTTGATCGAATGTGTCTAATGTTTGTTAATGAATAAATACTTTTAATTTTTTAACTTCAGAATTAGATGAAAAAAATTATAGTTATCAAAGAAAGCATTACTTGGATTGGAATACAATATCATAACAAGATTTGGAGCAATGGATTCTGAATGTATGCAAATAAAGTTCGTGAAACCCTTGTAAATTTCAGGCCCGGAAGCTTGCTTCTAAGGAAAACCAGAGGCCAGTGTATCCATTTTCCGCTATCGTAGGACAAGATGAGATGAAACTGTGCCTTCTGCTAAATGTGATTGATCCCAAGATTGGGGGTGTCATGATTATGGGTGATAGGGGTACAGGGAAGTCCACAACTGTAAGGTCATTGGTAGATTTACTGCCGGAAATTAAGGTAGTTGCCAGTGATCCATTTAACTCTGATCCTGAAGATCCAGAATCCATGGGCGTGGAAGTCAGAGAGAAAATTATGAATGGTGAGGAACTGCAGGTTATGATGACCAAAATCAACATGGTTGACTTGCCATTGGGTGCTACAGAAGATAGAGTTTGTGGGACAATTGACATAGAAAAGGCCCTTACAGAGGGTGTCAAGGCATTTGAGCCTGGCCTTCTTGCCAAAGCCAATAGGGGAATTTTATATGTGGATGAAGTCAATCTTTTGGATGATCATTTGGTAGATGTTCTTTTGGATTCTGCTGCGTCGGGATGGAACACCGTGGAAAGAGAGGGAATTTCAATTTCACATCCAGCTCGATTTATTCTTATTGGCTCAGGAAATCCTGAGGAAGGGGAGCTAAGGCCACAGCTCCTCGATCGGTTTGGAATGCATGCACAAGTGGGGACTGTAAGGGATGCTGAGTTGAGAGTGAAGATTGTGGAGGAGAGAGGTCGGTTTGATAAAAATCCAAAGGAATTTAGGGATTCTTACGAGGCAGAGCAAGAAAAGCTCCAGCAGCAAATCTCTTCAGCTAGGAGCACTCTTTCTTCTGTTCAGATGGATCATGATCTGCGCGTGAAGATCTCCAAGGTTTGTTCGGAGCTGAATGTTGACGGGTTGAGAGGTGATATAGTGACAAATAGGGCAGCAAAAGCTTTGGCTGCTCTAAAAGGCAGGGATATGGTAACTGCAGAGGATATTGCAACTGTAATTCCCAACTGCTTGAGGCACCGTCTTCGGAAGGATCCCTTGGAATCTATTGACTCTGGTTTACTTGTCATTGAGAAATTTTATGAGGTGTTTAGCTGAAGGAGGTAAATATAATGGCATTTCTTTCTCTAATTTTTGTTGGACGATTGTTTTGTTTGACTTTTTCTCTAATAAATTTTGTTGGAATCCCATTTTCCCTTATCGTCTGAAACTGTAATAGATATGCAAATTTAGATGGAATCTTCGGGTTTACGTTCCCCATACTGTAATGCAATTTTTAAATTTTCGTGTCTCTAACGATGAATTCATTTAAAGCTTATGTGTGTCTTTCCTTTTACTATTACATCCTGTTACCGAGAAAGAAATATATGACAATCTCTCAGGATGCTTTTACCATCCAGTTACTGATCTTGCATGGACTCCTAGATGGTAATATATTTAGATGAGAATTTGCTCAGAGATGAAAACTACTTATCAATCAGATTATTCTACGGGAAAAATGGTCCGGGAAGTCAGCTTAGATTAATAAAATGTGAAAATTTGGTTCTGCACATACTTCTCCTGACCTTCAACAGTTTCTACAATTCTGGAGAGAAGCATTTGTAAGACGCTAAAGACCGTATTTACTAAAAGGATTAGCCCAGTGCTCAAGGCTCCCACCTTGCGGGGTCTTGGAGGGTCAGATTGCCTGACATGAGCTCAATGGAAATGCCCATGTATAGTACCTTTTTTACCCTTACCTTTTTCTTTTTCTTAGAATATGCTTCTTTGACATACTTTGGCACTTTTGGTGAATTGTTGTCATATACTCTTAAATCAAATGTTCAGTCAGTTCATATTCAAACATGTCCGTTGCCTATATTGAGCTTCTCAGTAATATACCTGTTTTTTTTCCTTAATAACTTCTTAAGCAAAAAGATAAAAACAAGAAAAGTGAAGTTCATGGCATAGTGTGTGACTTGCCCTTATTCATTATCTTTCTGTTCTTCCATGCATGTTAGCATCATTAAAACCAGACAATATGAAAATCGTTGACCTTGAATATTTTTCAGTGGTTGTTCTGAGAGTCGAACCTGAGCCCAGTGACACCAATACCTAAGTTTTTACTGTTAAATCAGAGAAAGACCCTCAATTGTTTGATTTTTTTTTATAGAGGAATTCATACAAGTGGAGTAATTCATACAGGTGCAACTCGAGCACCCAAAAGTTGTACAAAATAACTTTGGAAGTAAAATATTTTTCTTTTTTTAGGTAAAATATATCCGTAGTATATATATATATATATATATATATATATATATATATATATAATATTATAGTGTTTGGCTAAGATTTAGGTTAAGTTCATCTCGCGGATTATATAAAATAACTTACCTAAATTAATGGATAAATTATTTTATTAGGTTTTTAATTTTTTTTTTTTCGTAAATATTTTACGACAACTAATTAACCAAATATAAGAAAATTAAATATATATATATTTTCTGAAAAATATTTTACATCCCTGTTTGTTTATCATATTTTCTCGGATTACAAGTAATTATGACAAATTTTTTTTAAAAAAAAAAAATCTTACCAAGTTTTACCCATTGCTACATCTTTCTAAATTCAAATAGTTTTGTTTATCGTGACAAATAACTCACACAGTCACTTTATTTCTAAGGACCTGAACTATCAACCTTTTATTTCGAAAGATAAGAAAATACTACTGGATTACAAGTCTACAACCACTCTCGATGAAAAGTAAGGTTTCAAAGAGTATCGAAAGGGGGAGCAAAGCAAGACTCATCCTTGGATGTAGTCCCGATGCTTAAATGGATTCCAGTTGAACGTATCCAAGGGGGAGCCGCAGGGAGCCTGTGCGGCTCGCCCTTATTCCAGTTGAATGTATCCAAAGGGAGCCGCAGGGAGCCTTTGCGGCTCTCCCTTTCTTCCTTCAAAACATGAAAACAACCTCCTACGCTACTACCAAACATTGGCATTTTCAAAATCGCGGACTGACCACGTCTATTGGCAAAAACAGAAGTCCAAAAGGAGTGTACAACCTGCACAATTTACCTGTGCTGCGCAGGAAGCATGAAGTCTTTAAACAATGCTGCAATCAGAAAGATGCAACGATCCTGAGTACCAAAAATGGCAAAACAAGGGGCAAACCAAATGAGAAATTGGACCTAGTTTGGAGCTATGGAAGAATAGATCCACAATGAATTCCGAAATACAAGTTGAATATGAAGGCCCTTTCATAGTCGCCGGCCTAACTTTGTCTCGATGGCTTTAAATCTTAACTTCCGAACACCAGCTCAAGGTGAAGAGAGGAAAAAAGGGCACTCTGGTAGTCTTGATATTGTATCATTTCAAATTCTCAATGGCGGAAAGGTATCAATTTTCTGCTAATTTGTTGAGACGTCTTGGTAAATAAATTATCTTTTTTTCTAGTAAATATTTAAGTTTTCCAAAAGGCTTCTTATGGATCCCAACTTTTGTCATCTTTACTATATGCGACCTAGTGCTACAAATAAATGAAAGAGAAACATGAGAACAGGAAATGCATAAGTTCAAGAGATAACTAAAATTGATCTATTTCTCAGTTATGCCTGGAGGAAAGACTTATTGTCATTAAAAAGATAAATAGCAATAATAAAAGATGAGAAAAAAAAAAAACAAAAAAAACAAAAAGTTTCCATTTCATCAGGAAAAGAGCTATTCGCGCTGTAATAGTCTTTAAGCTAACTATGACCCCCAAAAATAAAAGAAAGAAAGAAAGAAAGAAATAAATAAATAAGAAGAAAAGAAACAACTTTAAGCTTCTTCAGGCAGATATAATTGTTAGATAGCTCTAACTATGGATTTGTGTCCTCATTCCTTTAAATGAGTAAAAAGTCATGAATTGAAATAATCTCATTATTAGCGTAATTATGTGCAACTGAAAATCAAGCTTCTGATCTTGGGAAAGAATCCTCCAAAAACAACCAAACAATCAAGAGCCATATAGAATACAAATTTGAACTCACTGAAGATGACTAATCTGCGAAAACCTCAAAAATGAAGCAACAAGTTTGCTCTAACAATTTACTCGCAGCCAAGATATTCTCAAAAGTCGAATCCAGTTGCCTCTACCCATCTCTCTCTCTCTCTCTCTCTCTCTCTCTCTCTCTCTCTCTATATATATATATATATATATATATATTTATTGCATTCTAAATAGTATGCAGAGGGTTTCACTTCGCATCACCCAACAAATTGCATAAAATGGTCCGAGTGCCTGAATTTACATTGATCATATATCTTGGAAACTACAGGTGCTGGTTGTAGTGGGTTTTATTGCAGAGGGAATAGGGCAGAATACTCACCAAATGAAGTTCCCATTAAATTTAAGGCATTATGTATCTTCCTCCACAATACTGGGAACCTTGAATTTGTGATTCTGCTCCAGGAAAACTGGTGGCCTTTGGTACACCACTGATGCTGCCCTAATCAAAATCCCAGCAGTAAGACCCCATATCAAATACTTCTTATTATCCGTTTCATAGTCAAAGAAATGCATCAGAAACTTGTTACCCATCCACTCTCTCTCCTCAGATCTCCTGTTTTCATCCTAGATCAAGACATATAAAAATGTGTATCTCAATTAATATTAAAACTCTAGATAATAAGAAACAAAGAAAGAAATGTAACTGAAGAGCAGAACCTTGATGAACATTTCCAAGGGAGCATCAAATACTGCGTCAACTTCAGCAGCATTTGGGACAGGCTTGAATGTTTTCTTATCAGGAAGTAAGCCTATCACAGGAATTACTCTAAGGAGATGCTGCACAAAAAGTTAAGATGTTACTAAAGCTGGAACTGGATCGAACACAGCTTGAAGTTTCAATTATACAAGAGCGCTTTAATGTTCTACATTTTGCATAGGTAAGGTGCCCAAAGAAAACCCTGAACTATGCCCAAATCAGCAATGCAATGCTGAAGAGTAAATGTGACCTATCACCTGCATGGCTTATATATTTTGCTTGTGTTGTAATCATTGGGCGAGAAGCAAATAAACAGTGAAACTACTGTTACATGGGTTATTCTAAATGCGTAAAGTACCTGTGCCAGACACAAAGAGTTTAATATGCCTGGTTGGACATGTACCCATCAAGCAATTTTGCATAATATATAAATTATATATAAAACTCCTTTTCTTGCTCCTTTTGTTACATGATCACTTCAAAATGAATGAGTGCCATCCTGAACAATATGTTACATAAAAACACCAGTTTGCCATATAAGTATTTAGTCATCTCAACGTGACCTCAAATTTCAAGATTAAATCTAGTGCTTAAAACATACCAACAGCTGTATGGGACTCATGTAACATACACTGAAATTGACAATTGAAATAGAAGATCACTGGTGCATAAAATGTAAAAGGAGTGGTGATCTTATTGATGTGGCTTTCTCAGTAAGTGTGATAAAGCCTTCAATTGACACTTATTTGCACTGAATTACCTTCCTAATAAATATTTGACCTCTATTTTATTGGCCTCAGATTCTTCTAAGCTATCATAATTAGCTCAGTCAATGAGTGAAAGGTTAATGATTAAGTTTCCAGAACCACATGGCCAAGTGTGCATCATCATGAAAGAAATTGAGGCAAGAAAAACATCATCTTATAGCTACGGAGGAAAGTCACAAATTTTTCTGAAGCAAATCGACCACACCTTGTTCTACCATGTGCTTTGGGTGGTCGAAATTTTAAGTTTCAAACTAGCCTGCTAAAACTTGGAATACCTTTAGGTGCCATAAAATGCATAAATTATGATCACATCAGTAATGGTTATGATAAGAATTGTAAAAGAAGCACCATTATCTACCTTAGACAAGAATGGTTCAAGAACAGTCACAACTTTCACGAGGGAAGGCTCCAATCCTATCTCCTCCTTTGCTTCCCTTGTTGCTGTATCAGCATCATCTGCATCTCCCTCATCTGCTTTCCCTCCTGGCAATGAAACTTCACCTGCAACCAGACACACCAATTTGTTGAGATCAACAAAACGCATCACACTGCAACAATTATAATCAACAAAAGACCCATTTGGTGAAAACTGAACAACACACCAAATAACCATCAACAAGAAAATTTTCACTTCCTCCAGTGAAAAAAAAAAAAACAGCCTTCGAAATCAACATAAATAAACCCACCTGGTAAATTGACCCAAACGAAGTAAAAAAATAATAATAATAAAAAATAAAAAGAAAAGAAAACACCTTTCGAAATCAACATAAATAAACCCACCTGGTAAATTGACCCAAACGAAGTAAGAAAACCACAAATATATCATAAACATAAGAGAAGACTCATCTTGTACAAATGACCAAGTCCCAACACAAACACTCAGATGCTAACCCATCCCATATAAATAAATAAGCACCAAAATCATGGAACATTGAAAATCAGTAATATCTTCCCACCATATTCAAGAACAAGAAACACCCACTAGCTAAAATCAACAAAACCCTCAAGCTTAATTGCCCAAAATCCCCACACATACACACCACATTCATCATTATCACCAAAGACACCCACTTTGTCAAGCATATATGTGTGTACATATATACATTCAAATACACAAATAACCCATCCCATATATATAAATAAGCACCAAAAATCATGCCAGATTGAAAATCAATAATATTTTCCCCACAATTTTCATGAACAAGAAACACCCACTAGCTAAAATCAACAAAGCCCTCTAGCTTAATTGCCCCAAATCCCCACAAACACACCACATCTATCATTAATATTATCCCCAAAGATATCCAATTGGTCATGCATACATAGATATATACATACATACATACATATTCACACAGAGTTTAAGGGCTATTGACCAGAGTGAGTAGAGAGCCTTGAGGAGCGCTTAGTGAGGATGACACGAAGATCACCATCATCCCCTTCAAAGAGGCAGATCAGAACCGCGGCTCGCTTGGGTCTGAACCTTTCGGGTTGGTGAACAATTGGTGTTGCCGATTCAGCAAAACCCACCTGGGAAACAACCTTCCCTTCACTCTCTTCGATTCTTTGCTCTTCGATGTCTGTGTCATCGAATGTCGGAGGGGGTTTATAGAGACAGAGTTGTCGAGCCAAGGCCAAAAGTCGCTGTGATCCTCCGAAAGAGTCAGAGTTGGTATTTGAATTCATGACGAGTTTAGAGAGAGAATTTGGAAATGATGGTGATGACGACGATGTGTTTGATGCTATGAATAACGATACCCTTTTCAGTACTGAGAACATATTCTGGTTTTTTCATCAAATACTATTTTGGGAGTCAATTTCAAACAAAATCTGCATTAAACGTGTATGTTTAGCTTATGTGAGCCGCCCCAATTTGTATGACTCAGGCAGATCTTACTACTCCTGCCATGTTTTAGCTGATGTAAGACATGTGGTTTTTTTTTTTTTTTAATTTTTTTTTTTTTATATATATTATAATTTATATAATGTGAATATACAAGACATGAGTCTGTGGGGGCGTAATAGTAATAGGTCAAAAGTCCAAACAACCCCCTAAAACTATTACAAATCAGCATTTTATCCTATTGGATTATAAAAATGAACAAATCAATACCATAACTATTCAAATTATACAAATTAACCCTTGAAATGCAATTCCGGCCACTTTCTGGCTGACCTTATTGTAGATTTACAAAACTATCCATCGTATTTAAGAAAAAAAATACGAAAATAAATAATAAGTGTGAATTACTCTCATGTGATATACACTCAGTTTTTCCACGCATATACTCATGACCCAGACGACAGTAAATCACCAGGACAAGGAGAAAGGACTGAAACACTTTAACAAACAGTGAGACTGAAAAGTGAAAGGGCATGCTGTTCATAAAGTTATGCTGAAGCAATGATAAGAGGAAAATGACAACTAAAATCTAGAAAATTAACCATGAATGGAAAAAACAACGGAAGTCATCAAAAATGAGTATACAATTCAATCTCCAGTTAAAACCCAAATCTGGAAAACTCTTTACTGATAAACAATAACCATGATTGGATCATCTAAATCTCCAATAATAAGGCAACACGTGAATTTTCAAAGATTAAGCTTCCACTAGTTGTATTTCTACAATCAAACAACCAACTAAATCAAAATCATCAAATACTAGCTTGTGATTTACATGCATACAGAATCATTGAGGTTTAATAATCAAAACAAAAACCCTAAATTGAAGTTCAATTATTGATCAAAACCACAAATTGAAAAATTGAACACTCTTGAAAGATCGAAGTCGAACCGAAGCAAAACATAAACAAAACAATTCCATTAAAATTCAGATAAAGTTTTCAATCCAATCTGTACCTGAAATACGCGAAGTTTTTATCAACTATGCTCCGGTACTAATAGTTTTGGAGTATTATCCATAATTGCTGCTGTCTCTCTCTCTCTCTCTACAAGCTCAAATAAATCTTCCTCTTTCCTTCACACACACACACGTGTGTGTGTGTGTGTGTATATATTATCATATATATATATAATACAGAAAAACACACACACACACACATATATATGTATATCTTATCTTAAACTTTGTTCTTCAAATTTGTCTGAGTGTTTGGTGCAAAGGTGGAGCAGATTAGAGGCTAGATGGAAGAATGAAAATGAACAAATGGGTTCATTTACAGGAAAGAGGTTACAACGGTAATTCTTCAGGGCAATTTCAGAATTAAAAGAAAAGGACAGTCAAATGTTAACCTTGTGGGCCGGAAAGAGGCCGGAATTGAGTTTCAGGGGTTAATTTGCACGATTTGTGATAGTTGTGGTACTAACTTATTCATTTTTGTAGTCCAAAGGGAGTAAAATGCTGATTTGTGATAATTCAGGAGGGTTGTTTACACTCTTGCCTAATGTAATAGTACTAGTAATATCAATAATAATACCTAACAAAAATCTCACATACTTTGCTCATAAAAAATAAATAAATAGATAAATAAAGCACTAAATTACAACTCTTTGACTACTCAACTCAGATTATTAAAATTATTTGAATTTATAATTAACTTCTTATCTTTAACAATTTTAATTTCAAGTTAAAATTTACAATTAACTAAATGAGTCAAACAAGTTAAGTTCAAACTATGCAAATTATGTCAGAACCAAACTCAAACTTTCTGTATAATGAGGTCAAGTCAAATCGTCAGTTGAAAGTTTCAATAATATTCTTATAATTTGAAGTCTACCCTCAAACTTAAGAATTTTTATATAAATTATTAATGCTTTTCTTACCCAAAAAATGTTGTTATTGATTAATTAATTTATTATTTAGTGAATTTTTCAAAATGATCTGAGAGGTTTAAGTTTAAATCATGAAACGGGATCTCCTCCCATGTCACATGATGTTCTATGCCAACGTAACAATTTTGTATTGTTCAGACGTAATGTATTGTATACTGCACAATATACCAACGCAAGATATGATGTAGAACGCATTTGATGATCGTAATTCTTAAATAGGCATGGATCTACAGTGGGCTCAGTGGGGGTAGATACTGAAATTTTTTGTTATTGCATTTTACATTTCTAAATTTGTACTTTTTTGCATTTATGCCCATACAATTTTGAAATTGCCCCCACTGAAATTATAAAAAAATCCCTCTATATAAATGAGACGTTTCCGATTTTCGGTATTTTTCATTTTTTCAGAATTTCGTCGAAGTAAGGGTATTTATGTCTTTTCACGTTTTGTGTATGGGATTGTGGTTGGGTCCAATTGCATTTGGTGCATTTTAATTTATATGATGGTGTGACATTTAAATAGTAATGCATTTTATATGGTGTAAAATTTCAAGTAAAAAATAAAGAGAAAAGAAATAAAAATTCATGGGGCCCACTCTCCCCGCTGGTTCTCTCCCTCACCTCTTGTTTTGCTTTTTCATTTTCTTTTCACATTCAATCTTTGATGCAAGATTACTTCTTCATTATTTGCCGGATTGAGGTGCCGTTTGAGGTAAAACGAAGAGCACGACGAACTCTACGCGTGTGTACCAGAAATTCCAGCTTTGAGCCTCCTTAGGGACTTCGAAAATTTGAACCCATTTTAAAGGTTTTGTTCAAAATCATGGTAGGGGCCCTTAATCCATGAAATCTTGTACTTTAGTGAGTTAATTCCCTCTATTTGTTGATTAATTTGATTAATTATTTGATACCTAGAGAATTGTTGATATGTATGCATATATGTTGATTAAATGACTGTGTGTTAATTGTTCTATACGAAGAGCATATGTAAGATTCTTGTTGTTTGAGAGCATGTTATTAATTTCCTTAGAAATTCTTGTGAACTATGCTTTGTTAATTAAACTTGGCCAATTGTGAAATGATGAGCATGGGTATGGCATTGATACATCTATGCACTAGCATTGGGCATAAATGGGAGAAATTGTTTTGAAATGAAAAATGGGACTTTGGGAAAGAAGTTTTGATCAAATGGTTTTGATTAAACCCGGTCGCTGTGGAGTCACCAACGGCCGGGTAGGTTAATGTAACCTAGAGGGAACTAGAGAGATTGTCTTAGCGTGATTGAGCTATCTGGGGCCCACGATGACGCCGCGGAGTCACCAATGGTCTAGGGACAGTAGCCAATCCTTCTCTCGGCGCTGAGGGGGTACCAAAGGGGGTTATATTAACAGTTTGAAAAGTGATGGTTTCGAATGTTGAAAATGGGGAATGACATCGGCGTGCATTGCATTCCATGGCATTACATTGATTGTATTTGAATTTGGTTAGCATGTTGTATTGTCCCGACATTATATGATCCCTATTCCCATTATCCTATGTTTGTTTTGGATTCACAGGGATACAAGAGACGTGTTTTAAGTGCTACCTACTCACCCTATTATAATTATCATTTTTTCAAGACATGGAAAAGGAGTAGCTGACGGTAATCCACCTCAGCCTTAGCTTGGAGTAGAGAAATGTCTCTTTTGTTATCTTTTGTAAATGGACCTAATTTTTGTAAAGTACTAACTCAAGATGTATTATTTTTGCAACGTGTGGTGTATTGAGGTTCATTTTGTATATGGTTATTGGGAAATTGTAATTAAGTTTTACTCACTCTTTTGTGTATTTTAAGTAACGTGTGGCAAATTACGTTACAACGTGGGTGGTTGGTATTGTATGAAATGTTTAAATGTATTTAAAATTGTACGTGAGTGTAGTGGCGTGGATGGTTGATCCCAAAAAGTAGTATATTTTATTTTTCTTTGAACAGTGGTAAAATGAGTGAGGATAACCCAAACCGGTCGAAGTAAAATCCCATACGTCGACCGAGTTACGTGAACCAGTCGACGTGTAGCTTCCCACGTCGACCAGTATTTTGCCAGTAGCTATCTCTCGGTGCACGCCCTCAAACCCGTAGATGTGTAGCCTCCCACACGTCGACCGGTATCTCGGCAGTGGGCACCATCACTGTTCATAACCCAAACCAGTCGACATCTAACGTATATACGTCGACCAGTTTATGTCCCATATATGAACTTTATTTAGTTTCCAAAATTACATTTTGGCATCCAATTTATGTTACAAGCATTTATTTTATGACCCAATAAAATACAATAATTACATTTTAACTACTGAAAAGACCACATTGCCCCGGACCTTATTTTATTTATTATGTGATACAAGTAAAGGACTATTATACCCTTTGAGTTTCAAATTAGTGAATTGTGGCAAATTACCATCTTGTCTTTTTTAGACCTTGATTATTAAATTTAACGTAAAATGACCGTATTATCCTCGGAAGTTTTTGGGTCGGGTAAAGACCCGTTTAATGATCTGGATTCAGTGGATCTGGGTCGTTACAATAAATTTGCCTCCTCTCATATGAATTTCTAGATCGCCCCTATTCTTAAATCATATCTCCACTGATGCCAACATCAACATGGCAAGTGATTCATTAACAGGGGTCTTGTAGTTTTTGCGATTTTAGTATGTGTGCCACTTGACTTATTTTGTCATTTGGCGACACTAATTAAGCTAGTTCATAGCATCAGGTATCAATGGCTTCTCTTCAAACTTTCAAAGTAGTGAAAGCCATACCAAGTGAGTCTGTAAGTTATTTGTAATGAGAGAGAGAGAGAGAAAAAAAATAAAAATAAAAAAAATTCGTATTTGAAAGTTGACAGAGGCATTAACGGTTTTTGGTCTTGGAGCTATCGATCCCTTTTCCATTTATTTAGTATGGTTCGGTTTTGGTTAGATTCCTGTGCATTGAAAAAGCATCTTATTAAAATTTTCGATTTTATTACTTTAATTTGTAAAAATATAACAAGATTATATCGTAGTAGAGTTTGAATATTCAACCCTTTTTGAAGAGGTGAAAGATATAGCGCTAATTTTTACCGGTTTACTGTAAAGCTTATTGGCTTATGACCTGAACCCTAAGCCATTAGGACAAGGTTGGAGACTGGTGCTATAAAGGGCGGCTTTGATGAATTTTAGGAGGGAATACAAAGGGGAAGACAAGCTTCGGCACAACGGTAAAGTTGCTCAATTGTAATATTGAGATCACTGGACAGATTCTCCGAATGTATAGGTAAGGCTCCGAATGTATATGTAAGGCTGCATACGTGTAACCCTTGCTAGATACAGAGGGGCTTGAATTGGGTTCGGCCACGGTTTGATTTAAAGTTCTCAGAAATATCAAAACAGGATGCTCTACAGGGATTCATTTTCTGTAAAGCTGGTGAGAGATGAAAGCACATATGCCATTGCATTTCCAGAATGAAGAAAAGGTGGAGAGACAACAGCTCCATCTAAGAAACTGTTTGTATGTCAGTGTCTATAAATAACAGAAGATGATGCATTTAAAAGCAATCTAAGCAATTACGCAAAAGATTCAATATCATTTTGAATTTCAGAACAAAACAATCTTAAAGGCTAAAGAGGATGTGGTGCTCTTTTCCTACAGGGCAGTCTGCACAGAGCAAGTTGGTACAGTAGCATATTTTGTTCGCAAAATGTTAATACAAAGCCAATAGACCATTATAATAACCCTAAAAATCAAACTCTTATAAGAAATGTTAGCAGTAAAAACAAATTAGAATGACAGCCTGACAAATTAGAGAAACAAAGAAATCATATTTGTGCAAGCAATAAAATAGCTAACTTAACCGGAAAAATTGTGTTTTGTATTTACATTATATATCAAGACATTTTCTCCAAAATATACATAACCAGAAGTGGAAAACACAAAACAATAACATACAGAAAGCCCCAAATCAGTCTCTCCTTTTATTTTGTAATGCATGGCAAACCATATCTACTACTCCCACACCACTCAAAACAACCACATAACTAAAGAATATCTGTCATCACTTGTCTTCCAAATAAATGACTAAAAAGGGATTTCCCTTCAGATTCATATAATTTTGTTTGGTACTAAGGCATCACCTGTTCTTTTTTAGAGTTTGCTTCTTCAGCTTCATTGTTCCCTTCTTGTGGAGTTGATTTCTCAGCTGCTGCATACAACTTCTTTCGGGCCTTTGAAGTTCCCTTCCCGTTAGGCGAAATGGATTTAACTGAAACTGGTGCTTTGAATATAAGCTTACTCATGTTTTTACCAGCCTTGCTAGCCTGCCGACTAGGTGTTTTCTTTGGGCTTGACTGAAGAAGGGCTCGGCTTTCCCATGGCCGAGCAGCGATCCAGCGTTCCATCCAGCTCCAACCCCAATTATCTTTGCCAAGTTCATAAGAACTTGGCCCTAGGTTTGGATTAGAGTTCGCCCTCCACTGCAAAATATTAGGGTTTCCATAGTCATTTTCAATTTAAATAAGCAAGCAGAACTGATGACAATAAGCCTTTCTGCTACTAACAAACCTGATGAGAAAAAGCATACGCCATCGCTCGCTCCCTCTTAACTGCCGCTTCTTCTCTTTGATGAATCCTTCCAAGAATTTCTTCCATTGTTTCAGACCCATTGCACCACTCTACCTGTCAGGCATCCAATCTATTAGAGAGAGAGAGAGAGAGAGAGAGAGAGAGAGAGAGAAGGGGGGGCAGGCAGCATTTAAACAGGCCCATGCATCAAGTGGAGTAATCCAAAAACAAAGTAGAAGAATCAATAGCGCAAATGAATTTCTCAAGCATCAGGTGAATTAACATTTTTGGCTTCATGATCCATTTTTGGCTTTTAGGCTTATAGGTCCACAAACTTTCCCAGCTCCAACGAAGAACAAAATATATCCAACTCAGCAAATTTCAGAACTACAGCTAGACTCCAGAATCTTGAATTTGCTATGCTAAGAATGGCATGTATAGAAAGCATAATAAAACCATAAAAGGAAGTTCGTTGACAGTTTTGCAAATGCTATCAGGATAAAAACATTCATGAAAAAGAAATATAGGAATCAATCAAAAACAAGTACCTGTAACACTAACCACACTCACCCAAATAAAGATCATTCATCCTATAGAGAATTTGCAGTTAACTGGAGTATAGAAAATACAGAATCTATAGTTGAAAAATCCCATAACAAATACCACTGGGAGACAGAGGCATAAAAAGAGATTGTCAACCCAAAATTTGGAGATGCTATCTCCACCAACACATTAGAGAGCACTGGGGATAAAACCTCGCTGAGGAGTGAGGCAATGATTCAGAACCCCTAAGCTAGTCAAGGTCTAATAGATACTCTACAATGCCTACTATGATAGATACTAAAGCCAAAGCTGTCAAGTCATAAACTTCATGCACCATAAGATAAATGTCTCTTGAATTACTAAGAATATTTCTTCTTTTTTTGGGAAGGTAAATTACTAAGAATTTCCTGGGACCATTAGAACAAAGAATTTTAACAATAAATAAGGCTTTCATCTCAGGTGAAGAGTTCTTAATGTATTTCTCATGTGGCAACTGATTATCCATTTGACATTTTATCATCAAAACCTTACCTCAAAAGGTAATACTTCAGGCCCAGTATACCATTGCAGGTGGAGCATTTGGATGAGGAGAAATGGCATACATTTTCAGGCATATTAAATAATGATGCAGATCGAGTGTGGGAGACACTCCTTTATAAGCAATGATACCAAAAATAGACGTAGGACTCAGGTACTTCACAAATTCTTTTAGACGTCCAAGCAAGAATACAAACTTCCTTTTCTCCCTGCAATTCCCTTCATATCAACTTATCTTAAAGACCCTTCAGGAAAACAGTCAAAGAAACTGCTATGTGCATCAAAACTGAAAGTTCTTTCTTGGAATTATTTAGAAACTACTTTTGAATAAACATGACTCATATATTTATCATGAACCAGTAGACAACAAATTGAACAAAATTTCATTAAGCGTATAATGTCATATAAGAAACCAATAAAAGCAATAACAGATGAGGAAACAACCTTCAACTTCCAGGAAATGTGAACAGAATACTGCAATTGACATCATATGAGAGCATAGCCTGTCTTACCTCCAGGTCATGAAGCTTTGCCTCAAGCTTTAATTGATTCTCCAATTTCTTCTGCCTAATCCGGCCTTCTGTTACCATACAGAGTCGGCGAGCTCTAATCTGAGCTTGTATTCTGCTCCATGAATGGAGATAGCTCAATGTGGTTGAAGCTTGTTTTGTAGTAGAATACCGTTGGGTCAAGATTTGCAATCTTACCATCCCTTTCAAATGACGATGAGTTTTCCTTGCCTGCAATAAGAGAAAAAATAAATAAGTTTAGAAATTCACATATAAATTAGTAAGACATGAAACAAAAACAGTATGACACCACCAAGAAAATTGAATAGCACTAATTGGAGTAACTAAGCCTGTTCTAAATCAGTTCTTTATTGAACACAAGAAAATAGTATATAAGGTCATTCAAGACATCATTCAAACACCTGTAAATGCCTTACATTGCTCCTCTATGAGTGTGAAAGTATGCTATGTCTAACATAATCATCAAGGAAAATAGAGTGGCTGCCTGATTTTTATTCAGATTAGAAAATCCGCATTGCTTTAAGACTCTAAAATAGTTTATTTTTATTTCCCTACAAGTAGAAAGTAATTGATCAATTTCATCAATGTTCACAAAAATTTAAATCCCAAACATGGTTTACAAAGAACAGTTATTGCTCTTCCTTTCAGATCTCGAGGATATAATTGAATACGGCCTGCAATGAGGATACAATTCTTGTCAAGATTTTGCTGTTGCTAATCCTATGTACTTAATGTGCCCTGAACAAGGGAAAAAGGCATGTTTACATCCTAACCAGATTTCCACCTCCTCAAGCTCATAAGTGAGGTAATCATAACATGTGGCATCCTAGAATGATCCCCATTAGGAACCATAGCTTTTGCTATTTAATGCTTACTAAATGCATATAGACCCTAGGAATATAGACAATGACACTCTTTACTTATCCCAGTTACTTGATTAATGCTACAAAACTGCCGATCCATTTCATTACCCAGGACACCAATCTTCTTTTATATCACATTATCTAGATCTTGAAATCTCTCGAGTCTCCTTCCAAAATCAATAACTCTACCCTTGCAGTTCTAGCATTGCAACATGAACAATTATATCTTAGTATATTGGTGCAGAATGCTAATCGTATGGGATGTCGGCTCATCCTCCTCCTCTTTCCTCGAATTTTCATTTAATACTACTAGTCTACCACTGAAACCATTAGATGTGATATGAACTGTAGGTGCATGAAACTGCAACTCTGTCAACACACAGAGAGCTGAAAGCATTCTTGGGTAGTTTATCCAAGCTCCATCAACACAGAGAGCTGAAAGCATTCATGGGTAGTTTACCCAAGCTAGTCCACCAAAAAATTAAAGATTGTCAAACAATAATGCTATAAAGATCACTCATATTTCCTACTGTTAATTCACATATGGTTCAACCATAATATTTTCATGAATAGTCGTACCAATTTTTCATATAAAGTAGAAGTTTCTGATTACATGAATTATGTCTCAAGAATACAGTACATAAAAATTGTGCCTATATACGTTTGTTGCGTGCAGGCAAGTTTGAGAGTGTGTGGATAATTTTAGTGATCAGTAGATTCAATACCTATTTAGAAACTACCCACCCAAACTTATCCCGTCACAAGAATGCAATACCAAGTATACTTGTTGTGGTGAAGGCAAGTCTGAAAGTGTGTAGATAGTTTTAGTAAGCAGTACCTCCTCCCTAGAACCTGCTCCCCCCTCTCACCGCCCCCACCCCCAAACAACCCCCCCCCCCCCCCCCCCTCTTCTTCAACAAAAGAAATTTTTTTTTAAAAAAAAGAAAACGTCTCCAGAAATGTAAATCAAATTTAAAAGTCACATCATAACAGGTGTCTTTTCCTCTAAATCTCTGACCCCACCAATCTCTTGCAAATGCCATGTCAACATTTTACTATTGTCCTACAGCTGCTATAGCACATAATAGCGGGAAATACATACATGAAAAGTTGCATCATTATAAACAATTCGATCTTAATTAATAAATATAACAGTAGTTTGTAAGTTGTAATATGACATACCATATATGCTCGGAATGCAGTCTGAATCTGAGTCGCAGCTACGTCCTCAACTGGCATACTAAGAACTCTAGGATTTCCATTAGAAGCACCATCATTGGCAAAATTAGTAAGGACTGTAGGATTTCCAGTAGAAGCACCATTGGCAAAATTGGTAGACTCTTCCTCAGAGAGGTTTTTCCATTTGATACCATTTGACTTTGCAGATGCTGAAGTTCCCTGTCTTGTAGTGAAGACAGAGATTAGGAAAAGAATTCATGCACTAAACTGAGATGCAAAAAAATTTGAATTATCATATAACTTTTTTTTTTGATAAGTAAATTTTATTGAAAAAACCGCTCAAAAGGGGAGCGAAACCCAAGGACAAAACAAGGCCAAAAACACCTCAAGCCTTCAAAGAGGCCAAGAAAACAACCAACTCCTCAACAGATCTAAAATCTCTCCCTGAAAATTATGAGGGTTAAGTGTCTTGTTTTCATGAAGTCTTGGATTCAATTAGCACAGAAGTCCACATTTAAACAACTATATATTCTATAAGCTTTATGTGTTAAAGAGGGCACAACTTATTTTCACACTCCTCACATGTGGCCTTTCATGAATCAATCATCTGCATGAACAAATGGTATACAAACAGGAAGTTGATGAGATTTTAACAACAGTTACTTTCTTTTCCCAAAGATTTCTCTTAGGGCCACCAAAGGGCTGGATCAGGATCTGTCATTGACCCAAAGTCTACCTGATTAGGGTCCGATTATCATACCAGTTAAGGTATGTCAGTTTGAATCCAAATCCGGTTTGGTAAAATGCACTCTAGTTGGATCAAACTCAAATATATGTAAATCTGATCCAATCAAGATCTGGGTCCAACTAAATTTAACAATACATATTATGAGGATGATTTAATAGTTTCTTAACATATTATTTAATCTAACAAAAGTTGATATGTAAAACATTATTCATTTCAAACTCAAATGACAAATCAAATCCGAAATTTTAGATATATTCTTTTTTAAAGTCAAAATCAGTTTGTATTATGCATGATCAGTCAGATTTGGATTCTAACTCGACTCTTGGTGTGAATAGTCAAATTTTAATTTGTATCTTGCTATATCTGCACTGAATCCAACCTCTTGACAGCCCTACTATACTGTCCCAATGATACATGTAATCACGCTCTTCACTAGTAAGCCAGTTTTTGGATGTTAATCATAATTCTCACCATGAAAAACTTCTTTAAGACTCCTAAATAAAGTGTACTTTCTACTACTCACACAATAAAGTTTTTATGGTTCAGTAACGATTGCTCATTCATTTTTGTTTTCCCAATTCAATGCTAACTTTTAATTCTACTGATCTTATACAAATATCCTTCATAAAAGATGATAATTTCTCATTTAACTACTTCATAGTTCATACCAGAGCCTTTATGGTAAAAATAAGAATATAAAAAATGTGTCATGATATGCCAAACCAAGCTATGGAATAAAGATATAAGAACCAAAAACGGCAAAAAAGAATATTAACATTGTGTATGTCTATGCATGTGAGTGTACAAGGGAAAAGAAGAACACCGTAATGAAATGAGAACTCAAAAGCAAAAAATAAGTGAAAATTGACGGTTTTATCATCTTTATTGAAATGAAATATTTAATTAATTTTAAGATCGTGACAATAACAATAAGCTTATAGAATAAAAAGGAAATTTGGGAAATAAAACCACAGAAAAGAGCCAGTAAGAAGAAAAGGGGGAAAAACAAGGGAAGGAATGCACATGTACAATAGAGCAATCAAACACATAGGGCTTAAGTACTTGCTATTTAGCCATCCACAATAAGTACCATGGCTTGGTTTAAAATAAATTATGTGTTCACCGGGTCACATACCTTTAATAGCCTTGATCTGCCAACCTTCACTTTCTTTAAGCTAATTACATTCTTAAACCAATCTCCAGAGCCCATTCTTGATGTTAAGTGTCTGTTTTTAACTTAAAATAATCCTGCAAGAATTTTGTGTAGTAGATATGATCAGCATCAGCAATATGCAGTTGTTATCGAGGCTGACATTCAATCATGCTCCCTCCAGTTTTCAAACTTGAACCACACAACATTTGAAGCGGAGGCTAACAACAAAAACGTATAATCCACTAGAATGTGATTTCCAATCAAACAACTAGAATGATAAGTTTCACAATTCAATGATCAAGAAGGCAATATGACCATTTACCACAAAATGTATCACAACTGACAAACATAATTAAATATATGTGTGTATATAAATATGTGTGTGTATGCAAAGAAAGAGAGAGCACTATTCTCTTCAAACTAGGTCCCTGTTGAGAAGTTCTGTTTTTGTGACCCTTTCAGTTTCTCTTCCCTTCTTAACATTTTATTACAAGTAGTCAAATCTTTTTCTTCTTCTTTTTTATAAAAAAAATAATAAAATACAGTAAATGAATCATTAAAATTAAATTTATGAAAAACTCATTAATTTCCCGCAACATGTTTGCTTTTGAGAATTCTGCTCTGAACAACAGGGACCACAGAAGTGGCTGTTCCACTTGTAATTGGGATTTGATTGACATGAATTCTTACTAATTAGTTAGGCAATGGTAGAGATCAATAGCTTCACTTAGAAGCAGACCTAAGAGTGGTAGTTCATGTACATTACAGTAAGTTGCTTATCAAAATACTATATACAAGACAAAAAGGTGACGTTGAGAATCACAAAACAGATTGGTAATAAAAATCATAAATTTCAGCAACACTTTGGGTTAGTTAGTGGCCATTCCTTGGGGCAATGGTAAAATCTCAAGCAACCAAGTGCAAGGATGCAAGTTCAAATAAATTTCATGTACTCAATAAAAACAGTGAGCTTCAGTTTGCACCCAGATTACTGAAACTGGGACACTCTCATTATGCTCAAGTACTCGACTGTCATCCTTTAAAAACCACTCGTTGTGCCGGATCAAAAATTGCTCACACTCCAGAATTAAAATTTTAACTTTCAACTAGTTGAGACAAATTGATGATTTTACAAAATAAAATTCAAATTTTGAAAAGAATAAAATGGTGAATCCCACACTTAATCCAAAATAACTATTCCACATCCAGAGTAAGATAGCAACAATTAACAATATAAAGAATGCATTTGGATATCCCTGATATCTAAATCAGGAAATAGTCCTTCTACATATCTTGTGAGCACAAAAATAGATATTGTAACATCGAAACAAATAAATGGGTTGACTTGAAATTTGAATGCAATGAAAAAACCAATACTGCTATGTGAAATATAACGTCCTTGTTCAATTCCAGAGACATTTGTGTGTGATGACACAATTACAAGGTTTTTCAGTTTCTAACAAAACAGATCAAATCGATATACCAGAAGAAAATCAATGCAGTACTTGTTCTGTCATCAGATTATAAAATATAAAATTGCTGAACTTTAAACCAACCAACATGTTGCAGTCACATCTAATCATCACATGAACACACAAAGAAAATGAGGAACAAAAATTACCCAAACAGTCCATTCCCCAAAAGAATCAAGAAGTGAAGAAATCTATTTGGATGTAGCATTAACTACAAAAACAATTTCCAACCATTAGAAATGTAGAAGTAAAAATAAATTATACAGAACCCACCATATTAACACCACAAATATCACAGGAGAGAACACAATCTCAAACTAAATCAGTCTAAAATCAATGAGATTTGCTACAAAATCAACACCCAGGTCCCTCTCCTCCTCCTCAAACAAGCATTGAAGTGAAGAAATCAATTTGGATACAGCATTAACCAAAAAAAACAATTTCCAACCATTAGACAAGTACAAGTAAAGATAAATTCAACTAAATTATACAGTACCCACCATATTAAACACCACAAATATCACTGGAGAAAACACAATCTCAAATCAAACCAGTCTAAAATCAATGAGATGTGCTAAAAACCAACACCCAGGTCCATTTCTACCCTCAATCAACCAATGAGTAACCCAGAGAAGTCATGAGACATAAAAAATTGAAATAAGCAAAACACAAATCAAAGAAAACAAGCATTGGATCAGAATAATGTACCAAAGAGAAGAACCAGCAAATGGGTATTGTAAAGAACCTCTTCTGGAAAATGGGTATTTCCAAAATTTGAAGAAGAAAGTAGTGGTGGTGTACATGTAGCAGGAGTGAAAGAGAAGAAATACTTCAAGAAGGTAAGAGAGAGAGAGAATAAAAAGGTAGGTGTGAATATTTGCCATGGCCCCATCACCAGCCTCTTTACTCAAAACTCAAAAGTAGATAAACAAATTGTTTCATAAAAAAATATTTTTTCTGTGTCTTTTGTCCCCCTCTCTCCTCAATCAATGGGCTGAACCGACGCTCCAACTCATACTAAGCATTGTAGATTATTGAACAAATAAGGCGTATAGCGACAGGAGAACCATCTATGACAATGTTTGATTGTGATGGCCTCCGTCTTCTGTATTGAAAAATTATTATATTCTATACATTAATATATGTATAGATTAAGTTAGAATGATGATACTGATTGCTTTAATAATGTTGCTGATAGGAATAAAAGAAAAAATCATTGGGTTTGTTGGGTTTTGCTTTGGGATTAGAACTAAATCTGTTATTAATTAGTCAAAAATAGATATGGTCCCGGCGGGGCTCGAACCCGCGACCTTCGGCTCATAAGACCAACGCTCTAACCAACTGAGCTACGGGACCTGGACGCCCTTTGCTTTCCGTACATTTTTAACTGAATGGAAGCTTTCTTTTATTCTTTTCTCTTCCCTTCTGTAGTATCAGGGCTTGGTAAAGAATTTCTTTTTAATTTTTTTAAAATCTTATTCTAAGTTCCTAAATCAGCAAAAAAAGTTGTTTACAGAATAAGCCTTTTTAATATTGTTTACCATATTAGCCAAAAATTTCGTTGAATTTTGAAAAAAGAAAAAAGAAAAAATGTAAATTATGAAAAATCCTAGAAGATATTTGAATTTTTTTTAAAAACATTTGTTTTGTTTTGTTTTTTCTTTTTCTTTTCTTTTTTTTTAAAAAAAAAAAATCTGTACAACAGGAGTTTTTTTTTTATAAAAAAAATGGTTTCAATCGCATTTATGAAAGATACAAGATTTCCGAGCACATAGATGTCATTGACTACTTTTTATTTGTAAATACAAAAATTAAATTTTGGGTTAAAACAAAATAAAAATCTCACTGTAGTATATTTCTTTGTCGTGTAACTAATTGACTTCACTTGCAACTGAATTCTCATCTTACATTACCAATTTTCTCACATCAACACCTTAATTCTGTGCACTTCCCTCCAAACAAGACCAAATATTTAGTTCAGTTTAAAAAAACCATTTTTTTTTTTTTTTTTGGAAACTGAAAAGTATTTTCTAAGTATTTTTCAAAAAAATTCTACTACTCAAAATATGTCTTTTTTAACTCAGTTTATAGAAAACTATTAAAGAAATAAATTTCAACAAATTAAAAGAAAAATGCCCATTGTTTTTCGGAATTAATGAATAAACGAACATATTATCAACAATTATAATGATGACCAGCTGTAAGATTGTGAAATAACATTTGAATTATTTTGGCCAGAAATGATTTACTATAGTTTCAAACCTTTTTAGTTTTGTACTTTCATTCTTTTTCATGCATTTTACTGTAATGCAGCAGTATGCTTTTTTTACTTTCAGAAGAAAAAGTTGGAATTTATGTAACTTTACAGAAACCCTTTTATGAAAAATAATAATAAAAAATGAAAAATGTTATATGCATGATATCAATCATTTGATCAAACCATGCATGGAAAATGCAAATCCTAGAATAGATGGCCCCAACTCCAAATTCTAAAGATGTGTAATCAACTTGTATCTTTTCTATCTTTTAAATTGAAAAGTTGGAGATTCAAGTCCACAAAGGCACAGTGAGTGTAAATTTTTTTTTTTTTTTTTTTTCAAATTTTCTTTTTTTAAAAAAAATCTGAAGACAAGAAGTGATGGGTTTTCAGTTTTCACAATGAATGAGTACCCTATACAAGAAGCGATGAGATTTTTTACTGACATCATGTCTGAGACTAAAATTGCAAGAACACCATGTTCAGAAAGATAGAATCATATCCAAAAACCCTTTTTTTTTTTTTTTTTTTTTTCGTCCGGTAAATTATCCAAAACCCAATTTCAGAGTAAGCAATCTTAGTGAAAAATAATAATAAAAAATACTAAATTGTCTATTGTGTATAGTTTGATAAATGGCAGTTTCATCACAAAACTATGCTTGGTCTGTAAAAGTGATCCAGAAGATAATATGGTGAGATGATTAATGAAGCTTCAAGCATGTGATTTAATCTCATTTATTGAATTTAATAAATTCCTTTGGAATTACATGTATTGCCACATCTTATTGTAGTAGTATGAGAATTGCAAGTCTAAGACCATCCAAGCACAGTGACAAGAACATATAGCAGCAGTAGAGAAATGGGGTAAAGAAGATATGCCACAAAACTTGTCCAGAGTGGAAATTTGGTGCAGAAACTAGCAAAGACACCCATCAGTGTGCAGATTACTAGAACTACCAGAACTTCAGCCGAGACGTCCCACGACAGATCGCGAATATAAACAAGTGCTAAAAACATGGCTAACCCCATCATGTTGTTCATGAACACCCCTCCATAAATCTGGGGAAAAAAAAAAGAAAAAAAAATTGAAGTGTCAAAAGGCTAATCTCTGTTCATATAAATAGATATTAAACATACCGCCAAAATAAGTGACATTGATGAGGAAAAAAAAAAAAAAAAAAGAATAAAAATCATTAATAGATTAATTGAAATTGTTCTTATTGTACTTCTTGTGTACAATTCAGACTCAATATTAGTAGCTAATTTTCAGCTTTGTTACTGCCTTATCCTGTGAATCATGTTAAAGGGGAAACCGAACATCCTATGAAATGGACTATCTTTGTTTCCTTGTGTCTTGCATTGCATTTGAAATGCATTTGTTGTCGCGAATGGAGTCATTGCAGCAATCACAAAATTAAAAAGACTAGTAATCTTAACAACTTCAATGAACAATGTACTATCTTAAAAGGCCATATAGGTACTAAATAAAAATAAAAGAGAGAAACAAACCTCAGACAATGTTAAGGAAATTGCTTTTTGTGTCTTCTGTCTGGCAGATTTAATTGTTCCCATTGCCATTCTATAGTTCATAGCCAAGGGTATCACAACATAGGAGACATAAAATGAAGAGATATTTGCAGAAGTAGAAAAATCTGATACGGTTTCTATGAGGGGTTGTGCAAGGAGGAGTAGTATAGCAGTTCCGAAAAGCAATTGGAATGCAGCCTGAAAATAAGTCCACCAAGAAATGCTAGCACTCGGAGTAGTGTCCTCCTTCTGAGCCACCAACCCCTGCCCTTCTTCCCCAGTATTCTGCATAGACTTAAAGAAGTTATGAAGTTAATTGTGCTATGTAATGACATTGATTTTCTAATGAGTTAATCAACTTACCTTACTAGTTTTACTAGGAAGTTTAAAATGGTTATGGTTTTCAGTGTCAAGAGATTGCTTGGCATCAGATATGTATTTTGAAATTCCTTTCACAAACTCTGCCTCTTCAATACGAGCATCGCCAGAGGAATCAAATGCTTCCATGACCTTTTCGAGAGTGTTGTCCGTATTCAATCCAACCTTATTTTGTAACTGTATTCCTAAGATTAGCACTCTCAGTTCTGCTGTTGATATGTATGCATTATTATTCTTGTCGATTTCATGAAATATCCTGTAATTATATGAAGAAAAGGTGCAAGTTATTAGAGTTGACTAGTACCAAATCTGATTTGGCAGAGGCATGGATAATCGAAACAGAAAACAAAGAAAATTAAGTTCATTTCATCACTGAATCATTGCTATAAATTGTAAGACACCATAGTAATGCTTTTCGGAAAAAAAGAGAGTACGAAATGTGAAAATAAAAGTAAGAAAACCAACTCTTTTATAAGTGCTACATTAGGATTGCCATGACTAGAGAGGAGTTTTAGTAACTTGTCCTTCACATATTTGCGCATCAAATACTCAAATTTCCTGTTCTGAATCCATGGCTGGAATACCTGCACAAATATTTTAGATATGAAAGGGTCAGTCACATGGATTCTTTTTTCATTTTTTATTTATTTAAATAATGTTTGGAAACATTTCTGAGTCAATGTTGATTTAATAGAAAAAAATAGACAAATGATTGCAAGGGTAATGTATATACTCCAAGAACCATTTGTATTAGTCATGTATACCATGCTTGCTTTTTTCTACCTAATAAGCATCTATATACAACATTAATGTTCCTATATTCCTCGAGGCATCAATTTTTCAGCTTGAAAAAAAAAAAAAACACACACACACACACACGCAGTGACACACCATGAATGCATCTCATTCAGGAGACCTGCACATTTGTGCTCCTGTATATCAAATTACCTGGTAGAAGCAGTAAACAAATAGGAAAGCAAGCGTAACAATAAGCGTAACAAGTACTGTGACTCGTGTCCCGGAAGATGAATTCAGGATTTTTGGTAGTTGGAGAATGAGAAACGGAACCATGGATATCATCATGACTTTAGCTGTTTTGCTAGTATCAGCATCAGTCTTAACACCCAAACCTGCAAATAGAGAAGACCAAACTATCAATATATAATTGTATGAGTGATGTGATCCTATAGCAGTCAAGAAGATGAGGGAAACAGAAGGAAAAAAAAAAACCCGTTAGACTAAATGGTTTCTTTTGTTCTGTATTTGATGAAGTTGAAGTCTTCGAGATATCGAAGCTGCCAAAAGCAACGCAAGAGCCCCAGACTAGTGTCAATTGCATGACTGCTGCTCCTGCAAGCATGCTCATTCCCATAGCAGCCTGTTCTGCAACACTTTCATAGCTTGCAGAAAGTCCAGACACTGAAAAGGAATAAAGCCTATATCAGATATATATGTCATGAACAACATCCATAATCAAACTTTTTTAACATGTATCTGAATGCAATTAAGATCAATAATCTGAATCAATGATGATTTAAGATTTTTCTATCCAGATTCAACTTGAAATTTGAAAAATGTTGTATAGAACAAAAAAATTGAGTTCAATATGGAGAGTTACACCTCTACTGGCACAAGGGTCGTCTTCTGTTGTTCCACGCCGGATTGGGTCGAGGACAGTGAGCTTATAAGGGCAGAGAGGTAGCACCACCTAGAAGCTTAAGCTTTTAAATTAAATGTTAAGAATTCAATCCGTTACAAATGATATCAAAACAGGCCTAGTTTACGAATGGTGTCGGGTTGATACCGAGTCTCTCCATTAAGGATGGACAAGTAGACAGGGTACCCAACCATGACACTTTCATTGCAAGTAAAGGAGAATGTCACAAAAGTCTCATCTCATGTTGGACCGAGTTAAGGAGAGCCTTGTGCTTTAAGTAGACAACACAACCTAATAAAGTAAATTTTTGGGCATCAACTATATTACAAATTCCCAAACTTTTAGAAGTTGGGCTTCATTTAACTTGGGCTAATGGGCTGAGACGGCTTTAGCCGTCTCTTGGGGACCACAGCTTTTGGACCCTTACTCGGGTCTTGTACATTTTACACTAGTCTATTGGCTCTAAATGATTGCTAAAGGCTCTGTTTGATTCTTGGAAATAATGAGGAAACAAAGTGGAAAGGCTCTTATTGATTCTGGCCCAACAATTTACTTGTTAAACTTTGGAACGAGTTCAAAGTTTGAGATTCGAATCTCGCTGAGTGTTCTTTGTAACTGACCTCTGCTGTTAGTGACTTACCCAACTCGGGTGAGGAGAAACCCTTCTTGATTCTCAGAGATTAATCGAATTGTTGAGGGGTCCAAAGATTCGTGTTTTTCCGAACATGTCGGATTAACTAAATAAATAAATATAAAAGTGGAAAGGCAAATAAAAACAATAAATAAATAAAGAATTGGGATTCTTTAGTATTAAAAAATCTGCCACTTTATTCCATATAATTTCTTCTTTCCTACGTTTCTTTTTTCTCCCGCTATCTTTATGAGGCAGACTTTGAGCATTTCAAAGCCTTGACCAAAAATAAAAAAAAACTTAACATAGCATGAAAAATAGAAAACAAAAATGCTAGCTAGAATCACGGATATAGCTACCAGTCTTGTTAAGCACTTCATTCCTAAGCAAAACAACTATAGGTATGAAGAAAAAAAATGTGGTCTACATCATTCAGATATATATCAAATTGCTAAGTGATTTGTCATTTGTCAATGGCAATATTAGCCAATACTATTGAAAGAAGATAGATAATACCGAAGTAACCAATAGGAATACTATATTTTTATCACACTCTTTTCCTTGAAAAACCAAAAGGGTTAAAATAAAAATTAAAAATTAAATCATAAAACTTTATACTTTTAAAACTTTGCATAAAACCTCCCATAGAATTAAAAAACTTTATGAACTAAAAAGAAGTTATGAAGTTGTTCTGATATCCATGAACAATCCTTCGCTAACTTGGTTGTGAAATAACAAAATTCACCGTTTATGTAATGTTAAATTAAAATGCTGAAAATAATTATTTCAACATTACAAAAATAATAAGGACCATTAAATAGTGTTAAATTACAAAATTATTATTTAATGTTAAATTACAAAGTTAACTTTTTATAGTTCAGGGGTTTTTTAATTAATTCTACTGGGGGTTTATGCATAATTTTGAAATTACACGGAAGTTTTGTGATTTTAACCTCAAATATATATATATATATATATATATATATATATATAAAATAAATAAAAAGTAAGACCAAAGTTTGAAGTTCATCTTTTCTCATATGGGGTAATAAGCATACAAGTCCTTTCTGAGTGAGATATGAACACAGTAGTACATAACTATCATATATATGATTCAGAAATCACAAGTCAAATGCACGTGTTCTATGTATGTTATACAAGGTCTGTTATACATCCACATTCAGTTGTACATACTGTTTATATGTGGAAATTAATTGTTGAAGAAAGACGGCGGCCGGGCAAATACACCAGAGATGAAGGTAATTACGAGAAGTTCTGTTTTTTATTCTAACTTTACAGAATTAAGCTTAGCGTAATTGTATAACCTCTCTTTTCTAAAAAGCAATATGAATGCTTACCGGACTAAAAAAAATTACTTGGTGCAAAATTTCGAAGTACAAAAAACTCAACAAAATGATTAGAGAGCCAAAAATAATAATAATAAAAAATAAAAAAGAAAAGCATACCTAGCATTAATACCACAACTGGGATTGTGCCGAGTACTTGGAATAAACTAGCACCAAAAATACCAGGTCCTATGATCTTGAAGAAGAGCTCTGATCCAGCTGCAACATATTGATCACCAAGGGACAACAAATACTCATACACCACAATCAGAAACAGCTGTCCCCATATCTCTGTTGTGCATGGCAAGAATCCGTAAGTCGGCTCACAAGTCACTGTTGATTTCAACTCAACAATGGGAGTTGATTGCCTTGCATGGCCGCCTATACAATCAGATACCAAACTCATTTTCTCGGTTACCAAACGGCGGCTATAACCCAAATGAGTACTCATCACGAGGAGGAGAAAAAAGACAACTAATGTGGCTCTTATCATCTTCACAGAATCCCTTCTTGGTGCAGAAATGGCCGGTGAGGATATATATGAGAAGATGAAGATGAAGATGAAGAAATGGCGCGTGCTGTCAATTTAAACAAAGTTATATGGATTAAGAGGCAGCAACTTGTAAGTGGAGGACTTGTGATTTTCTTCATTGTTATTTGATGACTTGGTGCACACTATTGAGAATTTGAACATTCGTTCTTAATTAATATATAGGATACTATATATTCAACATTGTTGTTAGATAAAAGGAAGTTGATTACACGCCTTCGTAAGTTTAGTTTCTAAGAAAATGACCTCTCAAAAGTTTCAATTGCGAATTATTTTGGCTATCCTTATAAAAGTCAAATGATGTATTCAATTAGTTGGGGTCAAGTCAAAATTAAGACTGTTAGATAGGATTCGATGAGAGGATCTGGATCATCATAATGATAATAATCAATGGGATGTTATAGAAGGAATTATGCACTTGGCAATTTCGACACTTTCGAGTTTAAGAGCTGTCAGAGAGCACTAAAAGTTGCATATAGTGGCTACAAATGATATTGGATTCAATAAGTGATATCAGGTGTATATGAGTGACATAATTATGGACTAATTTATTTTAAATGAGAATGAGCAATGGAGCTAGTTGCTCAAAATCTATAGCAGCCTGAATTGGGCAACAAAAGGTCATTCATGAGCGGGTTGGTGGTACTAGCAAGTAACAATGTGGAGTAGTCTCTAAACAGTGATACCCACCGTCTACTAAGTCAAGTTATTTGAATTTATCCAAAAAATAAAATAATAAAAATAAAAATAAAATAAAATAAATTATTCAAGAAATTGTAACTTAACTAATTATATTCTCAAACACGTGTGTGTGACTAAATTTCAGCGCAACAAGTTTATCGATTATGATTATCTGAGTAACAGTGGTCTTGGATACAAACTAGGACAACATACAAGTGTACAGCAAGGCCCAATTTAAGGAAGGGCCAAGCCAGGCCTATGCCCATGCGAATGGCCCAAGCCCATATCTTAAAGCGACCGTTAGTGAAAAAGGGAAATATAAAACAGCAATTTAACCTATGCCCTATATATATTGTACTCAAGAATTGCAATATTAATATCAAAATTACAGTATACAATTGCAAACATTCCCAATTTGCTAAAATATGTTGATAAATACACGTGTTTCAAAAGAACAATTAACTTGATCAAATCATAATCCAACTTATACTAACGGCAACAATTTTGAAGTCGGAAAGGCGCACAACTACAATTTCTAAGATCCAGTGGAGAGAGAACTCCTTAGAGATATGGAACATGCTAGAAATGTCTCGAAAGCTTCCTTCGTAACTACGAGCTTGAGAAATGGCAGTTTCATTACAAAACAATGCTTGATCTGTCAAAATGATGCAGAAGATATGGTGGAATGAAGCCCGCCACAAGTTTGTGAATATAAGCTCATTTATTGAATTTATTTTCTTTGGAGTTACATTTATTGCCCCATCTTATTGTAGTAGTATGAGCATTGGAAGTCTAAGACCATCCAAGCACAGTGACAAGAACATATAGCAGCAGTAGAGAAATGGGGTAAAGAAGAAATGCCACAAAACTTGTCCAGAGTGGAAATTTGGTGCAGAAACTAACAAAGACACCCATCAGTGTGCAGATTACTAGAATTACCAGAACTTCAGCTGAGACGTCCCATGACAGATCCCGAATATAAACAAGTAATAAAAACATGGCTAATCCCATCATGTTGTTCATGAACACCCCTCCATAAATCTGGAAAAAGAAAAGTACATATTGAAGTGTCAAAAAGCAATAAATCTGTCATCTTATAAATAGCATTTGGAATGCATTTGTTGTCGCGAATGGAGTCATTGCACGAAATGATTTAACAAATCACTGGTAATCTTAACAACTTCAATGAAAACTCATCTAAATTTTCTGAAACGAAACAATGTACTTTCTTAAAAGGCCATATAGGTACTAATTTATATGAATATTCAATTTCAAAGATGTCATGCAAGCACAGACAAGTATTTCATATTGTTGACACCATGTATGCAAGTTTCATCCGAAGACTTGAATAAAAATAAAAAGGGAGAAACACACCTTAGACAATGTTAAGGAAATTGCATTTTGAGTCTTCTGTCTGGCAGATTTAATTGTTCCCATTGCCATTCTATAGTTCATAGCCAAGGGTATCACAACATAGGAGACATAAAATGAAGAGATATTTGCAGAAGTAGCAAAATCTGCTACGGTTTCAATGAGGGGTTGTGCAAGGAGGAGTAGTATAGCAGTTCCGAAAAGCAACTGGAATGCAGCCTCAAAATGAGTCCACCAAGAAACGCTAGCACTCGGAGTAGTGTCCTCCTTCTGAGCCACCAACCCCTGCCCTTCTTCCCCAGTATTCTGCATATGGACTTAAAGAAGTTATGAAGCTAATTGTGCTATGCAATGACATTGATTATCTAATGAGTTAATCAACTTACCTTGCTAGTTTTACGATTATGGTTTTTAGTGTCAAGAGACTGCTTGGCATCAGATATGTATTTTGAAATTCCTCTCACAAACTCTGCCTCTTCAATACGAGCATCGCCAGAGGAATCAAATTCTTCCATGACCTTTTCGAGAGTGTTGTCTGTATTCAATCCAACTTGATTTTGTAACTGTATTCCTAAGATTAGCCCTCTCAGTTCTGCTCTTGATATGTATGCATTATTATCCTTGTCGATTTCATGAAATATCCTGTAAATTATATAAAGAAAAGGTGCAAGTTATTATAGTTGACTAGTACCAAATCTGATTTGGCAGAGGCATGGATAACCAAAACAGAAAATTAAGTTCATTTCATCACTGAATCATTGCTAGAAATTGTAGGATACCCTAGTAATGCTTTTCGGAAGAAGAAAAAAAAAAACGAAATGTGAAAATGGAAGTTAAAAAACTTACTCTTTTATAAGTGCTACATTGGGTTTGCCACGACTAGAGAGGATTTTTAGCAACTTGTTCTTCACATATTTGAGCATCAAATACTCAAATTGCCTGTTCTGAATCCATGGCTGAAATACCTGCACAAAAATTTTAGACATGAAAGGGTCAGTCACATGGATTCATTTTTCAGATTTTTTTTTTTCTCTCCCTTTATAGTTTTTGGAAACATTTCTGAGTCAATTATGATTTAATATACAAAATTAGATAAATGATTGCAAGGGTGTTATTCTCCAAGAACCATTAATTTGTACTGTATTAATGATCATGATTCATGCATTTATAATAGATTTATACCATGCTTGCTTTTTTCCATGCATGCAATCACTATGTAGCCTAATAAATATCTTTATACAACATTGATGTGATGTCTGTATATTCTTCCAGCTTTTCTTCAGAGTATGAACTTTTTAGGTACCAAATAGATTTTCTAATTAAACTTGCTTATTCAATTTCCTCGAGGCATCAATTTATCAGCTTGAAAACACACACACACACACACACAAAATGTAGGCATCTCATTCAAGAGACAAATTTGTGCTCCTGGATTTCGAATTACCTGATAGAAGCAGTAAACAAATAGGAGAGCAAGCGTAACAATAAGCGTAACAAGTACTGTGATTCGTGTCCCGGAAGATGAATTCAGAATTTTTGATAGTTGGAGAATGAGAAATGGAACCATGGTTATAATTATGAGTTTTGCTGTTTTGCTAGTATCAGCATCAGTTTTAACACCCAAACCTGCAAATAGAGAACATCAAACTATCACAATATATATATAATTGTATCAGTAATGTGATCCTTTAACAGTCAAGAAGATGAGGGAAACAGAAAAAAAAACCAGTTAGACTAAATGGTTTCTTTTGTTCTGTATTTGATGAAGTTGAGGTCTCCGAAATATCGAAGCTGCCAAAAGCAACACAAGAGCCCCATACTAGTGTCAATTGCATGACTGCTGCTCCTGCAAGTAAGCTCATTCTCATAGCAGCCTGTTCTTGAACACTTTCATAGCTTGCTGAAACTCCAGATACTGAAAAGGAACAAAGTTTGAATGAGATATTTAATGACCCACATCCATAATCAAAGTTGTTAATATGTATCTGAATGCGATTAAGATCAATAATCTGACTCGATGATTTAAGATTTTTCAATCCGGATTCAACTTGAAATTTGAAAAATGTTGTAATCGAGTCCCTCGGTTAAGGTGGACAAGTAAGCGGGTGCCCCAACCACGACACTTTTGTCGCAAGCTCTGAAAAAAGGAGAAAGGTCACAAGAGTCTTATCCCACGTTTGAGCTAGGAAGTCTCATAACTCCAGGCTTAAAAGGGTAGGTAAGACTTAAGAGTAGTGTAGTGATAGTTACACTTGCAATGAGTGGCTTGACGGAAGATTTGCAGTGAATAGTTTAATTGAATTATTTTTTATTAGTTATTTATACTAAATACAAGTAAATGAAGGATCCCTCCCTTATTTGTTATATAAATTATTAATTAAAATAATAAATCTAACATTTTAATACAATTATTCGGTATAAGAATTATTTTTTAAGTTGGTAAACATCACCACCTAATATGGTAAACTTTTGCGTTTGAATGGCACACGTCCAAACATGCTATATCAACCACAGTATTAACAAATTCCCAAGCTTTTGAAGTAAATGGGCTGAGCCTACCTTAGCTTTCTCTTGAAACCCTAATGGGCCACACCTTATGGACCCTTAATCGGGTCTTGTACATTTACACTAATAAGTAATAATCTATAAATTCAATTTACCTTTGGAAAATGAAAAAGGGAAGAGAAAAAATTAAAAATTAAAAGAAAGAAAGAAAGAATTGGGATTCCTTACTATTATAAAATATGCCATTTTATTCCATATGATATATTTTTTCATGCTTCTTTTTTCGAGAAATATTTTAATGTTTCGGTATTACTAATTAATTAAATAATCACACGTGATGATATGATTCACCCTTCGTCACCATTGTCTGCGACCTGTTATTCTTCTCTGCCGGTTGTCTGTTGAAGCCTTGCTCACCAGTAGGTCCAGTCTATGCTCACCGCCGGACGGCAGGCGAAAAAAAAAAAAAAAATTGCTCTGCATCAGCAACAGTATCTTCGTCAACATGTTTTAAACTTTTGAACGAACCCATATGCCAACAACACCGCCTCTTGTTCATCTCCGGCTTGAACTTCACCGGTCCGCAAAACAAACCGCTGTCGTCTAACTCGCGCCTCTCGAGCCCACACTCCTGCGAGTAGATCTAACTCTCGTAGAACGCGCCCACGCGTTCCTTCTTTAGCAACGTATTTCCGGTGCTGTTAATCTGAAGAAGCCAACACACTGCAACTCCACCGACCTCTTCGTTGATTACCTCTGATCAGTCCTTGGTTGCACCTACAGTACGCCGATGAAGCTGGAGAGAGAGAGAGAGAGAGAGGAGGGGGGAAGAAAACCCAAAAGATGGAGGGGAGAGGTCAGAGAGAGAGGAGAGACGGGAAGATGATTGAATGGATTGCGACGCTAACTAAGATTCTGCCTAACAAATTGACCAAATCCATGGACGTAAAATCCCTTTTTCTATTTTCCCGTGTTTCTCGTGTATACTTTGAGCATTTCAAAGTCTCGACCTAAAATTTAAAATACTTAACGTAGCATGAAAATAAGAAACAAAAATTCAAGCTACAATCACATCACCTGATATAGTTACGGATGGCTACGGATTTGAAATGAAGTTGACTAAATTCTATTTTGCCCCGTTGAGAAATCATTCATATATATCGACGGGTTTTTAATTCATATATCATTTTTGCCAGGACAAGACGGAGAATCAACTCCGCCCGGCTTCCTCCTTTTAGTTTAATACAATAAAAGTTTAGTTTAATATAATAAATTAAATTATAGAAAATAAATGGAGGTGAGTAACTTATTAATAAAATCAGAAGTGAAATTTATAGCACAAAATAAAAATCAATACCTAACTAAGAGATGCAAAAATATAAAACAATGAACAAATAAACACTTTTAACATAAATAAATAAAAAAATACATATATATATATATATATATATATATATATATATATATATATATATAACCGAGTTCAGTGGCAAGGCGGGTTAAACAAACACTAAATCTGCACCCACCCAAACCCAAAATGAATTTTAATTTTTATTACCATAGTCGCCCATACTCTATTTAAGATCCTACCAAATTCGTCTTAGTAGGGACATGCAATGTGTGACGAAAACCTCCTGAAGTGGAGGAAATTGCCACCCCTAGATATAGCTATTATTCTTGTTGCACAACTTCACTCCCAGGGCAAAGCAAAGCAACCACGTTTGAAAAAACATGTAGGTAACCCAATAATACGGATACGATTTAAAATTTTAATACTCCCTTCACTCCATATTAATTGTCTAGAATAATGAATGACCCAACGGATAAACCGAAGAGAAACCGAAACCACATGCAAGAATCCAATGCAAGCCACTAATTACATGTGGTTCCTTGGGATCTTAATTCTGAACTTTTGTCATCTCACTATATATCTTGAACCTAGTCAATTTGTCATTTGTGAATGGGCAATATTAGCCAATAGATTTCGAAGAAGATAGAGAATACCTAATCTTCACTACTTGTGGATGTCATCAATAGGAATGCTATATTTTTATCATACTCTTCGCTTTGAAAAATAAAAAATAAAAAATTATTTAAAAAATAAAAATAAAAAGTAAGACCAGAGTTTGAAGTTCATCTTTTCTCATATGGTAATAAGCATACAAGTCCTTTCTGAATGAACATGAACACAGTACTATACATAACTATCATATTATTAACAAATCACAAGTCAAATGCATGTGTTCTATTGATGTTGTACAATGTCTATTATACATGCACATTCAGTTTTACATAATGTTTATATGTGGATATTAATTGTTGAAGTGTATATTAATTATTGTTGAATATATATATATATTAATTATTGTTGAAAAAAGAAGGCCCGCCAACACAACACACCCGAGATGAAGGTTAAGCTTAATGTAATAGTATAATCTCTCTTCCCCAAAGGGCATTGAACATGTATGTGAATACTTACCAAACTAATAAAAATTACTTGGTGCAAAATTTCGAAGTATAAAAAATTCAACAAAATGATGAGAGAGCCAAAAAATAATAATAATAATAAAAAAAAAAAAAAAAAAAGAAAAGAAAAGCATACCTAGCATTAGTACAACAACTGGGATTGTGCCGAGGACTTGGAATAAACTAGCACCAAAGATACCAGGTCCTATGATCTTGAAGAATAGCTCTGATCCAGCTGCAACATATTGATCTCCCAGGAACAACAAATACTCATACACCACAATCAGAAACAGCTGTCCCCATATCTCTGTTGTGCATGGCAAGAATCCGTAAGTCGGCTCGCAAGTCACTGTTGATTTCAACTCAACAATGGGAGTTGATTGCCTTGCGTGGCCGCCTATACCATCAGATACCAAACTCGTTTTCTCGCTTACCAAACGGCTATAACCCAAATGAGTACTCGTAATTACCAGGAGGAGAAAAAAGACAACTAATGTGGCTCTTATCATCTTCACAGAATCCCTTCTTGTTGCAAAAATGGCCGGTGAGTCAATTTAAACAAAGTTGGATGGATTAAGAGGCAGCAACTTGCAAGTGGAGGACTTGTGATTTGAAGACTAGGTATTACTTTGTCCATGTTATGATTTTTCTCCATCTCTAAAAGCACAAATAACACGTAATATGTATGTATAATATTGAGAACTGAACATTCTTCTTAATAGGATACTATTCAACGTTGTTGTAAGCTAAAGGAAGTTGATTACAGGCCTTCATAAGTTTAATTTCTAAGAAAATGACCTGTCAGAAATTTCAATTGCGAAATATTATGTTTGTCCATATATAATAATAGTCAAATGATTGCCCGCACGGCTACATACTCTACTGGTTCACCAGCTGAACAAAGGATCTAAGACTAAGAGGTTTTGTGTTCGACTTTCTGTGAGGCAGCGAATTCAGACTTACCCTATTAGATGTGACTTGCCTTGTATTTATCTACTTCATCAAAAAAAAAAAAAAAAAAAAAAAAGAAAAAAAAGAAAGAAAAGAGTAATGATAAAGTGCACAAAACCTTTTTGAACCAGTGTCCTTTTACAAATAACTTTTTCGAATTAAAAATTATCTCTAAACTGTTGATTCGTTGTAGTTAAGACAAACCATTTTATCTTTTCTCATTAAATTTGTCATTTCTTATTAAATTATTTTTATTATCTTTTTTCTTATCTAAATATTAATTATACAATTTATCTTAATTTTATTATTAATATCAATTTATTATAAAAATTAAAAAAAAAAATTGTAAATACTATATTCTAAAATGATTAACTTATTATTAAAATTTTATTATTTATAATAAAACTTATATTATACACAGTTTAAACTTTTTTATCATAGAAAAATGCCTTCTTTTTCATATAATATATGGATGAAAAATCAATAAACTACTTAAATAAAAAAAATACTTTCTTTTTCAATAATCTACAATAGGCCAAGTTCTTTGAAAAAAATAGGCATTAAAGCCATCTGGCCCAAGAGCGACCTTTCCTTTTATTGAGAGATAAGACGCATCTTTCAATCTCGGAGTTGTGAGAAATTGAGCAAGTAGCTCCAAATCTTTAGCAGCCTCAATTGGCCGACAAAAAGGTCATTCATGCGAGATGGGGTTGTTGGTTCCGTGCTGGTAACAATGTGAAGAAGTAGTCTCTATCGGTTTTTCACTATCTATTAAGCTAAACTATTCGAGTGTAACTTAACTAATTACGTTCTCAAACACACACTATTTTACATGTGATTAAATTTCAACGCTACAAGTTTTATCAATTATGATAATATAAGTCAATCAAAATCTTTTTATCCTCTAACAAACAACTAAGACTATCAATTTTCATCATGAGGACACAATTCTAGTCATACTTGCAATATCGTCAAGATTTTTCTTTTATTTTAAAGTTTTAATTAGTTGTTAAAGAAATTTACATATCGGATTCAAAAGTTATGAAATTGGTTTATACTAATGTGAGAGAGTCTGTTTGGGGTTGGTGTTGGAATAGAAAAAAAAGCTTTTATTAATAGAGCTGTCGATACAAAACATGTGAGGTGTTTGTTGATATATTATAATAAGTATTTTTCACTATTAAATTATTTTTTTATTTATTTGGTAACAATTTTTTTTTACAATGATATTCTTTAATATGATGTTACCATATTTGATAATATCAACTTTATTAAGGAATGGGTGTAATTGTCAGTATAAAAAATAAAATGAATAAAATTGTCTAATGAAAAATAATTACCAAAAATATTTAACCTCTATTTAGAACGCAATTTTATAAGCCCCAAATTCTAACTTCATTCAAACGTTCTAAACTAAATTTGGTAACCATTTAAAGCACTTAAAACGGTTATCAAACACATCTAAACACAATTTTTCAAAATAAAAGTACTCTTAAACGGTATAGAAGCAATCCCAAACGAGCCAAATTTTGAGCTGAACTTTTTTCAATCCTAAATGTAAGAACATCTCCAATGCTAAAAGTTATTTTCAGCTGCCAAATCTATATTTTGACAAGTGTTATACTGTCAAAATGCTACATTTTAACAATTCTGCTCCAATGTAAAGAATCAAGAGAAAAAGAAAGAATCGAAATTAATTAATATATTTCTCGAAACAAACGAAAAGGAAACCAAAAGGTGAAACGATCAACTAAGCATTTTATGCAAAATACTATTTTTTTGACACAACCACCATCCTTTTTCAACTACCATTCCCACCATTCATATTTGCATTAGTAATATTAATATTAGGCACATTCCAAGTCAAGTTGGAGATATTAGAAGGAAACTAAAATTAAACTTAATTAAAAAGAAACAAAAATCTAAAATATCTGGTCAAAAAAGGAACAATATATATATATATATATATATATATATATATATGTATGTATAAATTTATATATTTGATTATATTGTTATATAATTTATATATATATATATATATATTTTTTTTTTCTTTTTCAAAAATTCATATATTATATATATATATGTATATTATATATATTTGAGTATATTATTATTAAAAATATATATATTTTTAGGGCAAATCATTTCAGCCTACCCAATCGCCTCCATCTCTATTCTCGTTCTCAACTCTGAATTCCCCCTCTCTCTCTCTCTCTCTCTCTCTCTTTAAAAAATACAAAATGATTTCCATTAAATAATTTTGTTGTATTACTTCCATTAAAGCATTCTTCCCAACTTTGTCTATTAACGACTGTTAAGTGCGTCATATTAATTACAATCAATTTTTAGTTTTAAATATTCTATAATTTAAATACAAAAATTGTATATTCATTAGTTACCCCGTCCATATTAATTGCAATTAATTTTTGACTTATAAAGACACACGGTTTATGGGACGAACAGAGTTTAATGGTTTGAGTTTAAAATGTTATATAAATATTCCCAAATATAGCTGAGCATTTGCAACTTACAAGGTTGTTTGTCTATTCATTAATTAAATGCTGGGTTTGGTAAGCTGCTAAGCCCGTATGCAAGAATAGATCGAATGGAATATCTATTCCACCATATGCTTTGGTAGGAAAATTAAAGGACAAATTATACTCGTATCTTTCTGCTTTTAGTTTATATTTCTTCCGTCCCTTATTAGTAATCTATTTTTCTCTTTTTACATGTCTCAAATTAGTTGTCCTCTCTGAAAAATCAAAGCATTTTTTATTTATATTTTCATCATTGTCCTTTATCTTTTTAAAAAATTTCAAACTTTGTAACTATATATATTTAAATTAAAAAGGACAATTTAGTAATTTTAAAAGAGAATAATGCATTAATTGCATGTCCCTTTAAAAAGTTATAAAACCAAAAATGGACAACTAATAACGGACCGAGGCTATAGTAATAAACCTCCTTCCAAAAAAAATTGCCATAACTGACTACTTAATTTATTACAAAATGATGTTATTATGACTAACATAATAACATAACTTTAAGAAAATAATTTTTCTTAATTTAAAATTAATACAAAGAACTCATTCGGCATTTTAGTATGAAAAAAAATTCGAAACTTGTTTTAATAGCGTGTCTATAAGAAAATGAAAATAAGTGGAACAAATTTTAAATTTTTGTAATTTTTTTTTTTAGATTTAAAAAATAAATAAATAAAATAAATGAAAATCATTTTATGACAACTTAAATCTTCTTGAATTTACATTAGTGCATTTTCGTATAAAATTTTCTTAAAGTTATATTTTTAAAATTAAAATTTCAAAAATAAAAATATTTTTTAAATTTATATTAAAGAACATTTGTGTCATTATAACGTCGTTTTCCAATAAATTAGATACTTTTAAGTTTTTATGTCAGTTTTTTGCTTTAGAAAATTTCTTGCAGGAAATTTATGTTATTTGTCCAAAGTTAAATTATAAACCCTTGAAATAGAAAAGAATAAAATTTCAGTATGCCAGGCACGCCACGTGGTCATAAGTATGTCTATTCAATCAAATATAACATATTATGAAAATGATACTTGCATCAGTGAATTATTAAACCTAATTTTTTTAATTGGTACATCTATGTAGTAAATGAGAAAATAAAACCCTTCATTTATTTGTATTGGGCATAAATAATTAATCAATAATATTTAGTTAGATAATCATCTGCAACAAATTAGTGCAAGTATCAGGGTTGGTTATTTTTTTTAATCAGCAGGCTAACTTTTTAAAAAAACAAATGATGTATGGTGATCGGTGGAAAATACTAATGTATTTGATATGCCTGGGCTTCTGTCTCCTGTGCATGACCATTTCATTCCCAAAAGAAAAAGAATAAATTTCACGTTTCGCCACCTTCGCCCACACCACTTACACCACTGTGGTCATCCACCACCACTGCCACCGCGGCCTTCCATTTCCCGAATGGGGTGAACACCATGAAACTAATGATTTGCAGTCGGGTGGAGATATGTAAAAGCCACACCTGTCTTGCACCAAATTAGGGCTACAAATGTGCATTTGAAGAAAAGATGGGAGTGGGATTCTGGGCAAGTTAGACCGAGTGGGTATACATTGGGAATGTGGAGATAGGCATTGCATTTCCGATCTAGGGTTGACAATCTCGACCGAAGAATGAATTGATGATACCTGGGGAGTGATAAAGGAGTCCCAAACAAGGTGAAACCAATTGGAATGAGTATGTACAGAATCAAGGAGTTTGTAACTCCAAGAACTAGATTGATGTTGCCTTTGGGAACACTGAATCGGCACCTTGAATTTGGGATTGGTGAAAATTTAATTCAATATTTTAACTTTCCAGAAGTTTCTACCTCTAAGACTGACAAGGTATGTATGCACCCATTCACACCATATGCTCTGTGAATTTCTTTCCATTATTGCCAAAATATGTCTGAGAATGTTAGCTTTGTTGAAAATGTCAAGGTGGTTTTGAATGCCTAAACCTCCATCTTGCTTTGGTTTTGCAAATGTCCTCCCAATCAACTTTAGCACCTGAGCTCTTTAGTTCTGGTCCTGACCAAAAAAAAAAAAAAATTGTCCCAATATCTTATTGATATCATCAATTACACCTTTAGGTAATATGAACATACTAGACCAGTAGATATGAGTGCTGACTGGTTTTATAAGGCGAGAAGATTAATTTGAAAGACAATATAGTAGTTTTGTGGATATGTTATACCAAACTGAAGGTACAATTGAAGTTTGAAGTAATGGGCAGTCTTATTTATATGGGTAACAATCCATCATTTATGATAAAGGACCATCCAATTGGAGAAATGAAGTCACAAGCTTAAAAAGAGGGATTGAATTAGGTATAACTTGACAATTAAAGTAGCACTTTTATCATAACTATATATATGAACATAAAAACCTACAAATATGGCGAAACAAGATTAATATATATATCCCCGGATATTAATAAGGTGTTCTAATTTTATCATGACGTGGTTCAAAAAGACTAGAGTTACAGTTAGGCTTGCTTTTGATTTTTTGAATTTTTATTTTTTTTAATTGAGTTTGTCATGGCATAATTCAGAAGCTATGATTTCTTGATAAATTAGTTAGGTGGTTAGGAAGTCACAAATTTAAGACAAAGACATCATGGAATATTCAAAAGAGAGGGTTATGGTTAGACTTGCTTTGGAATAATATTTTGATGGGGTGGTTTGAATTTTATTTGAAAGCAACAAAAACTGTTTTAACAATAACATTCCTCATATTAAAATTAAATAGAATGTATCACCACCAACAAATTAAGATAACTGTGACCAAATGTCAACATCCGTGTTAGACTTTCGTGAGTATTTGATACTAAGATATTAACCGTGGCAAGAAGAAGACTCCCTGATTCACAGGACCAATTTGAGCTGGCTCTTTGGTTCCTAATATGTATTGGTAACCAACTAAGGATTGAAACTATAGATTAGTTATAGAGTCCTAGTATGACATTCTGGATCTTGAGTTCTATTGAATGGCGAGAAAAAACAAAAAAAAATCAGCCATATCAAATATGGTTTCTTAAAACTACAGAAGAAAATGAATTCGAGCATAAAACATTGCTAAATTCATTAGAGATAGCAAAAAGAATCGGTCCAATCAATATTGCTATCAATAGCACGATGAGTCTTAAAGATAAGGCCATCACAGTGAGAGATACTATTCAAGCACCATTCATGGTTTGTGATGGAAGAAGACTTTTCGTCACACAGCTGTCATTTGATTACCCCAACTATTTAGCAAAACAATTAATTGAAGCACAAAGGTTCCTTGACAACATCAAAGAACTAAAAATAGATATTCCAGAAGATATTCTAATGGGAGTTGAGCAAACCGATATTGATTGGCTAAATCATTTTAATCAAAGTCCAGCTAGCACTCCACCCTTGGATGAGTATTAACTCCATAATCTCATCAATGCAATGGAAGGATGACAAAGACTTTTTATCAGACGACTGCACATTTATCCAGCACACGACAAAAAGTCAGGTCAAATCTACTATTCATGAACAGTGAAAAATATATTCATTTATTATTTATGAACAGTAAAAAAGTACTTTTACTATTCATCAAACAGTAAAAGTTACTTTTTTTTTTTTTTTGTATATATATCTGAAGTTTCCTAGTTTTCTCTCTCCCTCTTTGTAATTTCTCTCTATAAGTTTTCATTGCTGTTAGTTTCTGAAGTTGGTTTATTTTTTATGATAAGGGGATTGAATAAGATTAATTGCAAACTTGTTGGGATTTCAACAACCGTTTGATTTAGTCAGTGGGTCCAAAAACCAGAAAGTATTCTTTGACAACTCTATAAAATTAATCAGTTTGCTGTGGAGTAGTATTTGTGCAGAAAGTTCAGATGGAAGGAAAACTGGTTCTGAAGTATGACCACTTACTTTTCCTATCCGAGAATACCAAGTCTTTTTTTTTTTTCTTCTCCTATCAAAGAATACCAAGTCAAAATTTGAATTTTTGCATATCTTTTTACACAAACAACAAGTCTCTGTCTCTCATTTTGAGAAGACAAACATTATGCGTTTGAGCAAATGCATAAATGTGTAATGTGTAATTAGTATGTCTATGTGTAGTTGCAAGTAATTCTCAACTTATTCAATAAGACCTTGCACAATCATGGTAAAGCCTAAGATGCCTTTTGAACTTGCTACCATTAGTACTTCTTCAAAACCAACCTTTTTCTTCTCTATTCTGATCTCCTTCCTTCTCCTTTTCTCTTATGGATCCATCACTACAGCCGATAACAAATCCACAAGCATCGGTGCAATCATCGATGTCAATTCCCATAGTGGCAAAGAACAAAAAACTGCCATGCAAATAGCAGTCCAGGAATTCAACAACAACTCAATAGATCACAAGCTATCCCTCCATTTCTCGAATTTCTCAAACCCCGGCAGAGACCCCCTCAAAGCAGTTTATGCTGGTTAGTTATCTTCCTCTTGAGCCCTTTTTAGCCCAATACCTCTTCTGGTCAAAATAACATGTATACATATGAAAACATAAATCTTTTTCCCTGTATGTTTTGTCACAGAATAGGTTTCATATTGATCACTAATTGTAATCTGTTTATGGGGTTCTTGTGTTTTTGTTTCAGCTGATGAATTGATTAAAGATGATCAAGTTCAAGTTATTATAGGCATGGACACATGGAATGAAGCAGCTTTAGTTGCACAAGTTGGAAACAGAGCTCAAGTACCCATTCTTTCATTTGCAGCTTCTGCTAGTCCACCACATTTAACGCAATTTCGATGGCCTTTCTTGGTACAAATGGCTACCAACAGCTCCGAAGAAGTGAGTTGCATTGCAGCTATTCTTCACTCCTACAACTGGAGATTGGTGATAACAATTTATGAAGACAATATGTATGGTGGTAATTCCGAGATGTTTGCTATTTTATCCGACGCTCTTAAAAACGTTTATGTGGAGATTGAGCATCGTTTGGTTCTTCCATCATTCTCTTCTCTTTCTGATCCAGAAAGGTTCGTCCACAAAGAGGTTGAAAAGTTATTGTCCAAACAATCAAGGGTGTTCATAGTTCTTCAATCATCTGTATCAATGGCTACCCATTTGTTCAAAGAAGCAAAGCAGCTAGGACTAATGGGGCCAGATTCAGTGTGGATAATTACAGACTCTGTTTCAAGTCTCTTGGAGTCTGTTAACAATTCTGTTATCTCCTCTATGCAAGGTGCTATAGGAATCAAGACCTATTATTCTGAAGATAGCAAGACTTACCTAGACTTTAAAGGCCAATTTCGGAGAAGTTTCCTATCAGATTATCCAGAGGAGGATGATTCCATGCCGGGAATTCATGCTCTACGGGCATATGATGGTATTACTAGCGTTGGGCTGGCTGTGAAGAGAATTGGTAATGGGCCTAGTATTTCAAAAATGCTGCTTGACAATATATTATCCAGCAATTTCACTGGTTTAAGTGGTGATATACGTTTTCATGATGGGAGGCTATCGCATGCTATTGGAATAAGAATCATAAATGTCATTGGAAGAAAGTATAAGGATATTGGCTTTTGGTCATCTAAGTTTGGGTTCTCAGAGAGCCTTTCTACTGGTAAATGTGGTGATAGCATGGAAGCTTTGGGCGATGTAGTGAATTCACTGAATTGGCCTGGAAACCTAAAGCGGGTCCCGAAAGGATGGGCAATGCCTACTGATGCAAAGAAAATGAAGATTGGAGTTCCAGCTAGGACCTCTTTTGAGAAATTTGTAAAGGTGAAAGGCACTGGAAATTCAAATAAGGACTATTCTGGTTTCTGCATTGATGTATTTGATGAGGTGTTAAAGATTTTGGAGCAAAGTTATTCCCTACCTTATGAATTTGTGCCCTATAATATCACCTATGACGATTTGGTTGTTCATGTCATCAACAAGGTATTGAATCCATCTTTAATTCTCTCTTTTTCTACCACTTAACTGGTTTTTGATTGATTAATCACATAAGATATATTTGCTAATATTGCATGGTATATAGAGCAACTTGCACCAAGCAAAACAATGCTGGATTTTTATGATTTGTGTTTGTACATATATAAAAGAAAGCCAAGTCAATTATGTCCACCACAACTACAGCAAGACTTGGTGATATATATACACATATCTAGTTGAATTTTCTAATAGAATTGCTATGTAGACTTACTGAAATATATAAAGTTGAATTTTCCTACAGTACTGCCCTCTATGTAGGTTTCATATACAGAACACTGAAATATTCTCATCCCTAGCACTGAATTTTTTTTTTTCTTTTTCTGAAAGACTTTTCCTGACATATGTTTTTGTGAGTTTGAATTGGCTAACATGAGACGAAGGGAGATTCTAAAAGCAATGAAGTCAGAATTTTTCTAAGATTCTGTTTTATCTTTCAATTCAGTGCTGGTGATGTTTTTGTTTGCTTCTTTCTTGTGGATCAAACTTGAATGCAGACTTTTGATGCTATTATTGGTGATGTAACAATACTAGCCAACCGATCAAAAAAGGTGGAATTCACTCAACCATTCACTGAGTCGGGCTTGTCAATGGTAGTTCCAGTGAAGTCCGGAGTTCAAAAGGTGTGGCTGTTCACAAAACCATTCACCGCAGAAATGTGGATGGTGACTGGTGCCATTTTGTTATACACGATGGCCATAGTTTGGTTCTTGGAGCATCAATCCAATCCTGAGTTTAGAGGCCCATGGAAGGACCAGCTTGGAATGGCAATGTGGTTCACATTCTCCTCGCTTTTCTTTACTCACAGTAAGAACCATAACACACACAGACTGACAAAAAGATTGTACACATATATAAACGTAAAGTAACTGTTTTATGCCTCTTAATAAGATAGTGTTTGAATAGTGTTTTCCTTTCTCACCAGCCCAATCCAAATTGGACTGGTAAGATATTTATGCATTTTGGAAGTACTCTTGTAAAAGCAAAGTTTACCTTCTTTTTCAAAAGAAGTTCCAAAATTACTTTTTGCTTATATAACACCACCTAAAACTTAAGAAACTAAATTTCTACATAAAAGTATACTATTTGACAGTTTTTTTGCTTGACTAACATATGACTAGTTATGCTGCCTGTAACTGCTGCATGGTTTGGCAAGTCACCAAGTCTTTGAGGTTATTATACATTCTAATCACTAGAAGTCCGTAAGATTATTTATAATTAGAGACAAACGGAGGGTCATGTTGAATGCAAGCAAAGAAAGAATGACAGTAATTTGATGTATCACACAACCAAATGAGAAAAATGAATTCATTGCCGTTTGTTGATTTTGCAGGGGAGAAAGTTCACAGCAACTTCACTCGCTTGGTAGTTGTAGTGTGGCTTTTTGTTGTGGTGGTCATAAGCTCGAGCTACACTGCCAGCCTCACTTCATTGCTCACTGTCTCCCGGCTTGAGCCCAGTATTACAGATATAGAGTGGCTAAAGAGGACTAATGCCACAGTCGGCTGCGATGGTGATTCATTTGTAACGGATTACTTGAAGAATGTACTTCACTTAGAAAAAATAAAACACGTTAGCAAGGAATATGACTACCCAGGCGAGTTCAAGAGCGGGAATATCACAGCGGCATTTCTTGAAATCCCTTATGCCAAAGTTTTCCTCGAAGAATACTGCAACAAATACACAGTCACTGGACCTTACTACAGACTTGGAGGATTAGGCTTTGTAAGTACTCCACATTACTCTTCACACAATCACACCAGAATACATTGAAATTAGGAGTTTATTTTCCTATAAACATTTAGATTCAAACAGTTGACATCTTTCCAAGTTTTAAGTCTATTATAAGGTCGACCTCATGGTTGGTTATTCTTGGTGCATACTTGGTAACTAGCATCTATGTATCTACTGAATTAAAACTAATTACAGAAAATTATTTCTTAATATTCTATGTCCAGGTATTCCAAAAGGGCTCTCCTATAGCTACTGATGTCTCCGAAGCCATTCTAACCCTATCAGAGAATGGCAAGCTAACGATTTTAGAAGATGGTTGGTTCTCTTTAAATTGTTCAAACACTCAAACTAATCAAACTGATAGCTTGAGCCTTCACGGTTTCTGGGGTATGTACCTTATCTCAGGTGGCACTTCAACACTCTGTTTTCTATTTTTCCTCTTCCGCTTGGTAAAGAATTATCTACGCCGTGAAGGCAACACGAGTACACGAGCTCATAATGGTGTTTGGGGCAAGACAGTTGAAGTAGCGCGATACTTTTATAATGGAGGGACTAGGAGTCCTGCAGGGAGAGCTCCAACCTTTGCTGGTGGACAACAATTAGATGAATGGAACTCTTCAAGGTGGGAGTACGCGAGTCCTTCAGATGCTACAGAGGATTTTGAGTCATCCACACCACCTGATCAAATTGGAATTCCTATAGCCACTGATTCCCGTGCGACTTAGAACAAGAATACAAGACATAGATCTATAGAAGGATCAAATGTTTATATGCCAATATGTACATGTTTACTGTAGTTCATATTTTTGCTTTTCTATCACAGTCACTAAAACTAGTTTTATTAGTTCCTAGTTTAGTAGTTGTATTTTTGTTCTTGTTGTATTGAAATGAAAAATAAAATAAAAAATAAAAAATACTGTATAGTGGAACAAATTTTGCCACCACATGGCATTAGAGGACTTGAACTCTACAAATATATATACATGTAGTGTTCAAATCCTCTAATGGCATTTGTGTGTGTGTGTATATATATATATATGTATGTATATATGTATATGATTTTTGTCATTCTCATTCCTATTTCTTCTCTCAACGGTATGGTCATTTGCATCCACTCAAATCTAAATCCTAACTTTGATGATAGAATTAATTAATTTTGGTCATCTTATCTTGACCAGGGCTTGCAATTACTTCCAGAGACAGAAGTTGATCTTGAAGAATCTGAATCTGAATTTCACGTGGCTTCTAAAGAATGTTTATTTTCCACAAAAATGCAGGGTTGACAATGTCATTGCAGATAATACAATTGAAGTCAATTCATGAGAAAAGCTTAAGTTTTGGACAACAGGGAATAAAAGCTTCATGTGTTGAATAGATTAAATAGACCTATAGAAGATTCAATTTGTAGTGGATAATAATATTAGGTTTTTGGCAACTAGATTCTAGCTTTTTACGTTTTCCTATTCTGGACCATTCTCACCTCTATTGCTTTGGCTGCTGCAGATGACTGTAATACTCCTGGATTGAATTAATAATACCTTTCTCGGTTTACTAGAAAAAATAAAATAAAATAATGAAATGGAATGAAAAGATTATCATTTTTTTCAAAAAAAAAACACAAGGGTTGAATATCCTGAACTTTCAACATAAGCGCACTTAACTGTGGAGTTATGATGGATAGCTTTAAAATATGTTGTGTCTTAGAAATATGTTGAACATATAAGGCTTTACCTTTGTCTTCACTTTCACCTTCTCCAAGTGATACGGGATCATGACACTCGGGGCGTACTAGTATGATAATTCGTCAAGTATCTTCCATATGTCCATAGAGGTCATCACAATTAGTATATATTAACAAAATTTTTAAAAAGATCACTATAATTTACTTTACAAAAAAAATACGCCGAAAAGGAGTGGTGGGACTAACCACTTATTGCAATAATTTTTTTTTTTTTGGCTGGAACATTTAATCTCTCATTCCTTTTTGATAGAGAAGTTTATTCCTGTAAGCTAGATTTACTATGGTGAAGTCATAAGATAAGTCACAATGGTTGAAGTCATAGGTTAAGTTGTACAGAGCAAAAACGTAAAAGTGACAAAATTTAAATTACAAAAAGTAAGAAAATGAGCAAACTTAAAACGTGATAGCAGCACCCAATAAGAAAGATTGTGCGACTTAATTATAGTGAAAGGCATTCAAAAACTATGGTTGGGCCAAGCCTTTATTTATATAGGTTAACAATCCATCATCCATGATACACAACCAACAAATTGGCAAAAAGAAATCACAAGCCCGGAAAGAGGATTGCATGAGGAAATTTGATAATTAAAGTAACACTTTTATGATTTTTATCATAACAATTTATATGAACATAAAATCTAAAAATACGACAGAACAACGGATATTTAGAATAAGGTGTTATAATTTTATCACTGATAGGGAAAAATAACCCTAGCCTATCTTGACTTAACAAAAAAGGGAATTAAATATTGACCTGCCACCAGATTTCTCCAACTCTCAGACGATCATATCTCGTTATTAAGGATAACCATTCTATTAGATAAGAGTGATGACAAATCGTATCTAGGATAGGATTTGTCATGGGATAAGTTCCAATCTTATCAAGGATAGGATTTCCACGAGGTAGGCTCCATGGGCTAAGGACGATAGAACTCCCTTATTAAGAATAAGGGAATTGACTATAAAGACAAAGACGACTCGGGGATAAGGTACGCACAAAAAAACTCCTACTAAGCAAATTACGATTAAAATTCTCTATCGAGAATCCTTGCTGACTTGCTCGTCGGAGGGTCAACGGCCGGCACCACACCGGTGTTTGACTTTGCCATCCTTATTTTGCAGGAAACGGTGTCGTACTAGACCGCGGCGAAATTCAACCTCAACAGTTGGCGCCGTCTGTGGGAACAGCGATTCCCTTGAATCGATTTATTACTCGTTGGGTATAGACGTTTGCGGTCCGGTATGGTTACCGAAGGAACACCGTCGCAGGGATCTGGTCAAAGGGAAGAGTCGGGTGAAAATCTAGACGTCCCAAATGACCAGACACGATTTGCAGCGTTGGAACTGCAGGTCCAAACTCTGAATCAGGGTATGGACCAGTTGATCCAACAAAATGCAGCACTCCTGCAACACCTTGTTCCACCGGTTCAACAGGGCTTGCCACGCCAAGACCTCTCGAATCCAAACAGGGGTAATGGGAATCTGGAAGAGCAGGATACTCATCCTCCCCGACATGAGACCGAAGTTGAACAAAGCCAGGTGGGAAACCGACATAGAGAGGTGATCCACCCCTTTCTTCCACGGAGTTCCCGACCCCATGAAGACACGACTGTCATTGAAAAGACCGAGGAAATTTCCCACGTTGACCTAGAGATACAGGATCTCAAGGCAAAGATGGAGGGTGTGATGCAGGCCATGAAGGGAAAAGGCATTGCAGCCATAGATGGTTTGGTGCAGAAAACCAATTTGTCATTCAGCCCCTCGGTTATGAAATGCCCTTTGCCAAGTAAATTTAGAATGCCCACAATTGAGAGTTTCGACGGAACTAAAGATCCCCTCGACCACTTGGAGACTTTTCAGGCGCTTATGCACCTACACGCGATGCCGGATGAGATCATGTGCAGGGCTTTCCCAACTACTATTAAAGGATCAGCACGGGTATGGTTCAACAAACTAAAGCCAGGAACCATTGAAACCTTTGAAGAATTGAGTAAGGGCTTCGTGGGCCATTTCATTGCTGGCCAGAGGCATAGAAGGCCGGCTACCCACCTCCTTACTGTGAAGCAACAGAAGGGAGAGTCACTGCGAGATTACATTAGTCGTTTTAACACGGAGATGTTACAGGTGGAGGAAGCGGATGACAAGGTGGCCCTAGCCGCCTTCATGGGAGGACTTCAAACCTCAAGATTTCTCTTCTCTTTATCAGAGGAACCTCCTACCAACATGGCCGAGTTATTGGTTCGAGCTAAAAGACATATGAATGCTGAAGATGCAATGATTGCGAGAAAGGGAAAAGAAGGGGAGGATAAGAAGTCAGACAAGAAAAGGCCAGCCCTGACGATCAGAGATGAAAAGGAAACCAAGTATAAGAAACCCATGGTCAACCAGAATGAAAGGGCATCTCGCTATAAGAACACGGAGAGGTATACAAATTACACTCCTTTAAATATGCCGATAGATCAAGTTTTCCTACAGATCCAGGATGAACCATATCTGAAGTGGCCACCGAAGTTGAAGTCAGATCCGGCAAGGAGACCTTGTGATAAGTATTGCAGGTTCCATAAAGACCATGGGCACGCTACAGAGGATTGTTTCGACCTTAAGGATCAAATTGAGACTCTGATCCGAAGGGGGCACATGCGAAAATTTATTGTGGGGAATGACAGAACCGACATTAACCCACTAAGAGCAGGCCGAGATAACCACCCTCCTGATCAACAACCAATAGGAGAGATCAGGGTCATAGCCCAGGGGTGTGCAGGAGGTGGAGAATCGAGCTCAGCCCGTAAGGCCTATGCAAGGAGAATGCGAAGCTCATCTGAGGTGTGCGAAGTAGGAGTACAGATTCAACATCGAAAGATGCCTCGTTTAGGTGATCCAGTTATTACATTCTCAGATGAAGACATGAAAGATGTGCAGCAACCTCATGACGACCCTCTTGTCGTCACCATGATGATCGCTAACTATAATACTCGGCGAATCTTGGTAGATAATGGAAGTTCAGCTGATATCATTTTTCTTGATGCATTCAGCAAGATGAAGATTGGTAAGGAGAAACTCAGACCTACCAGATCACCATTGGTAGGATTCACGGGAGACAAAGTCTATCCTCTAGGAGCAGTCATCCTTCCTGTCACTGCAGGAACCAGCCCAAAGCAAGTCACTGTCATGGTCGACTTCCTGGTGGTGGATTGTCCATCTGCTTACAATGTCATCCTAGGAAGAGCGACCTTAAATTCGATGAGGGCTACCACTTCGACTTATCACCTATTAATGCGCTTCCCTACCGAGCATGGCGTGGGCGAACTAAGAGGAGATCAGTCCATTGCCAGAGAATGCTATGTTGCCTCTCTCAAAGAAAAGAGACAGCAGGAGGCTTTGATTGTCGATAAAGTTGAAGAGAATGAACAAGACCGGGCTAAGCCAATCGAGGACTTGGTGGAGATATGCTTGAATGACACTGACATAACAAAAAAAGTGAAGATAGGGTCTCTGCTCCCCTCAGATTTCACAAATATTCTTATACAGTTCCTCAGACAGAATCAAGATGTATTCGCTTGGTCACATGAAGACATGCCCGGTATTAATCCAACTACGATTGAGCATCGATTAAACACAGATCCTACATTCAAACCTATCAGGCAAAAGCGAAGAACATTTGCCGCGGAAAGGAACATGGCTATATCAGAAGAGGTGAATAAGCTTATGAAAGCTGATTTCATCCAGGAGGTTCATTATCCCGACTGGTTGGCCAATGTTGTTTTGGTAAAAAAGGCCAATGGAAAATGGAGGTTGTGTGTAGACTTTACGGATTTAAATAAGGCGTGCCCCAAAGACAGTTTCCCTCTACCAAGAATTGATATGTTGGTAGAAGGGACAGCTGGCCATGAGCTGCTCAGTTTTATGGATGCATACTCAGGGTATAACCAAATCTCAATGCACACGCCAGACAGAGATAAAACCTCTTTCATCACGGACAGAGGTTTATATTGCTATAAGGTGATGCCTTTTGGGCTAAAAAATGCTGGTGCAACATATCAACGGCTAGTAAACCTGATGTTTAAGGACCAAATCGGAAGGAATATGGAAGTGTATGTGGATGACATGCTTGTAAAAAACTTGAAAGCTCAAGACCATCTGGTTGATCTACAGGAAACGTTCCAAGTCCTCAGGAAACACCAGATGAAGCTCAACCCAAGTAAATGTGCCTTCGGAGTCTCCTCTGGGAAATTCCTCGGTTACGTGGTAAGTAGAAGAGGGATAGAAGCTAACCCTGAGAAGGTCCAGGCGATTCTCAACATGCAGTCTCCAGCATCGACCAAGGAACTTCAAAGATTGACAGGAAGGATCGCAGCTCTGAACAGGTTGATTTCCAGGGCGACCGATAGGTGTTTGCCTTTTTTCCGTGTGCTCAGGAAAACTTTTTCATGGACCCCTGAGTGCGAGCAAGCTTTTACAGAGCTAAAGGAGTATCTCACTTCACCACCATTATTGTCGCGGGCGATGTAAGGAGAACAGTTGTATTTGTACTTGGCAGTTTCTCCGTCGGCAGTAAGCTCAGCCTTGGTCCGCGAAGAGGATGGAAACCAGAAACCGGTATATTATATTAGTCGTGCATTCAGGGGGGCGGAAGAAAGATACCCAAGGATAGAAAAGTTGGCATTTGCTCTAGTTATCTCCGCGAGGAAACTCAGGCCTTACTTCCAAGCTCATACAATAATAGTATTGATACTTCAGGGCGACTCATGAAGTGGTCGGTAGAACTTGGAGAGTTCGATATCCAATACAAACCCCGAATGGCCTTAAAAGCCCAGGTACTGGCAGATGTTATAGCGGAATTCACACCAGAAGATGGGCCCAAGCATGCTACAGATAAGCAGGAAGAAGCCGAATCTACTTGGACGTTATATGTGGATGGGTCTGTCAACGCCCGTGCAAGTGGGGCAGGGCTAGTAATTATCTCCCCAAATGGGAATGCATCAAATATGCACTCAGGTTTGGTTTTAAAGCAACCAACAATGAGGCAGAGTATGAAGCCCTCCTAGCAGGCCTCAGGATGGCGAAAGCTTTGGAAGTTGAACGACTAGTAGCATATACTGACTGTCAACTAATAACTGGACAAGTCCAGGGGGAATATGAAGCCAAGGATGAGAAGATGAAGACCTATTTACATAAGATAGAGGATATCAAGGGCTTTTTTAAGAAGTTTTCTATTCACCGGATTCCCAGAGAAGAGAATACGCAGGCGGACGCCCTGGCTCGATTGGCAACCACAGAGGAAGATAAAGCCATACCCGTGGGATATTTGGATGAGCCTAGCACGGTCTGGGATTGGCCACAGAAAATACACCAGGTGGCCCATGGCATGGAGTGGGCAGAACCCATTATCAGGTACATTGAGAACGAAGAGCTACCCCAGGACCGCATGGAAGCACGAAAGATTAGGATGCGTGCGGCAAAATATTCCCTCGTTGATGGGGTTCTCTACAAGAAGGGATTTTCTCTACCCTACTTGCGTTGTGTCTCCATTGATGAGGCAAATTACATTCTAAAGGACATACATGAAGGCCTTTGTGGAAATCATGCTGGGGGCAGATCATTAGCGCATAAAGCTATCCGACAAGGATACTTTTGGCCTACTATGAGGACAGATGCACTTGAGTTTGTGAAGAAATGTGACAAGTGTTAGAGATTCGCCAATGTCCCAAAACAACCAGCAGAAAAGTTAACCCCTCTTACAGGGCCGTGGCCTTTTGCCCAATGGGGGACAGACCTCATCGGCCCCTTACCCCAAGGGAAGGGACAAACTAAATACGTAATTGTGGCTATCGATTATTTCACCAAATAGGTAGAAGCTGAGCCATTAGCTCATATTAGAGCGAATGAAGTAAAAAAGTTTTTCTGGAAGACAATAATCTGCAGGTTCGGAGCACCAAGGGTAATTGTGACCGATAATGGGAAGCAGTTTGAAAGTGAGCAGTTCCTCGATTTTTGTAATGAACTTGAGATCAAAGTTCATTTCTCCTCTCCTGCCCATCCCCAAGCCAATGCGCAGGTTGAAGTCACGAATAGGACAATATTGAAGATGATCAAGACACGCCTAGAAAAGGCCAAGGGCTTGTGGCCTGAACAACTACCCGGAGTTTTATGGGCCTATCGCACTACCGTAAGAACCCCTACTGGGGAGACCCCTTTTGGGTTAGCTTTTGGAAGTGAAGCTGTGATCCCGGTAGAAACCAAGGTTGCTACCTTCAGAACCAAGTATTTTGAACCTCAACAGACGGAGTGGAACTACGATTAAACCTAGACTTGGTAGAAGAGAAAAGGGAGCAGGCCCAGGTCAAGGTTGCGGCTTACCAGCGGATGATATCCAAGTACTACAATGCCCGAGTCAAGCCAAGGAGGTTCGAGCCAGGAGACCTGGTGCTTCGTGAGGTTACCCCAGCTACTAAGGAAAAGGGGGAAGGAAAGTTAGCTCCCAATTGGGAGGGCCCTTATCGAGTAACCAAAAGCAACAGACCGGGGGCATACTGGTTAGAGTCACTTGGTGGGAGCCAGCTTCCCCACCCGTGGAATGCAGAACATTTGAGGAAATATTACCAGTAGGTACTCATGCCAGGCTGTGTTTTATTATCTCACTTTTAAAAGTGATAGAATGTTTTCAGCCACAATAAAGCAGACCAGTGTGTAACGGATGCTGATATACAACTATCGATTATTATTTTCGATAGGTCTTTAATAAAATGGTTATTCGTATTTATTGCACGTGTTTCTACTGAATTTTATAAGTCACATAAGGACTAGTGACACATTAAGTCCCCTTCTTTATTAAAAGAAGTAAGTGACTTTTCCTTACTAAAGGGACGAGCTAGGTGAAGCTCGTAAAAATATGTTCCTTCGAAAGAAGGACGGGCTGAGTGAAGCCTGGGAAAGTAAAATGAGTTCTGTATAAGAAAACAACAAGTATGGAACAATACCATGAAAGACAAAAGTAGAGCAACTATTCTCTGGATTCAAAGATATTCTGAAAAGTTTTAAAGGAACAACATACTGAGAAATCAAAAAACCTAATATATATATATATATATATATATATATATATATATGACTAATACTATGGAATTCAATCTTCCTCTTCCTCTTCGCTCTCACTTAGAACGTCATACCTAGAAAAGTCTATGTCTTGACGATCTTTGCCGACAAGAGCTTTGAACCGGTCAAAACCATCACAGCAAGCCTTGCCTACGAGCACCTTGAATTCATTAGAATTTTTAAAATTCTCCACGGCAGCTAGCTTCTCGAATTCCAGCTTATCAGAGTATTCTTTGGTAAGTTTCACTTTCTCATCTTGAAAGTTTAATTTTGCATTAGTCAAGTCATCTTCTTTTATTTTAAGTGTAGAAGTAACATCTTCATATTTAGCCTTGAGGGAAGCCATCTCTAGGGAAAGCTTCTCGTATTCTTTGGCGATAACAACAGAGTATGTAGTGCCCTATAAATAAATAAATAGTGGCGAACAGTTAAAAATAAATAAATAAATAAACGAAAAAAAATAGATGCGCATAATAAGGGTAAATTCTCACCTGGCCGATTAGATGAAGAAATTTCTTTGAAAGCTCAGATGCTGGCAGACTCTGCAATCTGGCAGTATCGTCTTTTACTACCATTTTATGTAACCTGTCATTCGCGACATTAGCGTCATCGAGAATCGATTCCCCGTGGGAAAAGGCTTGGTTGGTTGATACTGAACAAAAACTTTCGAAACTAGTAGGAACCCCACCAAATCCGCTGAAACCTAGAGGTACAAGAGTAGGACCTGATAACACTCCAGGGCTTGCGGATGTACCATGATTCCCTTCTCCTACCCTTCGTAATTTTTTGGAAGCAGGAGTAGAAGGGAGATTACTTGACCGGACTTGGGCTAGAAGTCTTTTACTGAGCTTCTTGCCTGCATGAAAAGTAATAAGGGAAATACTTAATGAGATATTAACTAAAAATCAATAAGTTCACATATAAGTATGTTTGTTTTTCTTACCTTTCTCTAAGTGGGTGGAGGTTTCCTTTAAGCTATGAGCTCGTACATACAAATCTAAAGCCTCGTCAGTTATGAGATCGCTAAAGGTCTTTACTGGGTAAGAAGAGGCATTACCAACATGCTCGGCTTCTGGAATGGAGAGGGTTGGTTTGTCCTTAAATTCTGGGAAAAAGAATAATAAGTTGCACATAAAAAATAAATAAAAAAAAAAAATTCCTATTCATGAACAGTACCCGAGGGTACTATTCCCTTGGGTGCAAAAAAAAAAAAAAAAAAAAAAAAAAAAATCCTATTCATGAACAGTACCCTCGGATACTATTCCCTCGGGTGCAAAAAAAAAAAAAAAAAAAAAAAAAAAAAAAAAATCCTATTCATGAATAGTACCCGAGGGTACTATTCCCTCGGGTGCAAAAAAAAAAAAAAAATTCATATTCATGAACAGTACCCCGAGGGTACTATTCCCTCGGGTGCAAAAAAAAAAAAAAAAAAAAAATTATTAATTTGGAAACTATATACAAATAAATCTTATCTATTGGATCTGAATTATTCCAAATAGTTGGAAATTTCCCGTATGCACCGGAAATAAAGAAGAAACGACTCTTCCAACCTTTATTATTTTCAGGGGTTGCGACAAGGAGGAATGTCTTCTTTGATCTACACTGGAAGTACCAAAAATTGTCTTTTTTCTTCTTGGGATAATAAAAATGCAGGAATTGATTTACTGTTAGACGGCCATTGCCACACTTTCCCCAAACAATCAAACAGCCTATAATAATTCTCCATGAATTAGGAGCAATTTGAGAAGGAGCTATCTTCAGATGAGAAAGAATTTCTTCTACAAATGGATGAATCGGAAAACGCAAGCCCGCAGCAAAAGTCGACTCGAAAAAACATATCTCACCCAAACGAATAGAAGAACATCTATCTTCTGGTTTGGGTTTGTGAAGACGAATAGATGAAGGAATGGAATATTTAACTCTACAACTCTGTAAATTCTCATCCTTCATTAAGGATTCTCCTTCACGAGGAGGTTGCTTAGAAAAAGCAGTCCTTGGTCTTGAGGAGTAATCAACACCAGATTCATCAGCATAGTCAGGATCGAGTTCTTCAACACTTTCAGAGGTTGAGTCCTCGGATTGAGATTCAGTATTCAAGTTATTTTTCTGCACGAACATGATGAGGTATCGGATATCGCGAAAATATCGAAACCACTTTGGAATTACACCAATAACCTGGTAGAGACAACTTGACCTAATTACGTATCTACAACGATCCACAATAAACTCACAGTTAGGATCCAGTTTGGAGGATTTCAGACCAAAAAGAAAAGGAAGGTAAATAAATAAATATATATTTATCTATTTATAGGAAAGAAAATTCTTTTTCAAGTAACAGTGAAGTTCTTATAAAGGAGTCCTACTACAATATGGAAGGGGCCTGTAGTAAAAAGGAAACAAATAAAATATAGAAAGTATTTCCTTGGTCCACCACGTACCCAGAAATAGGGGGCAACTGATAGGAAAAAATAACCCTAGCCTATCTTGACTTAACAAAAAAGGGAATTAAATATTGACCTGCCACCAGATTTCTCCAACTCTCAGACGATAATATCTCGTTATTAAGGATAACCATTCTATTAGATAAGAATGATGACAAATCGTATCTAGGATAGGATTTGTCATGGGATAAGTTCAAATCTTATCAAGGATAGGATTTCCACGAGGTAGGCTCCATGGGCTAAGGACGATAGAACTCCCTTATCAAGAATAAGGGAAGTGACTATAAAGACAAAGACGACTCGGGGATAAGGTACACACAAAAAAACTCCTACTAAGCAAATTACGATTAAAATTCTCTATCGAGAATCCTTGCTGACTTGATCGTCGGAGGGTCAACGGCCGGTACCACACCGGTGTTTGACTTTGCCATCCTTATTTTGCAGGAAACGGTGTCGTACTAGACCGCGGCGAAATTCAACCTCAACAATCATGACAACGTTCAAGAAGAGTGAGTAGGGTAGTTCAAAGAGACAACAGTTATAGTTTGGTTAGCTTGCTTTTAGAAATATATATATATATATATATATATTTTCTTTCTTTTCTTTTCTTTTCTTTTCTTCCTTTTTTAAGTTGAGTTTGTCATGGCATAATTTATGAATCACGTTTTCTTGATAAACTAGTTTCGTGCTTAACTAGTTAAGAAGTCACAAATTTATGGAAAAGGCGTCATGGAATATTCAAAAGCGGTGGCTATGGTTAGACTTGTATTGGAATATTATGTTCTATTGTGATAGGATGTTTTGAATTTTAATTTGAATTTTATTTGAAAGGTTAATTTCACTGACATTTCTTTTAAATTTGGCCAAATATCACTTTCAAACATCTTTCAAAAATAACTATCACTCACGTTACAAACTTTTACTCCATTTTCACTCACACACCAAACGAATCTGACACGATATAAAATGACTTAAATACCCTTTGAATTTGTCAAAACAAACTTCAGCCTAAATAATTAAATTAAAAGACTAAAATACCCCTAAAAATTTGTAAATTTTCAAATTACATATATAGATATACACATATGTATAGATACACAGACATAGATACACACAGAGCATCCGTCATCGCTATCGTCCTCGTTGCCACTGCCCATACAACCCCAACCCATCACCAATATATATACACACAGACATAGATACAAACAGAGCATCCGCCATTGCCGCCGCCCACACAATCCCAGCCCATTACCAATATATATACATAGACATAGATATACACACAAAGCATCCGTCATCGCCGTCGTTGCTGCTGCTACCCATACAATCCCAGCCCATCACCAATCGCCGCCGCTTCCACCCACACAATCCAAATCCAAATCCCAACTCATCACCATTTGTCGCCACCACCACCCACACCATCACCAATCTTTGCCGCCACCACCCACACAATCCCAATCCCAACCCATCACCAATCGCCGCCGCCATCACAACCACCATTATCCTAACCCATCACCAATCTCGTTGCTATAATTTGCAAGACTCATTAAACTCTTCGTTAAGCATCTTCAACTTTAGTTTGAGAATCTCACTTTCTTGGCCGCCGAAGTCTATGACCCCTTTTGGTTTTGTGTCTACCCAAACATTATTTTTATCATATGTCGCCGGAATCTGCAAGACCCATCCGCCGCTATCACAACCACCATTGACAACACCATCCATCATCCAATTTTGCAAAACCCATCCTTGAAGTGTTTGTCGCTGCGTCATTGGAATTGGAAGCGGGGCCGCTCTATCAATTTGATCCAACAAAGATTGATATGGTAATCTGATTGATATGATAATCTATGACTTCTCCTCATCTATTTGTTATAATTATGGAGGCGTGGAGGGACGAGAAAGAAAGAGAGAGAAAAAAGAGAGGGAGAGAAAGGCGAGTGTATGGGTCACTGGGTTGTGGTGGTTAGTGGATGAAATAATAAGAGGTATATATGGTAATCTGTTAATTGAGATTAAAAAAATTAGGGGAAAAAATGTCTTTTAAATATTTTTAACGGATTATGTGACGGAAAAGTGAAAATGGACCTAAGTGATAGTTATTTTCGAAAAATGTTTGAAAGTAATATTTTGCCAAACCTGAGGGGGTGTGAGCGAAATTAACCCTTATTTGAAAGTAACAAAAAATGTTTCAACGAGTTGAAAATAATCGCAATTAAATTATCTTTTTACCCCCGTACTAAACACCATAAAAACTGCCACAAATATCGAGAAGAACAAGATATATTATCAAATGTCCCATATTAATAATTAATAAATAAATAAATATGTTTTTATTAACTATAATTTTTCTATTTTCTTTATCTTTTATGATTATTTTAAATTTTAATAATATTTTTTTTATTGTGATTGTTAAATATTTTATTGTATTTAAAAATTATTTTGTTTTTCTTAAAAATTATTATTAATCAATCCCAATTCTGAAAGCACCCAATCGAGTAAAATAAATAAATAGAGTAGTAATATTTACACCGAATACTTGTAATGAATTGTCTAACTTAATAATTTTAATTGATTATTTATATCAAATACAATTAAATAAAAAATTTCACAAAAAAAAATAATAATAATACATTGATGAAACGATTTGGAAAAGGTGTATTATTCAGTGCACTCGGTCGGTGCACGTGACTAATTTGAGCCGTCCATAATAGGATAGGCACGTGATGTGCACGCACTATTGCAAAATTAACCGCATGCACAGTACGGCGGGTCCGAACCCACGCGGTTAAACAATCTGGATAGACAAAAGTACCGTCACTTTAAACTCGGAGATTGCAGCAGAGCCGCCGCCCTCCGACGAACACGACCGTACCTCTAGTGGAATCCATTCCACCAAAACCCATTTTCATGGTCAAGTGTCTACTGTGACCAGAGCGATCTTTGTAGTATCAATCTCTCTTTCTAAATACTCTATTTTGAGCTCACTGGGCGAACGGCATCGTTACAATGGGTGGTCGGTTTTTGTGTTTGGGTTGGCTCCAAATTTATCTTCAGTTTGTTCAACAAAATCTTGAAATTCTTCCAGTTTTTAGGCTCTCTTTTGCGTAGATCTTTGAGAATCACCGCTTCATTGGTATTAGAGAGAGAGAGAAAGAGAGTTCAATGGGATATAATGGTATTCATTCAGCTTAAAATTTCACAGTTTTGTATCTTTAAACAGGAATGCGAAACAGAGCAGTTGCAGAGCTCCAACAATTCATCAATGGCGGCAAGGTCAGTTGCTTCTACACCCAAACTCGGTCTAACATGATAACTTCTGCATTTCCATAAAATCCAAGCTGTCGGTTTTATATCTAGACGAATCTCCTACCATTCGATCCATTGTACCTGCCTTTTTATCCAAATCTCATAGCAATCTCAGCCTTTAAGATCCCATTTCCCTAATTTAAATTTCTTTTAAGGTAAATAATTTAAATTGTTTATTCCACTACCAGGTTAATTTTGTAATCTAAATGTACATAAGGAGAATATTAGAATCATTAGTCCCTAATAGTAATAGAGGTTACTTATCAAAAAATAAATAAAACTTGTAATAGGGGTGACGTCCCGCCACACAATGGGTTAACTTGGGGATCTAAAGAGGGTTAAATATACGCAACCTTACATCTGTATTGGAAGAGGCTGTTTCATTGGTCCTATTATGTATGTTGACCAAGGATTGAAAGTTTGAAACTATAGATTATTTAGAGAGCTTTAAAGATGTAGCGGCAGGCTGTTAATTTCTGAAATTGGTTTATTTGTTAAGATTAGTGGATCGAATAAGATTAATTAGAAGCTTGTTGCGATTTTAACCAAGTTTGATCAGTGAGTTGGTGCAAAATCCAGAAGCTTTCTGTGACATTCCTATAAAATTAACCAGTTTACTATGGAGTTGTAATTTTGGAGAATTTTGAGATTAAGGAAATTGGTTCTGAAGTCTGACCGGTGACTTTTTCTATCCAAGAATACTAAGTCAAAATTTGAAAATTTTGCCTACCTTTTTACACAACCACGCGTTCTCTGTCTCTCATTCTGAGAATACATCACACGTTCAAGCGAATATATAAGGTGTAATTTGTATGTTTAGTTTCAAGTAATTCTCAACTTAATCAATAAGACCTTGCACAATCATGGTAAAGCTAAATATGCCTCTTCAAGTCGCTACCATTAACACAACTTCAAAACCCACCTTTTTCTTCTCTATATTGATGTCCTTCCTTCTCATATTCTCCTATGGATCCATCACAGCAGCTGATAACAAAATCACAAGCATCGGTGCAATCATCGATGTCAATTCCCATAGTGGCAAAGAGCAAAAAACCGCCATACAAATAGCAGTCCAGAACTTCAACAACAAGTCAATGGATCACAAGCTATCTCTCCATTTCTCGAATTTCTCAAACCCCGGCAAAGACCCCCTCGAGGCAGTTTATGCTGGTTAGTTATCTTCCTCTCGAGCCCTTTCTAGCCCATTATCTTTTCTAGTCAAAATATACATGTATACATGTGAAAGCATAAATCTTTTTCCATGAATGTTTTGTCACAGAATAAGATTGAATTAATGTTGTCCGTTTCATATTGATCATTAATAATAATCTGTTTATGGGATTTCTGTATTTTTGTTTCAGCTGATGAATTGATTAAAGAGAATCAAGTTCAAGTGATTTTAGGCATGGAGACATGGAATGAAGCAGCTTTAGTTGCAGAAATTGGGAACAGAGCTGAAGTACCCACTATTTCATTTGCAGCTTCTGCTAGTCCACCACATTTGTCACAGCATCGATGGCCTTTCTTGGTACAAATGGCTACCAACAGCTCCGAAGAAGTGAGTTGCATTGCAGCTATTCTTCACTCCTACAACTGGAAATTGGCGATAGCAATTTATGAAGACGATATGTATGGTGGTAATTCTGAGATGTTAGCTCTTTTTTCTGAGGCACTTCAAACCGTTGGTGTGGAGATTGAGCATCGTTTGGTTTTTCCATCATTCTCTTCTCTTTCTGATCAAGAAGGGTTTGTCCATGAAGAGGTTGCAAAGTTATTGTCCAAACAATCAAGGGTGTTTGTGGTTCTTCAATCATCTGTATCAATGGCTACCCATTTGTTCAAAGAAGCAAAGCAGCTAGGACTAATGGGGCCAGATTCAGTGTGGATAATTACAGACTCTGTTTCAAGTCTCTTGGAGTATGTTAACAATTCTGTTATCTCCTCTATGCAAGGTGCAATAGGAATCAAGACCTATTATTCTGAAGATAGCAAGTCTTACCTAGACTTTAAAGGCCAATTTCGGAGAAGTTTCCTATCAGATTATCCAGAGGAGGATGATTCCATGCCGGGAATTCATGCTCTACGGGCATATGATGGTATTACTAGCATTGGGCACGCTGCGAAGAGAATTGGTAATGGGACTAGTATTTCAAAAATGCTGCTTGACAATATTTTATCCAGCAATTTCACTGGTTTAAGTGGTGATATACGTTTTCATGATGGGAGGCTATCGCATACTATTGGAGTAAGAATCATAAATGTCATTGGAAGAAAGTATAAGGATATTGGCTTTTGGTCATCCAAGTTTGGGTTCTCAGAGAGCCTTGCTATTGAACCAAGTGGAGAGATAATTAGTAGTGGTACTGGTGGTGATAGCATGGAAGATTTGGGCGATGTAGTAAATTCACTGAATTGGCCTGGAAACCTAAAGCGCGTTCCGAAAGGATGGGCAATGCCTACTGATGCAAAGAAAATGAAGATTGGAGTTCCAGGTAGGACCTCTTTTGAGAAATTTGTAAAGGTGGAAGAGACTGGCAATCCAAATAGCCCCTTGTTTTACTCTGGTTTCTGCATTCATGTTTTTGAGGAGGTGTTAAAGATTTTGGAGCAAAGTTATTCCCTACCTTATGAATTTGTGCCCTATAATGGCAGCTACGATGCTTTGGTTGATCATGTCATCAACGAGGTATTGAATCCATCTTTAATTCTCTCTTTTTTCTACCCCTTAACTGGTTTTTGATAGATTAATCACGTGACATATATTTGCTAATATTGCATGGTATATGGAGCAACTTGCACCAAGCAAAACAATGCTGGATTTTTACGATTTGTGTTTCTACATATATAAAAGAGAGCCAAGTCAATTATGTCCACCGCAACTACAGCAAGACTTGGTGATATATATACATATGTAATTATGTACACGCATCTGGTTGAATTTTCTAATAGAATTGCTATGTAGACTTACTAAAATATATAAAGTTGAATTTTCCTACAGTATTGCCCTCTATGTAGGTTTCATATACAGAACACTGAAATATTCTCATCTCTTACACTGCATTTTTTTTTTTCCCTTTTTCTGTAAGACTTTTCCTGACATGTTTTTGTGAGTTTGAATTGGCTAACATGAGACGAAGGGAGATTCTAAAAGCAATGAAGTCAGAATCCATCTTTAACCTTCTCTTTTTCTACCTCTTAACTGGTTTTTATAGACTAATTACATGGTTCATAAGGTACAACCAAATGTTCCTCGTCAACTACCACTTCTTATTACCTTGTTATTCACAAATAATAATAATAATAATAATAATAATAATTAAAAGAAGAATAAGAAGAAGAAAGAAAGAAAAAGAGAGAATCTTTTATATGATGTTACTGTGACATATTGATAAAAGATCAAATGGATGGTCTGATTTTATAAAGAATTATATTTGGTAATATTGCGTGTTATATAGAGCAAATTGCGCCAAACAAAACAAGGCCCACTCTTTATCGTGTTGACACATGTATAGAAGAGAGACTCCAAGTCAAATTTTTCCACGACAACTAGAATAAGACTTGGTGACTTGCAATTCTGTACACACATATTGTTGATTTTTTCTTTAGAATTGCTATGTTGACTCGCTGAAATATATACATATATATATATAGGTTTCATAAAACACTGGAACATTCTCATCTCTTACACTGCAATACTGCATGAACTTTGTTCTTTTTTTTTTTTTTTTCTGAAAGACTTTTCCTGAGATATTTTATGCAAGTTTGAATTGGTCTACATGAGAAGAAGGGAGATTCTAAAAGCAATAAAGCTGGAATTTATCAAAGATGACTCATGAATATTTTTTGCGCTGTTCTGTTATATCTTTTTATTCTTTGGTGGTGATTTTTTTGTTTGCTTCTTCCTTGTGGATCAAACTTGACGACAGAGTTATGATGCTGTCATTGGCGATGTAACAATCCTAGCCAACCGATCAAGATACGTGGAATTCACTCAACCATTCGCTGAATCAGGCTTGTATATGATAGTTCCAGTGAAGTCCGAAGCTCAGAAGGCGTGGATGTTCCTGAAACCATTCACGGCAGAAATGTGGATGGTGACTGGTGCCATTGTGATCTACACAATGGTCATAGTTTGGTTCTTGGAGCATCAATCCAATCCTGAGTTTAGAGGCCCATGGAAAGACCAGCTTGGAATGGCAATGTGGTTCACATTCTCCTCACTTTTCTTTGCTCACAGTAAGAACCATAACACAAACAGACTCTTACAAACATTAGCGTAAATTAACTGTTTTATGCCTCTTAGTAAGATAGTATTTGAATAGTGTTTTCCTTTCTCACACCAGCCCAATCCAAATAAGAAAAAGTTCTCATTGCTCTTTGTTGATTTTGCAGGGGAGAAAATTCACAGCAACCTCACTCGCGTGGTAGTCGTCGTGTGGCTTTTTGTTGTGGTAGTCATAAACTCAAGCTATACTGCCAGCCTCACTTCAATGCTCACTGTCTCCCGACTTGAGCCAAATGTGACGGATATCGAGTGGCTAAGGAGGACTAATGCCCCTGTCGGCTGCGATGGTGATTCATTTGTAAAGGATTACTTGAAGAATGTACTTCACTTCAAATCAGAAAACATAAAAAACGTTAGCAAGGAATATGACTACCCAGGCGAGTTCAAGAGCGGGAATATCACAGCGGCATTTCTTGAAATCCCTTATGCCAAAGTTTTCCTCAAAGAAAACTGCAACAAATACACAGTCAGTGGACCTACCTACAGATTTGGAGGATTGGGTTTTGTAAGTACTCCCCATGACTCTTCACACAATCACACTAGAATACACTTCAAATTTGAAGTTTATTATCGTACAAAAATTTAGATGAAAATGGTTCTTCCAAATACAGGTTCAAGTCTATCATAAGGTCTACCTCATGATCCTTATCATGACCTTATGATTGGTTATTCTTTTGGTGCTTACTTGGTGACCAACATCTATGTATCTACTGAATTAAAATTCAGAAAATTAATTCTTAATACTCTCTATGTGCAGGTATTTCAAAAGGGCTCTCCTATAGCAGCTGATGTGTCCGAAGCCATTCTAAGCCTATCAGAGAATGGCAAGCTAAGGATATTAGAAGAGGATTTGTTCACTTCATCCTTAAATTGTACAAACACTGAAACTAATCAAACTGATAGCTTGAGCCTTCAGAGTTTCTGGGGTCTGTACCTTATCTCAGGTGGCACTTCCACCCTCTGTTTTCTATATTTCCTCTTCCGCTTGGTAAAGAATTATCGACGCCATGAAGGCAACATGAGTACACCAGCTCATAATGGTGTTTGGGGCAAGACAGTTGAACTCGCGCGATACTTTCATAATGGAGGAACTAGGAGGCCTGCAGGGAGAGCTCCAACCCCGCGATTAGATGAATGGAGTTCTTCAAGGTGGGAGTATGTGAGTCCTTCAGATGCTACAGAAGATTGTGAGTCATCCACACCACCTGAACAAATTGAAATTCCTATAGCCACTGATTCCAGTTCAACTTAGAACAAGAATTAAAGACGTAGTTCTATAGAAGGATCAATTGTTCATATGCCAATATGTACATGTTTACTGTAGTACATATTTTTGCTTTTCTACCATACGGTCACAAAAACAAGTTTTTATAGTTCTAATTTAGTTATTGTTTTATTGAAATGAAAAAAATATATATGCTGTCTAGTTGAACACTGACTTCATGATGTAAGGAATTTAACAATGTAAATGAATAGAAAATACTTTATTCTTTTAGACTCAAATGTAGAAGTGAAGCAAGCATTGAAAATGGCCCAACTGTCATTCAAAAAGTCTCTCACACTCTTATTATTCATTTTTATTGATGGTTTTCTAGATGTGTGCATAATTCTCTCAAGATTGAGATACAACTGTCCTTACTTCATGGCCAAAGTAGATATGATATGAGCATTTCAAAAGGAATTTGCAATTTATTCAATATATATATATAATATTATATGTTAGTGGATTCTACTGCTATAGTTTTATACTCCGCAAATTATATGTGTCTAGGTCAGTCCCAATGTTGTAAGTTGTAACTCGACGCACATAGTTTATTTATGTTAAAAATGAAATAGAATTGTTATTCTAAAATTTTTGTATTTTACAATTATCTGAAAAGTAATGTAACACCTCGCGGATAATTTTATCAATTTCTTATTACAAAATGAAATGGGGTTGTAAGTGTGAAAAATGGAGTGCCACTATACAGTGTCCAACTCCAAGGTAACCTCAACCGGATTGGGGATATTTTATTCCAGAACCGGGAGAACTAAAAACAAGAAGCCAAACGGACCCATCCGACATGGTTAGAACCTTGGATATAATGCCCTACGCTAACGTTCGCAGGAAGCACACGACTTGTGTTTTGCCGGCGAGAAAGGGCATAATCAAAGAACGATGAGGGCCGTCGTTCAGCGAGTGGCCTCTGCCAGTGTTGAGGTCGGTGACAATTAAATACAACTCCCCCTCACTCTCTTTTTCTCTCTCTCTAAGCTGAAGATGGCATTTGCAGGTCGAAGGGCGCACTATATCGGAGATTGGGCCGGGTCTTCTCGTCCTCGTCGGCCTTCACGATTCCGATGCCGACTCCGATGCTGATTATATGTAATTTCCCAACTTTTCCAATTCTTTGTTCTTACTTCTTTTTCAATTTATAATATCAAATATAAATTTCAGTGAATTAAAGAAAATTGATAACTCAAACCAATAAATCTGTGCAGATGTCGAAAAGTACTGAATATGAGATTATTTCCAAATGAAAAAACAGGGAAAACGTGGGACCAAAATGTAAGAGCTTTTTCTATTTACACACGGATATATATATATGTGTGTGTGTGTGTGTCTGTAACTCTCTTCTGGTCCTGATTTATTATTTATTTATTTATTTATTTTTTTTTTTGTGTTTGATAAATTATTATTTTTCATGATTTTGTTTTATTTACAGGTAATGCAGAGAGATTATGGTGTTCTACTAGGTAGTTGAAGATAAGTTTTAATTAATTTGTTATGATTGTTAATTTGATTGTTGAATCAATGAATAATGTTTATATTATGTATTTACTGTTAATTTTATATTGCGAACAAGTACATCAAAATGAATGGCATAAGCAAAATAGAGTTTTTATTTATTTGTCTAAACCGAAAACTCCAATTGTCTAACTCTTTGGCTGTCCCATGTTTCTTTGAAGTTGCAAAACTCACAAGCACTGCACATGTGATTATTCTAGATAACAATATATATATATATATATATATATATATATATATATATATATATATATAGAAATTAGTGTTTAGATATATGCATTCCGTAGTTTCTAATGCTTTTTGGGTGTTACAGTCAGTCAGTTTACATTGTATGGGATTTTGAAGGGTAACAAGCCAGATTTTCATGTTGCTATGTCACCCGAGAGAGCAAAACCTTTCTATGCTTCTCTAGTTGATAAATTCCAGAAGTCCTACAACCCCGATGCAGTAAAAGGTAAAAGTGCTTTTCGTATTGTTTGCTTACTGTTGTTCTTCAATATGGCTACAAATTTGTATCTACTTTGTTGAAGTTATTCATTTACTTGATACTTTTTTGTATAATGTTTTGTATATAAAACATCAACTGCAGAACTAGTTAGTTCTTTTGGATTATGTATTGAATAGAATATTGGTGTTGGTGGATAATAATATCATAGAGCATAGTCTATTTGCAGGTCTAGAAACATCTTGAGACAGAATAGATCTTGCTAAAAGAAACTGCTGCCATTTCAATCGGTTTCATTACGTGCATTCATATTAATTTATTATTGTTTTTTTTGTTTTTATTTTTGTTGTTGGGGGAGTGGGGTTGAGGGTGGTGCATTTTGTGCTAAATTAAAATTGTGCCTACAGAAATTCATGGACATATATTATTAGATCAATTTGATATTATTTTCCTACCCATTATGTCCGCAACTTCTCTTGTGACCAACGTTCCCAACCATATTGAAATAGAATTGATTATTCCTGTAGATTGTTCCTCCCGCCAAGTTGTATAGGATTTTCTCTACTCTCATCCACATCTCTGCGTTTTTCTCTATCCTGCCTGGTTGAATTGGGTGCCAATTGGATGATTTAGTGCAAATAACTTGGAGGTTTCGACCGCTGGACACAACCTGTTGCATTTAATAAATCACACAAGAAAGGAGGGAATCTTGGTATCAAGTCTGTTATATGATTGAGGTGGTGTCTTGCACTGTCAAGTATCAAGTTAGGTAAATCCTTTTTTCATTTTTGTTAATTTGGCTGTTGTTCAATGTTTCTCTAAATTTTGCAACATTTGATTCAAATGATCTATAAAGTGAAATTTAGGACTTTAACAATAACGTATTCAAATAACAAGCCAGACCGTACAACAGGAATGATCTCAGGTTAAGGTTAATTAAAATTCAGTTGGCATTATGTTTGTTAAGCTTAATGAGCTTGTATATGTTACATTACAGTAATGTAGGTATACCATACTATTAGTCAGCAGGATGATATAGAAATATTGTTACGCCATACATTCATTGAAGAAAGACATGTTAATTTAATGCAGGTATATAACTATATATATATACGTATATATATTGAAGAAAGACATGTTAATTTCATGCAGGTAAATGACTGCAAACTTCTTATTAATCCTTTTCTAAAATATGTACCATTGCATATTTGGTATTGATTCCTTTTTATCCTCTTACCACAGATGGTATATTTGGAGCAATGATGAAGGTGAGGGAACCATAACACTGTTTCTGAATAGCACTAGAATGTATTGTTACTATTATTAGCGTTACTAGTAGTAGTCACAAGGGGAGAGGGGTGGAAGGGCAGAATTTTTTTGGGGCACTATTCTAACAAGATTTTCTGATTGTTGGAAGGTCAACCTGGTTAATGACGGCCCAGTTACAATGCAGCTTGACTCGTCACAACCGTCCAAGTGAGTTCGTACCACAACCAATTCGGACCTTATGTGATTTCCATGCAATGTGCTCATACTTCATACTGTAGTTAAGATGGTTCCACAATTGCTGCCTTATTTCACCATTTCAGGAATGCAAATGATGCAGTTGAAGAACCATAAATGGCTTGATAGGCTTCCGCTGTCGGATTAACTAAAAGGTTCAGTTTTGGCTAGAATGACCGATTCGGATACAGGTTCCTTGTATGTGCCATAATGTTCTTGGTAGCCTGGAGTAAACGCCATGAGTTCTTTAATCATAGCTGTTCTCCAACTAAAATAATTATTTGCAGTTTGAACAACCCTTTTTATCTCAGAAATTATGCTTGGTTGCTTTGCTGGATTTTCCATATTTGAAATAAGATGTCTTTCAATGCTTCTTTTTGCTCAAAATTTTGAGACATCAGAAAAGGTTGGCATCCCAGGAATTGGAAAGAAAAAAGAGATATCAACTTGCTTCTTGCAGACTTTTTGTGAGCTTCTTGAATTCATCATATTTTGATTGATGCTATATTTAGTAGAACTGAATCGGAGATTTGAATTTGGAATTGAAGGAAATTTTAATTTTAAGTTAGAACTTAATTTTCTCCAATTCAAATTCAAGTTTGAAATAAATTTCTTCCAATTCTAAATTCCCCAACTTGGTGCTCCCAAATGTAGCAAACGCTCACCATGATGCAAGGACTATATGAACATATCATGCACTAAGACCGACAAATGTAAAATCATTTTCTGGAACTTTTTTGCCTTACTGTGGTTAGTTGAAATCTCATAGCTTCAATTATTGTTCAACAAGCTTTATAGCGCTCTCAAAATCTTGCAAATGTCAAATTAAGCCATAATAAATCACCTACTAAAATCAATAATACCTTTAGATTTACAAGTAATTTGTTAGAAAATAATGGGAGTGTGCACAATAAGAACGGGAATAAAATATTATTTTATTTTTATTTACCCGATGAACAGGTAGAAATCACCCCGGTGGGTAGTTAAAACAGAATGGTACAGGCTTCATACTGTCATACAACATAAACTGAGAAATTTCAGGAGATGTATATATATATATTCAGAAATTGATCTTCATGGTAGTTGTCAAATCTAAATTCTTTACACAACATGCAATGAAGAAACCTTGCACATAAGTGGAACTCTGCAGCGAAGAGACATTGCACATAAGTTGAACTTCTAACACAGCTGTGGCAAAAAGCCAAAGAAAAGGGGAAAAGTTACTGCCGTTAAGATTATCAGATCATCCAGTCAGCCTACACTGTTAACACTGAAGTTTCAGCCACTGTCAACACTGAAGTTTCTGCCTTTCAACTTCAGCTTCTGCCCAAAAGCATTCTTAATATTGCTCCACAAGGACTTCATATCCCTAATTCATGAGCAAGATGGAAAATAAAAACAATTAAACTCACCAACGTAATATAAAATCACACTTGAACAAATGAAGCAGCCAAAATATTGATAATAATTGACTAAAATTAAATGAAACAAATGCCTACAAAATGATAAAACTCTCAACGATTTAAACCCAAGGACACAGGTGAGTCAGATGAAAATCCAAGTGACATCCTCAATGCATTGATGGAGGCATGAAAATCAAATACTAATTGATACAAATGTATGAACAAGGCGAATTCTGATTAAGTTTCAAACATAGATATGACAGTTTCACGTCTCATACAAAACTATAATGAGTTCAAATCAGATTTAAAGCAAATGAAGCACAAAGATCTTCGTGAAGATCATTGTGACGAGTTACAGACAGCATTAAAAATTGTCTATGCATGTCCAACATTTAGACTTCATGAAGATCATTTTTTTAACAACTATCGGAATCAGAAACATAACTGTGGATTTTCTCTAAAGATTTTGCAATCCCCAATCTTTATGACAAGCAAGGATTGAGGGGTACTTTAACAGTGGCCTATTCCAATTAGGACCCTCAGCAAATGACAGTATTTTCACATCTTATCTTGGACTCTCAGAGGATTATGGTGTGTGTTTGAAGAACTATCACCTCCTAGCCGCCTCTTAGTTGTTCTGCATTGATAGCTCTTCATGCCTCCATTACCGGTAATGCCCCGACCACAGGAGCTATATGGATCCAGTTTAGTTGAGCAAAAGTCAAATAATAATCTTAAAGCTCCTACTATTTAGTTGACAAGACGCTTGCTGCTGTAAATAATGCTTCTTTTCCAAAAGGCAAAATCTCCATCTTCCTGCACAGTGATGCACAAATTTTCAATTTAATTAAAACGGAAGTGCATAGGATTTAAGAATGAAAGGAAATGAAACTATAAGATGGAACGCAATTATTCTCTCTTTCTAACAGCTCATAATATCTTTAATTCATCTTCAGCCTTCAACATTCTGAGACGTCGCATGCAGAATGTGTACTACCTCTAGCAGAAATGGTTGATAAAAGATTTTATTTTATTAACCCCCAACCGTGAAAGATCTAAGTCAAGGCTCAAGAAGCAATATAAAGCTTTAAAGAATAATTCCAATGAGGTATACAGTACAGAAATCAAGAGATGTTCTCCCATTCTTCTTTAGTACAGCACTAACATATTATGCACTCATCTGCGCAGTTACTACACTTTGCCTACAGCCTTGTACAGTAGAATAAAATGATTGTAATCCGCACAAAGAATAACCTTAAGAACTTCAAATTTCTGAAACTTACTCATCACAAGAAACAGACTACAAAAAAAGGGGATTATAACATAGGTAAAATTCAGGTCATCCTCTTTTTCTCTCACTGCTTCCATTTTTTATTTGTTTCCAGTTTCAAGGAAAGCAAGCTTTGGTTCAGAATTCACTTCTTCTCATTTTTTAAAATGAGACTTCCAAGCCTTAAAAATAGTTTTACTTGGAAAAAGTTATTACTCTGTTACATTGAATGTCAAGAAAAGAACAAATAAAATAAACCAAAGAAAAAAAAAATCAAATTGCTTTGAATATATTCTTGAGACACAAAAACGTTTATGCTAAAAAACAGTTCATAGAAAAGCTATCAGATTGCCAATTGCCATAATATGGAAAAGCATATGGCATATAGGGGTCTACCGCTCTAAGTCAATTTCAAGATCAACCAAGTTATTCCACATTGCAATGAAGAACCACACTAAAGGGCTAGCCCAGCACAGGGCTCCCGCCATTGCTGGGTCTGGGGAGGGTCTAGCCCAATGCACAAGGCTCCCGCCATTTGGGGTCCTTGATATTCCATAATAAAGATTAAAGACTGTGATAACTTAAGATAAATGACGTGGTTCCCAAAAAAGGAAAGAAAGATTGATGTAAACATTTTCACTAGAATACAATATCTATTGTAAAACAAATAATAAACTTAATAAAACATTCTGCAAGGAAAGACACAGCTGAGAAACATACTGAGAAATAATAGGAAACCTTACCCGTCTGTTCTTCTAAGGCTAGTAAAAGCAGATATCACATTCTTGCATATTTCCATAAGAGAGCCTTTGAAATCTTCTTTAAAATCAGAGATGCCTTCAACAGAATCTTGGGAAGCTAACGAAAAATAAGCCTAAAAGAATATATTGTGACCAACCAAATTAGAATTAGAAAGTGTGAGGGAACTATAAATACCTCGCTTTTATTGTTCAAATATTTATTTTGTGTTCACGTTTGGGGTGGAGGGAGAAATTGATTAACCATAAAATTTAAGTAGGGTGAGGTAAATGGAGTAGTACTTCTAGTATATTATGTGATCGACATAGACCTCTACAATTGAGAGAATTATTTTTTTTTATTTATAATAAAACAGCTAGACCTGTAAATGGATTGGATTCAGATCAGATCAGGTTTGATCCGACTCGAATCCACTAAGTTTATTTTCCAATCTGATTCGATAACCTAACGGGTTATTAATGAATCAATCCATATTCGATTTGTTATTAATCGGATCTCCAATCCGATAACTCCATCCATTAAGGGTGTAATTTTTTTGCAGGAGAAGATAAATTAAAATACGAACAAAAAAAGAGAAGAAATTAGGTATTTGACTCTTTGCAGGAAAAAATAGAGCAAGAAAGAATAAGAAGAAGAAGATAAAATAATGCTAAAAACATTTTGATAATATTTAAATAGTATATATATTTACAGCATATTATAATTATATTATGCCAGATCCAATTATTATTGGATTGGATCGATCATAATCCACACTCGGTTTGTTTAACTAACAGACTATCATATTCAAATTGTTGACGGGTCATCAAATTGACGTTCAATCCATAATAATAATAATAATTGGGAAATATGTAAAGGAAGCTCACAAACAACAAATTGACCCTTGTGCCTAGAGGAGTGATTCTTGTAGCCACCCATTTAATCCCCCATTTCTTTTTACAAAACATGCACATGATTAGTCTCAAAAAGAAAATCAGAATTTGGGAGTTAATTGTTGGCATCTTCGGAGAATGTCTCGTCCCCTTTCTTGGTGGTTTTCCTAGCTGCAAAGTAGGGTCTGGATGGGGTTCAGGGGGACAGTATCAACTTGCCAGCAACCCTCAAGATCTCACCAGCCCAATAGGTTGCATACCAAAGTACTTTGGTAGGAATTCAAAGTACACCCAATTAAGGGAGGGGTCATTTCACACATCAAAATAACCCTATACTCCTTTTAGCCCCCAAGCGGATGGTGTAAGAGTCCATGTGAAAATAAAAAAGTTAACTTTCTTCAACAAAACTATAGGTGCACCCAGCACAAAATTTTCTTGCACGTCCAAGCCTTTTTTGGGTAGATCACCTTTTGTGGCCCAAAAATGGGTCAAAAGGTCCAACTAAAAACCAGTGTTGTAACAAAGTGTTATCTACTCTATATTTCAAAGTGGATGATTGAACGTTCAAGTCGCCAAAGGGGCAAAGTGGATTTGTGAGTTATTTGCGAGGGGAAAAAAAGGCCCAACAGAAAACAAAACTAGCCCTAAACTTCCCTTCTCACTCTCAATATGATAATTTGGAAATAAAAAAAAATTCAATGTCAACTTTCCAATACAAAAGAAAATCAAAACCTTCTGAAAAACTTTGCAAAACTAAAACATTTTGCTATTCCAAACCTATTCTCAGAACATGTTATTGTTTCAAAATTTGCTTTTGAATGGTGAACTAGCATACCCATACTCAATATAAGGTGAAAAATCATTTTTAAAATTTTTCTTTTTCTTTTCTTTAACATAATCCACATCACTTAAGCACAAGATATAAAAAATTTAGAAGCTCTTTGGAGTAAAATTTGTGATGCAACACTTCTCATCATGGAACGTAATATTTCTTAAGCTCTATGGGAGTGAAATTTGGAGTGGAACACTTCTCGTCGTGGAGAAATACATGCCATCTGATCATCTCTGGCTACTAACAACTCCAATTCAAAAAACACCATGGGTTCACTGACTTGTTTTAATCTTCAATTTTCCATATGCACTCCCTGGACCCGTTAATGTTCTTTGTTTTTATCTCTATACAGTATAAAGACATTGATTATTGTTTTCCAAGTTAATGAAATGACAGACTCCTTAGATATGCAATACATCATCCATAAATCAGCACAAGTAAAACAATTAATTCGAATTTATGGATTATGTATTCAGAAGTGTATACAATCTGTAAAATAAGAAAAATCACCTGAAAGCCATGCGCTAAAAGCAGTTGAACTACGTCTGTGCTGATTTTCTTGGTGACACTTTTTGTGCTGTTACCATTTGAAAAGCACTTTAAAATTCCATTAAATGTCGTATCCTCTGTAGAACCATTTGACCTCCGAGTGCGAACAGAAGAAGGCTGCAAAACGAGTATTCTAATAATAATAGCTATTTTAGGATGGCAACTGCTTTACTGACTTCTGCAGACAGGTTTTAAACGTATAAACCAACCACCACCCCCAACCCCCCCCCCCAAAAAAAAACTCTTCTTCCCCTTCCGCAACCCTAAAAGAGGATATAGATCAACAGATACATGGTAATCCATCAACTAAGTAAGAACAACTACTTCATGAACTCAACTGCTCATTTGATTGGTCGACGGCAATAAAATTGCAACCAAATCAAACATTAACAGGTCCAGGGAGTGCATATGGAAAATTGCAAATAGATCAGAGTCAATAGAAATTGAGTTTGCTTAAATGCAAACTAACCTTGGCAATGTACTTCGAAAAATACTGCACAATTATGTCCAGCTTCCTTTTAGGTTCATTAAAGACCTACAAACCATCCTTAGAATCAGTAACAGGAAGTCTTGAATTACACAAAAGAACCACTCCAAGATGCAATAAAATACAAAAAGAATTTATGTCCCCACAAATGAAAGAAACAAGTATTGTCTAAGAAACTTGAAAGAGGATCAGAATAGTTTCGGCTAAAATTGGTTTTGCAAACACAACCTGTAAATGTAGATCTCTGACCTCCTAACATCATCATCTAGAACACATGGCACGACTGAAGAGTCACAGGCAGTATCTTAAAAGTTTAAGAGTGTGGCCAAAGGTGCCCATGACAACTGTGTTTGTGTGTGTGGAGAGAGAAGGACAAGTAGAGGATTAGAAAATTTAAATGACTACCTCAAGAAATGGAGATAGGAAATCTCGGTTGTAAGTCAGTTCATCTAGAATTATCTCCTCCAGTGGAGTTCTGCACCAAATCCAGCAGCCACTTAATACTTTTCTTACAAGATTGTAAGTAAGAATAAGAAAATTTTACAAGTTCATTGCATTGACTTGGTACAGTGAGAGAGAGAGAGACTTTTATTACAATATGAAAACCAGCAAATACCTAACAGCATCCGCTCTAGTTGTATGACCTTGCACATCTGCCGCCTTCTTTGATAAATCTAACTCCATGATCTAAACGGTCCAGTTTGTCATTATTAATGCAGTAATCGATTCAGAATATCCTCAAGGATAGAAGTAAACCTTACCATCAACAGAAGTTTCTGCACAGCATTACATGTACCCTTTTCCACTTCGGGCAAAGCAATTCCAATGGCAGTATCACAATTTTTTAATAGATCTGATGAGCAAATGTGACACATTTCACACATAATTGATAGACAATCCTTGATTAGTCCTTTGTAACTAATCTTTCTTGATCCCTGCATATTAACATGGTACTGCTTCAGGAGAGGTAAAACCAGACAACTATAATTTAAGTACAGACAGTAACAAATCACGGCATAACAGGTTACTTTATTATCTACAATAAAAAACAAAAGCATTTAAAATTCAATAGAAGTGAAGACTCTAAATTATAAAAACTTAAAAAGTATACCAGAAGAATGTTCAGCAATGACTCTCTCAGAAGGATCCAATTCATGGTTTCTGCAACAAAAAATAAAATAAAAATAAAAATAAAACCATTGAACCCATTAGATTAACCAACCCACAATTAATATATAAATGCACCAAAAAGTTCTATCAGAAAAACATTACCTTTAAAAACACAGTTACGGGGTAAAAAGTCTCCTTCGAGTACATTGACAAGATATTGAAATAGTAACAAGTTCCTGAGAGACTGCAACATGACCATGTCAATATTAACATGCAAAATTGTGATTATTACTGGTGCAAACTTTTGACAAATATAAGAATATCCTAATAAACATATATCATAGAAACAAATGCACCGAAAAAATGGGTGTGTGGTGATAGAGGGAAAATAATCAGAAATGAAAAATCATGAATTTTAGATGCTGAAAATGGGAGAAAGCACTTATATACTAACAGAGGCAAAAACCCAAGTACACATACAAGGGTTAATTATGTGATACACAATCCCTATATCTGCAATAATAATAATTTTATCCAACCCTAACCACTACCACCAATCCAACACCTTCCCTCCAAAAAAAAAAACAGAGAGAGAGAGAGAGAAAGAACTCAAGTAAGAAAAAGAAAACTTCGAAGCATGTGAGATCTAGTGAAAGATCATTCAATTAAGTACTGATGAATGATGGGGTAATGCAAGCATCCCAAAAAAATATGGTGACACCCTGAACTTAATATAGTGGTCATTACAGGGCATGGAATTTTGATTAATTGATTAAGGCTCTTTCTCTCGCTCCAGATCTGTATGTGCCCTGTCTGTAAAGAAAAGATTTGAGGAAAAAGAAAACAAAAAGACACCTCTACGGATCAATCAACTGGGGCTTCCCCTTATCGAACAAACCTTGTCTGACCAGAGGTGGGGGGATTTTAAGCCAGGATAGCTCCGGTCAAGCAGCAATGATGGCCAAATGTAACAGTCATTAAATAAAGTACCATCAGAAGCCACGCTGTTCAGTCCATACATCAGCATTTTTTAATTCCGTGGTAGTCATGGCAAATTGGCAATTGCAGACCATGACTCATATAAACTAAATTTTTGTCACCTTTTCCCCAACTATTTTTCAAAATTTTGAGTTCCATACCCTCCTGAAACACACAAAGATCCCAAGTATATTCCCTAAAACTGACCTTTGTTTCTGATGCTTCAAACTTTCTTTCATCAGCCACTTTAGCAAGGCTTTGTACTAGAAGATGAAAACCCTGAAATTTAAAGTGAAACTTCGATAAAAATAAAGGCTAAAACTGCAGTACTTAAGCTAATAAGAGAGGACTTGGCAAATAAATATCCTAATTAATATAAGAACTGAGTCTCATTTATCAATGTACTCAAGAGCATAATAGCAAAGAAGCACTTATTCACAAATAACCTTGTTCCAGTATATTTAAATATATTAACTAATGTAAAATAACGGCTAGGTTTAAAAAATGTATAATTTCGTTAAAGCGTTAAACTTACATTTTTTTTATTTTTTGGGAAGTTAAATTTTAAATGTTTGTCTCCTTAAAAAGGTGGAATTTCCAAGAAATGCTATTTTTTGGGATGAGATGAAGACTGTATGTCTCAAGCAATATCTAATATTCTTTATGGGCAATAAACTTCAAAATAAAGGAAACTGCAGAATGAAAATAAGCTTAGAGAATCAAACTCACAGCAGAGTCAAGTGATCCACCAGAGCTTTTATCAGCTTCCCCCCTCTCACCATAAGCAATATCCAAGCCAAAAATAAATGGTGACCAAGCCTTACATGCAACAAAGTGTGGCAGGATCAATTTATGAGAAGATTCATATGGAAGTCAAAAAAAAAAAAAAAAAGGAGAGAGGGGGGGGGGGGGGGGGGGGGGGGGGGGGGGGGGGGGGCGGGTGGGGATACCTCTTTGACCACAGTTAGTTCAGGTGAAGCAGTATGAGGCGAAGATGATTCGATTTTTTCTGTCCTGGATATATAAACCCGAGGGAAGCGCTATATTCACCCGAAACCAAAGATGTTAGAATATTTCGGTATATAAACAAGAAAACTTAAGCTGAGGTATATAAGGGTAATCAATTTACCTTATCTAACTCATTCAGAAGCTGATAACTTGCCATTATTAAATCCATTGAATTCTCATCCTTCAGAATATGAAAAATTGCCTCAAACATTTTTCTATTTCACCAGAATTTGCATAATCAGATAGTAAGAGAGATAAAAATAAGCAAATGAACTACTGATTATTTTGCAAAGAGCAAATCCCTCTGCCCTGTATGACAAAATCAGGGCATTACCATCATAAAAAAAATAAAATAAAATTCAAATAATTGGTCCATCTGCCTACCAAGGATATCAGGAAAGCATTGAGTAGGACCGTAACCCTAGGCTCTAATGTAGAATTAGCACAAGGGCCAAAATAGGTCTAGAGGGGTGAATAGATCTTGTCCAATTTTAACTAACAATAATTAATCTCTAAACTTTCACAGTTGTATTTAGAACACAACAATATGAATGAGTCAAGTATAGAGAGCAGCACTGTGAAAACATTTTTTTTTTTTTTTTGGGATAAGTAACAGCGCTGTGAAAACAAATAAATCATGCAACTGCACAAAAACAAACGACTTTATGTAGAAAACCTCAACAGGGAAAAACCACAAGACCTAGTCCAAGCAAATCAAAATCCACTACATGAGAAGGAGGTTACCAGGCTCTAACTCAAGAATCCCTTATTGTTGGAACATAATATATTGGACCAAACTTAATGATCCTACAACCAAATTTTACTTTTTCCGGTATAAATTTCATTACAAGAATGTTTATTTTATTTGCAAACATTTCTTTTATTAACATGTCTATTAAAAAATATGAATTTGGATGTGAAAAACTTAAAATTATGAGAAAAAATAAAAATATTAGATGGATAAGTTATATTATCTAGTAAACAAGAAATATTAAAAATGTTGGATACAAACATTAATTAGCAGTTTAGCATCTCAAAAGACAAGAATAATGATTTTAAAATAAATATTATTAATTTTTAACTTTATTTTAATAAATAAAATAAATGTAAAAAATAATAATAATAACCACACTTATTAGAGAGAGAAAGTTTAGTACTTGGTTGGGGCAATTCCATTTTCTGGAACTATGGAGGCAGAGCGAACAGCTTCAAGAAAAGAATTACCTAAAATTGAATGAATGTAAAAACAACACAAAATCAGAGATAAAGATGTTAAATTTATACAAAAATAAACTCCTACAGGGATCAAGTTCGCATACTGTCGTCCTTGACATAATGATGATCGTGATTGAATCCGGAGGCGTCAAGGATTGCCATCGTGTTCTCTTCGATTCCAGTGTTTCGCCTTCGACGACTCTCCATTTTTGATTCTCTGGAACTCAAACCCTAGTTACTTTCTCCGCACTGTGTGTATATGTACAAACCCTAGAATCAAGAGGGAGGGCGCGAATACCTTCTCAAGAAGACGAAAAGAGGCGCGAATAATACACTCCACTGTATTGCATTGAACTTTTAGAGACTTGAGGGTGGTGGGGGCCGTTACTCAACTTCGGGTAAATTGCAAAAATTCCTCTCAACTATTTTAAAATTGCAAATAATTCCTCTCAGCTATTTTAAAATTGCAAATAATTCCACTGTTGGAACAATTAACCCCTACCACCTAAACCCTCAAAGTTCCAAAAATTAAAAAAGTTGCAATTAATTAAGGCTAAATTACACTAATCTCTTCTAATGTTTTGTAGTTATATATAATAAGGGTATGTTAGTAAAAAAAATATAAATACTTTTTTTCCATAAGTTCCAACCAAATAAGAAAAAAATGTTACCCTTCGGATGCCTCATCTATTCTTTTCTCTCTCCTTTCTATTTATTTTTTCATCTCTCCAACCAACCAAACAGATCATAAAAAAAAAAGTCACAATTAGGTAAGGAGGATAGATAAAGGACCACCATCCCTCTGTTGTGGTGGTATTCAACACCAAATTCCAACTGAGAGGATGCACATCATATCATTCTATTCATTAAAGCACAAGACTCAAATAAATGTTTGTTGTTTTAATTAGTTAATCCCCATTAAAGAATCCCTTAATTAGATGTCCTCAAGAATATGAAATTAATAAGATTAAAAGAGTCCTGATCAATAATGATTCTAAATAGACATTAAAATCTAATATAATTTGCATATCATAATTATTCTAAAACCTCAACAAGAATATTACTATTCTTTTTCTCTCAAAAAGTTCAAAAAAATAAACCCTAACAAGAATACTACTATTCTTTTTCCTCTCAAAAAGTTCAAAAAAATAAACCCTAAAACAAGAACTCAAGAATACATTATTTGAGACAAATAATAACATATTGATGACAACTAATGTCCCTAACTAAAGTGGTGAGTAGCTCATTTAATTTTCTAACAACTTACTTTATAAACCACTGTATGACCTGTATTAATAAATGTGAGTAACCCATTCCAAATACATATAATAAATTCTATGTACGTCAACATTTCAAAGCAACTGTGATATACATCCCACAACATTAAAATGATGTGACATTCCAAGTAACCCCAATGACTATCATTAAGCTTATTAAAAAATACTTCGAAGAGACTTATGGCAACAATTGTGAGGGGGATTAAACTTAGACTGTGATAGGGATTACACTGAGACTGTGAGAGTCCACAGTGGCACAATCGCAATTACGGCTATCATTTCTGTAACTTTAAATATCGTCTTATCTATGGACTAGGAGAGGAGCTAGAGAGTGACAATTATTTTGAAGAATTATCCTTCGGTTCCCCCAATTTTTTATTTTTTTATTTTTTCAGAATTCTTATTTATAGGTTACTTATTAATTGCAATAAATGGTAGATTAATTTGCAAGATGAATCTTTCTAACTTACTTTTAAAAATCCAAAAAATAATAAATAAATAAAAATTGGTTTAGGGCATGTTCTTGTCATTTATTCCAATTTACTAATACATAAGAAATTTTGAATAATTTTTCTTTTAGATGATTCAGATTTGAACTTAGGTATCCAAGATTCCCATCTCTACTTTAGTAATTTACCATTAGACCTAATAAAGGGGCCAATATGAAACTTTTCAGTTTCAGTTTGGTCAATTCCGAAATGAAAACGTTTGAAATGCACGAAAATGTTTAAAAACATAAAATTAAACATATGAATGAACCAAAAAAAAGTAAAATAATTAACTACTGAATATTACTTACCAAAATAAATAAATAACTATTAATGCACAGTTAGATATAAAGGAAGAAAATTGAATGGAAGTGAAAGAATAAGAGATGAATGAGATATTTCTAGAGAAGATATTGTATTTTTTTATCGTTTTATTTGGTTGAATGTAAGATAATAGAATAAGATAATATTTTATTTTGCTTGTTAGGAGAGAAAAAAAGAGAGTGTTAATTATAAAGAAAGTTTTGTAATTTAAAAAATTTTATAATTATTTTACCTTTTTCTTTTGCCTCTTAGGTCCATATTTGGAGAGATGAAAGTTTGTAAAGCCCTCTCTTCTCTTCACTCCTTGCCTCTTCTCTATCAAACAGAGTGTGAACGAGAGTTCTACTTTGTACATTCTCCTTATAATCACGATTTATTTCAAAACGTGTAGACATGATTAAGGTGTCTTCACATATAAATATAAATTAAGCCAAATCTGCCACTTGCCCAGACAAGCTTCCAATCAATATCATTTTGCAACAAGAAACGATTATCTTCCACCACAGCAACAGAAAAGGATGCAAGCTAGCAATATCCTCACAATCACATTAATTATCAACCCTACTATTATTACCCCCCAATGCTTCAAAATCTTCGGACCACCTCTCACAATCCGCATCTCCTACCAGCTCTGCACTAGCAATATAAAATAAAAAGAAGCAACTCCAATGGAGGCATGCCACGTGGTTCCACCAGATCAAGCCACCTCTACACACCCTCTAAGACAACCAAACAATTTTATATGCACAATTTTTTTTTTTTTTTTTTCATTCCCTGAGCCAAGTTTGGATCTCACTGTATGCATATGACTAAACGAATGCTTGCTATTCCGTTTAGGACTTTGATTATACTACTCAAATAAATTGCACGGCTCATTTTATGATCTACATTGCCTTAATCGAAATTCGAACCCTCTTACGTGTAATTATTAGACTAACTTATATTCAAGGACAAAAGTGGCGCCACCCCTCTGTGGACTGTGGTTGGTGACACAGAAGCCCTTTATTGAGAAGTAAAAGCCCTCAACTTCCAACCCACGACAGATCCGTGGTTCATGAAGATTGAAGACATAAGAACACTTTTTAGTGGCATGTGATGAAAGTGGACTAGAAATTGGACCAGATTTGAGTGATTGAGCAGTGGACAACAAATCTCTCTATCTCATTTATATTGTTGTCTATTTTCGTACTCTGAAATTAAATGATGGAATTAAATTGCAACATTGATGATCCCTTTTCCCTTGTTAGGTACTCAAAATTAACATCGTTAGGTTCCCAACTGCCTGCCCAATTAATGCAATGCAATTGATTGAGATTGAATTTTGTGGCCACTTAAATAACAAATATTTTGGTCAATCACCAATTATCATCGTCAATGGCATAGCTGTTTTTGTTTTCATATTCAACGACAAATATTATCTGTTTTGCTGTGTTGGCTTGCGGGCCATCCAGGTCAAGGAGGTGTGGCTTTGTTTTGTAAAGTGAAGGATGTAAAATAATTTGGTGAACCTTATGTTTGCTAGGATTGAATGGGCGTTTTAAATTTAAAATTAAAAAATTTTTATTACAAATTTAAAATATTTTTTTTTTTCAATTTCAAATTCAAGATGCAGTACTCTCAAACAAAGGTGGGTTCTTCTCACGAATTGAATAATTTGACCTTTTTCATCATATCTGTGAACAGAGTAGAGTTAATCATAACAAAAGTGTCTTTTTCTTTAGTTTTTTCATTGAACTGAGTCATTTTTTCTACATGACAAGTTAGATGAATTATTAATGAAAATGTGTGTATATGTCTTTGTTGATAAGTACCTAACTTTTATGTGCTCTTTAAATAACATTATTCTAAACTGAAACTGAACGTAGCATATATATATATATATATATATATATATATATATATATATATATATATAATATACGTAGTATTAAGGAAGGGAAGATGCACCAATTGTATTTAAATCCTGTTAAATCAAATTTAAGAGTTAGATGATTTTCCACCCATAAAGGCAGCTATTAGTTTTAGAACCTACATTTTTTATAATGAAAAGACACCATATCACTATATTAAGTCAGATTAGGTATGGGTATATCACGGCATTTTTATGTCCGGTCAATAAAACTCCAACAAATCAATGAATAATGAATGATTTTGAATAAAAAAAATTTTAATTGTTGATACTCATTTTACTGTATAATAAACTTTTATTACCGGAACGTAACAATAACATGTTGGGTTCATCCAATATAATCTCACCAAGTCACAAGAACGACTTGCCAAGTGATTATTAACGCAATTGTGATGAGTTTATTTAGGATGGCAATTTGGTAGATTACAGCTCGGCAGCTTTCCCAATTGATCTTCCATTCTTGATAACTTTATTACAAAACCATTTTGATGCTCCCTTTCAAGATTGTAATTTATGAAACAGATACTCCGTATTATTTTAACAATATGATACTAGAGAGCATCAACACAATTTGGAACGATTGATTTAAATGGAATCCTATTATTTATAGAGTACCGATCTCTCTTTTGGGAATTGAGTTTGTATTAGCTTAACTATTGCTCATTTAGTATAATCAACAATATTTTGACACCTTTTAAAAAAGAGGCTATGTGTGAGATGATAGATTCCCACTACCCCTCAATCACGCTTAAAACGTAAGAGTTTTTCATGTCTTATACCATCTTTCTTCTCCACTAATCATTAACCCCTAATATTCTATTTTGAAAAAAATAAAAAATCTTATAATTTATAGTGCGAAGTATATAAAACAATTCTAAGGTTTAATTTTTGAGCAAATAACGTCCCTCTTTTACTTTGGGTATATAACTACTTTAAAAATTAAAAAATATTATAAATTAAGATATTTTGGCAGTCAACTAATATTATAAATTAGGATCTTTTGGCAGTCAACTGGTAGAATAGTACTGTTACCAAATCACGTGTCTCGCACATGACTAATTAATTGTATTAAATACCAAAAATGCCCTTCTTTGACTGATATTTTACTAATTTTTAACTTAATTTTGTTTGCTAATTTTTACTAAAAAATGCCCTTTAATTGAATTTGTTTAATGCCATAATAGTCATTTTATATTAACTAATTTTTTTACTATTTTTTATTTTAATTGTAGGAAAGGCATTTTAGTATTTTTATCACTCTATTAACAACTGAATGAGGTGGGAGGTCCTTGTTTACCCCTAAAATAAACGTTAAGAGATTTTCATAAGGAATTATATGAACCACATGAATTCTACTGGGTGTTAAATGCTCGTGACCCTAATTTATATGTATATTTGTGTGTGTATAACTACATAACTATCTTGAAACTCATGTATCTAATCTTATTAATTATTTAACAACAAAAGGTGTTACATATATACACACATAGTGCATCTATACCAGCTTACCTTTTAACCAAAAAAATAGTGCATCTATACCCAAAGTGCGGCAAACATCATCTATTTAATTAATTATGGCATCAAAGACAACTATTATCATGGATGAAAATCACCTCCAGTAAAATAGTGTGCTATTTACTTCATTTTGAAATGAGTAGTCTAGACATGGCCACGTTACCCATGTTTAGGATGTATAGTAGAAAAATATTGGGATGCATAGTAGGAAAATGTTGGGATGCTCCTTACGAAAATATTGGGATGCACTTTTACTTACAAAAATAGAGGAAATGAATTACTGTGCAACTGGAGGTCATCCTTGCCCCTATTATCATAGTTACAATTAGGTTTTTTTTACCCAAACAGTAGCCAACTGCATGAAACATAACACTAAACCATTTTGTACAAACAATAACGATAAATGCTCAACCTAACACAACTGCCCAAATAATGTGGCATATTTAAGGAGACCAGATATGTGTTACGTTGGCCAGAGTTTAGAAACAACAACTGAACTTTGTTTCTTACTCTTATTTGAAAACTGAGATCATCAATTTCATTTTGGATAACATCTATCAATCTATTAAGCTGGTTCGAGAATGGGTGTGTTGACACTGATGGTGATTCTCTTGGTGGCTGCAATGTCACTCCATGCTCGAGCCATCGACATTCATGAGCTGAGAAAAGTTGCAGCTAAGGAGAATCTAACATGTGTGTTGGTGTTTGGAGACTCCAGCGTCGATCCCGGCAACAATAACCATCTGGCACTGGCTCCCAAGAGCAATTTCCAACCTTATGGGAGGGATTTCTTGAACGGTAGTCGCCCAAATGGAAGGTTCACTGATGGGAGACTTGCCACAGACTTCATTGGTAACTAAATATAACTGCTACAGCTTATTTATTACATTCTAATTTTATTTTAAGTTTTTTAAACACATTGACACTTTTATAGCTCTGCATAATATATTGGGATGTCACATTTATGGCTGTGTGTTACTGTGTGATAATATGGAGACTTTGAAAAATTATACATACAGAGTATATGTTTTGAATTTATTATTATCAAGTAGTGTCATGAATTCTGATTGAAAATGTGGAGCCTGATAATACTGCACACTCTCAATTTCACGGATCCAACTCGAAATTTAACCTTAATTCTATTGTAGTATATTAGGGTTGTGGTCATTCATTCCAACAACTCTGTGATTGTAGTTCAAGTTTTGGTTAAGTTCTGAGTAAATTATTTTTTTTTTTTGTTTTTCGTGTTCTTTTTTCTTATTATGTTAATTTTCGAAACAAGTTTGAAGATTCACTGTGTTAAATGCGCAGAAATGATGATGGCAAAATCACTATATATATATATATATATATATAGTTATTAATATGAGTTACATTTGTATATTTTAATTGATGCCTTCTTTTATTTCCTTCAGCTGAGGCATTGGGTTATACAAACATAATTCGACCCTATCTGGACCCATATATAAAGAAGGCAGATCTGTTGCATGGTGTTAGTTTTGCATCAGCTGGTTCGGGATATGATGAGTTCACCGCCATTAACATCTCGGTAAGTTCCCCTAACACCTCAATTAGCAATTATTCATCTGAAAATTTGTTTTGGTTTCTAAATTTTTAAAAAATTAAAATGCAAAACAATTTTATGTTTTCAGATAACTGAACCAAATCTATCAATGTGTCTAACATAACTTTATTCATGACCAATATGAACATAAACTTTCGTGTGACTGAAAATCCGAACAGTTGAGAAAAGACTTAATTGGGAGATTTTGACTTAATTTGATTTTGCATTTGATGAGAATGCAGAAAGCGTTATCTGTTTCCCAACAACTGAAGTATTTCATGAAGTACAAGCTGCGGTTGAAACAATTGATGGGTGAGAAGAAGGTAGAAAAATTCATTGGAAATGCCATATTTATTATAAGTATGGGAACCAATGATTTTCTGCAAAATTATTACATCGACCCTTTTCGCTCCACTCAATTCACCATCGAACAGTACCAGAATTACTTGATCTCTTGCATGTTTCGTTACGTCAAGGTGCTCTCCCTCTCTCTCTCTCTCACACGCGCACACACACCTTTGTCATTCTTGTTAATGTTTTCATACAAAACAAACTATAAACATTAGTTTTATTATTTACCAAAAAAAAAAAAAAAACCAAAAACAATTAGTTATAAGAACCTAAGCATTAAAATAAGACAAATACCAAAAGTCTGTTCAATTGTGCTTTGATTTCCAACAATAATCACGAGAAATTAGACAGCTGTTTATAAGAAAAAACAGGTCCTAACTAATAGAGTTTGGTTGAAAAAATAATTTATATCACAAGTAAAGCTAGTGAGTATTTATTGTTTAGTTATTTTGTTGTCAATAGTACCACGAAAGTATTATCACACTCAAACACTAACTTTATGAGGATTTGAAGTCAGAAGGTAAGAAAGTACCATCGGCCTACTAAGCCTTCATTTACACACACACACATATATATATAGATATATATAAATACACTCTTCACTTTTCCATTATTAAATTTGCTTATATGCATCATGTTTATCCCCTTTTTTTTATTTTTTATTTTTTATTTTTATTTTTTCAGGCAATGCATACACTTGGAGCAAGGAGATTGGCAATTGTGGGGGTGCCACCTTTCGGGTGCATGCCACTTGTCAAGACACTAAAGGACGAGATTAAATGTGACGATGACTACAACCAAGTGGCCCTCTCCTTCAATTCTAAGATCCAAGCAAATTTGGAAACCATAAAGGCTACATTAGGCATTAAAAATGCCTATATAGATATATACCACATCATTGAGAGGGCAATACAGAACCCCAAGAAATATGGTAAGTTTAATTCATTTTTTATTTTTATTCTTCATTAATCTATACTCCAAATTCATTTTCACATATATTGTTCAAATTCTCAAAAATTAGTTTAGAAGCAACTTTAACTAAAAACTACTATATCAAATAGGTAATAGCCCAAAATGTACAAACCCTATTCCTTAAAGTGTGAGATCAGGAATTCGAGTCTCGGTGAAGACATGAATGTGTGTTTGTTTAACCTTTCAATATATATATATATATATATAGTTCAACCTCCAAAAAGAGTAAATCTCACATGTGGGACGAGACTGCATTGAATGAATTATGAACTATTCTAAGAGGCGACTGACCTTTTTTATCTTCTTAAAATTGGCAGGTATTGTAGACACAACAAAGGGGTGTTGTGGGTCAGGAACATATGAATATGGGGATACATGCAAGGGTTTGAGTACATGTGCTGATCCTACTAAATATGTATTCTGGGATGCAGTTCATTTAACTGGTAAAATGTATAAAATCATTGCTGATGAGGCTTTGGATGAAGTCAGTGAGAATGTTTTAAATTGAGTATTATTTGTTCGACAATATCACCCTCGATGCCTTTGTGTATGTGCTTGTGAAAATGTTTGAATCAGTGGTGATCAGAGGCATTGCAAAATTATTTTTATTATCCACTTTATGGAAATTTTATGTTCGACTCTTTTGAGAGCATTTCACCACATGGATTTATTGGATTGAGAATCAAAACTTTTTCTTTCATTTGGTGGAGTCGTTTTACCAATAGACTTCAATTATAAATGTTGAATTCATCATCATATTCATTAAATTAAATTAATGTATATGGATAAAATAGTTAAATGTTTGGAATTATAATAAAACTGATGAGATTCGTATTTCGATCTAGTGATCCTTGTAATAAAACAAAAAGTTAGGTGACCAATAGAAGAAAGGAATGCTTTAAATGATCGCAATCATCTTGTATGCAATTTTAAGTCCAGTGTCATTCACTGAATTCAATTTTCTTTAGAAGTTGGGGCATTTGGTAATTTTCTTTTTGGTATTTTTCCACATATTATTATCGGTAAATTACGTTGGGACAAATAATGTATGAGTAAACTGTTCAGCATTTATTACTTTGACCTCTATTGAGATTTGACGCATGAGCTCAAGAACAGTACTAGCCTTTTCTTTTCGAGGATAGCCATTAACCAAATTTTATAAAATGATAATTTTGTCCTTTCCTTATATGAAAAGACAATAATAATCTTATGTATTGCAATATAATATATTACTATAATATAAATGATATTACCTACTTTTCACTTTCTGATAAGCGGCAAACGGATGTATAAAAGATCAAAGTAATAAATACTAAGTAATTTACTCGTGTGTGATTTGTCCAAACTACTAGGACATAGGGTGTAGTTCACCTTATATTAACCCTTACCTTATTCGACGCCTATACAAACATATAGATATATACAACACACCACTGAACCGTGACCAGTGAAAGGCTCAACATGTGGGCATCACTTAAGAATTATCAAGTGGATCACTAGCATGCAATGATAGTTTTATTTAAGCTTTTGGACATACTATGGGAAAATGATAGGTTAAAGCTCGTGTATAAGCTGAACATGGGAAGCTTAACCTATTGTATTACACCCCTGCGAATCGGCCTCGATTCTTTTTTCTAACTTGACAATTAGTGATTTGTACACAGAACAGAAAGCCTAGGTTAGTTTGAGAAGAGCCAAACCCTATTGACTGGCCTTGTTTTTTGTGATGATTTTGGCTCTGTTTTCAGCCCTATTCAAATGCATTTAAGTACTCTGGCTCTACCCAAGAAATTAACAATTAATACCCAAAATTTTAAGAGAGAGAATAAAATAATAATTGTAATAACAAAATGAAATGATGAATAATGCTATAATGTTTAAACCGTATGCATCTTCAATAGATAGTGTTTAACAAAGATTATTAGTCAGATGCGCAGGGAGGGACGGACCTACAGAGGAAGGAGAGGAGGCAATTGCCCCCTCTAAATTTTTGTTTTTTTAGCATTAAGTAGTTATAATTTTCCTTATATACCTTTGAAATTTTATCATTTCTCCCCTTGAAATTATAAAACAAATTCACTTTTGCCCAACTTACTCAATACCCTAGGCCCGTCTCAGGTCAGATGTACAAAATATAGTTTCTCTCCTCTTGGAGTGTTTATTTTAAAAGTAATGATACAAAATTCGATTAATTTTTGTTACGATTTCAATTAATAGAGTCTAATAAGAATTCTTAATTTGTAGGTAAACTCTTGATTTGTAGGTAAATAATGAGAACCGACCCTCTTTAAATTCCTACAAAACTCATATCATCACAAATTATTATTATTACTATTTTTTTTTTTCAATAGATGATAATAAAAAGGTCAATACAAGATTATGTTAACTTAAGTGCATTTAATGAGTCTGTAATTACTTATCATCACAGAAAATGCTATTAAGAGAGCTCTTTTATTTCAAAAGTCTTGAGTTTTCCGTACAAAATTATGCCATTTGGATTGGATCATTTAATTAACCTCCGTCCCTGGCCTCTCTGTAGAGAATAATTATATATTATTACTCAGAAGCACACAACACACGGGGAGAGAGAGAGAAATAATTATAATAGCAAAAAAAAAAGGGATAAGCAAGAGAAAGTCCAAAGTTGCCTACCTGCAAAACCCAGGCAGCTTTGGCTCTATCTCTTGGAACTATTTGCTACAAAGAAGCCTTTCTTGCCGCCTTATTATGGACCAGTCTCTCTCTCTCCCCATGTTTCTTCTCTTGTCCCTGGCTCCATACATTTTCTGCTTTCAAGATATATATATATATATAATATATAGAGAGAGATAAAAATCCCTATTTTCTATATATATGTACATCAACCATATGAGTAGGCAGAGAGAGGAACACACCCCACATGCATAAATGCCTTAATTTCCTCCCACTCTTTCCCAAATTAATTAGGTTGTGCTTAATTTAGAAAGGTTTTTGACATTGCCCATCTTGAGCTCTCACATTCAACACGATCGATGATTCTGTTCCATGCACACAATGAAGAGTAGCTCCTCAAGTATATGAGTTTTCTTTATGCATGATTTTAGTTGCCTACTGATCAAGTAATCCACACTGGCAAATAGTTGATTCTTTCTTGATCAGGCCAGTTCCGTTTTCTTATGCTTTTAAATGGGGGTGACTTTTGAGTTAATTTTTACTTTTGCCAACAATTTTGCAGGCTGCAGTGAAGGCTATGTTTTAAATGCACCGTTGATCACGCGAGTTCATCTGGGATTGATCTGCCTGGCTCCCTGAATGCCAACTAAGAAGCTTGTCAAGAGTGTTGACAACCTTCCTACTTGGCATGAAGGGAGTCGAGCAGGTCCAAATGCACATAGCTCCTCTCCAGTAATGATTTTTCGCTGTTCCGTACAGTTGGTAAAATTGATGGTGATTTTTACCATTATGATGTTGAAATTTGACCATATTTAACTTGGGCGTGAATTATATGCTCATTGTGGATAAGGTACAAGGTTATCTAATTGGGTTATTTTTACACTTTTTACAAGATGTTTGTTGTTGTATTGTATGTGTGCGTGTCTATGTCATTTTACTGATTTGATGGAAGCCATCAATTTTGACCAATTAGGGAATGAAATGGATCATGAAGGGCTCAATCAAGAGATATATGGCACCAGTCACAGATCAATTTTGTTTGGTAAGGAAATGTTTGGCAGTTTGGATTTCTGAACTTCATGTATTTGTAAAAGAAGCATGCAACTTTGGGCACCTTTTGTGGGCATGCCATCTGTAATTTAATCTGTAGTGTGAAGTTGAGAGAAGATGAGTATGAATTTATTTTCTTGGACTAAAAGTCATGAAAAAAAACAAAAAAAAAAAAAAAAAAAACACAAAGGGTTCAAGATCGGCGACAGAATTCATTGAGAGAACACAAAGCGCCTCGGTTCTTATGCATTTTTTTGGATGGTTGTGCTCCGACGTATCTATGGGGGTGTTTGAGTATTAATTTTGTGAGTGAGGAGAGAGAAAGATGCGAGAAATTTGATTGATCCAGTTGTAATTTTATCTTTAATTTGAATGTCGATCATGGAAGCTGAATAATAATTACCTCAATTAAATTTACTCATCACTTGGAACAAATACGTGTTACTTGTTACATTGTTCGGGTTGAAAAAGTGTTTGGAAATAATAATTTTTTTCAAAACACTCCCGATTAAAAATTTCTTTCCAACCGACATGGGAACCTCTTGCACTGAGTTACTCTATGAAAAGTAAGATTGGAATCTACATCAACTCAACAAAAAATCGCTCCAGTAAAATTCAATTCATGGACTAGGTCTTGGATTAAATGCCGTGGGTTTCAATGGTATTTTCTTTGCTTGAGTTTTCAACCTTAAAAATCCTTTATTTTACTTTTTTACAAATAACTATTGCCTTGGATATTTTTATTGTTATTAAAATAATATGAAAATCAATCAAAATAGCGAGGCAGACCAATTCACCTCTATAAAAATAGGGTGAGCAAAAAAATGGTTCTTAATTTAGGTCAGGAATTTTAGCTTTGTTTTGAGTTAGATGAAGTACTGTAATTGGAGGATGATACCATATCTGACGACATGTTAATAATTTTTCAAAAGTGATTATAATTTTCCTGTTAATTATAAATTAAATTAAGTGGACCATCACAACATTCATAGACCTGCAGGCTATGGGTAAGCAAATTGCAATCTATTTGAACAAGATCTGCGAATGGACATTGAATATAATAAAGTCTGCAATATTATTATATTTTGTGTCTCATGCAATTCTTCTTATTGTCACCGAATACAATAGATCTCACACTTTTTCACCAAATTACAACAGCCTCAACATTCCAAACTGTCATCTCCCCCCTCTCTCTCTCTCACACACACACTCTCCCTCCTTCTCACACACATACACACAAAAAGGAGAGTTTTTGAAGTCACTCTCCCTCCTTCTCACACACATACACACACAAAAGGAGAGTTTTTGAAGTTTACAGGAGTATGGGTTTTTTATTTTTTTTCTGGCTTGACCTCAGTGACACTGGTAATGTCCGCATGTCCCACCTTCTTCCTCAGGCCCTTAGTCAATTCGACGGGGTCAACTCCTTCTCCGATCACCACCACTTTATTCTTCTCGTTCCCTTCAATCCCCACAAAGCTTACACCTGCTTCACAGTCCAAACTTCCATTAATCAAGCTATAAACCATTTTCTTGTGTCAAACAGATATTAGAGTTTGAGTATCACTAAGAACATATTGAAAATAACGATTAAAATAAATTATAATTTCATTCAAAAGTTCTATTGAAGTAAGATAGATTTTAATAGTTACTAAACACATTTAAAAAACAATGCTGTTAAACAATCCAAAAACAATTCTGTTTGAGTTTTTTTTTTGGGTAATTAAGAAGATATTGAAAAGAACGGGTGTGCTTTAACTCTAAAAATTAAATAAAACTAATTAATCAAACAAAAATGAAATGTCAGCAATTATTTATGGCACCTATCCATAGCTGGGAGCTATACAAATGCGACAAGAATTGACCAAAAGACTAAAGCCCTGTCTTCACATCACCGGCCAAGCAAGTTTACTGTTTACATCTAATAATGTACGAATTTTCGTTAGGCATTAGGTTCTAAGATTAATATGATCATTTTATCAATGATTTTTAAAATATTAAAATCATTGGAACTAAATTATAGACGATTTGATAATATGTTTTTGGATATATATATATTCCAATCATAAAAATTCAAATGAATTTAAAACATATATACTCCCTCCATCCCATCCATTATTTTCTTTTTACATGTTCGAAATTAGATGTCCCATTTGAAAAGTGAAAGCAAATAAATTATATATTTTCATCATTATCCTTTATCTTTTATAAAACTTCAAACTTTGTAACTATATATATATATTTAAATTAGAAGGGACAAGTTGGTAATCTTAAAAAAGGACAACGTATTAAATGCATGTCCCTTTAAAAACTCCAATTTTTAAAAATGGACCTGTAATGTGGGACAGAAGGAGTAGATAATTAGGTGTTCCTTTTGATCTTTCTGGACTTCAAACCTAAATCAAGCTTAATTTTTTTAGAACTGAAACCCTTCTATCATAGAATTTGATTAAATTGTATGATTCAATTTGATCCAATCAGATTTTTTATTTCTAATAATTTTTAGTGCATTTCTAAGTAGGCAAGGTCGCTATTCACTGAAGGTCCTCTTAATAAAAAAAATAGACGGGGCAATAAAAAATGCACCTATTGAAAAGCATGATAAGTGAGTTCTAAAGCGTTGGAGGTAAGATATAAATTGTTAATTATATTGTTTTTCTTATTCTTTATTTGGCATGTCAATTATTAATTCAGATATCATCAAGTAACTTTTTATGCATATGGAGGAGAAATGACAATGAAAAGAAACAAAATTGATTAATAAAATTTACTTATGAACATGTAATATTATTACAAGAAAAACGGAATTATTTTGAGTGTTGACAATTTAAATATCAGATAAAAAAAGAAATAATTAGCGAAGAATTCTAATAAGGAAAAGATTTGATATAACTAATCAGGTATGAAATTTCTTAATTTCTGTAATTCCTATATATAATTAATTTTATGAGGTTGTAGGTATATAAATATGTACAAACCTTCTGCTTTCGCCGCAACCTGGAGTGCCTTCCTCCGACATTTCTCGCATTTCATGCACACTTGCATAACTATCTTTTGCTACATAAACAGACACATGCAAAAAAAAAAAAAAAAAAAGGTTCAGATTTGTCATGTTACTATTAAAAAAATAAAGTAATGATATAAATATAGATGGAATATTTGTGACTCCAATTTGATCATAGTGATCAGTAAGAATAAAATAAAATAAAAAATTATTGCTATCCTTACCTTCATATTGTTGAGATTCTCGGCAAACAAACACTCTTTTCTTCCCAAAAGCCAGAGAAAATATTGAACCTACGACGAAGCTCTGATGCACATACAAAGAAGGAACACACATATATAAAGTTGTCTGACTCTTGGGTTCCTTGGTGGCAAAGTTTTAAACGGTTCGAGCGATTAATGTGCCCACCAAGAATACGAAAATAGTGTCTACTTAGATATGTGTTCCCACCATTGGAAACCTCTAGATTCTTGCAGAAAATTCTAAATTTCTACTACCTTGGACACCAAATAACTTGACTTTGGGTCGATTCTCTGGCTAGCCCACCCAATTACTTACTCATTTGCTTCCTTGGGCCATTATTTCCATTGGTCTAATCACATCACATGCCGAGAATAACTCAGAAAATGATGTAGTACGGAGCGAGTAAGGATTATTTTATTTTATTTTATTATTATTATTTTTTTTACCCAGAACTTTTTTGGGCAAGGCCCTTTGGACCCACTTTAAATTGGAGATACTGCAATTGGATCCACAACTACAACACCAGGTTAGTCAGAGACTATAATGGAGCGTTAGGGAATCGAACCCTGGACATGTTAGGAGCAAGGTCCTAGGGAGTAAGATTACTTTGCACTAGAAATACTATATCATTGATATTATTAATAAATCATACTATTTTCGCTCCATTATAATTATTCATCTAGTAAATTGTAACTCATACGAATTTCTTATTACATTAAAAATAATATATTTATTTAGTGAGTACTATTATGACATTTTAAATTTTACAGGCATATAATATCCATACATAAAAAATATAAAAAAATAGAAAAACAAGAAAGGAAGAAAATAAAGAAATTTGGTAGATTATGTTGACAAAGTTTGGTGCAATATTCCAATCACGTTGGGGCAGTCCATTTACCCCCTTCTCTCAATTGTATTCCCCGGTCACCAACACCCACGTTGGGGCAATCCGGATTCTCTCTTGTTCATAGAGGATTGGGTGCCCATTCGTGCATTAAAATAATGTTGTTTTGATGCATTGGCTTGCGGAGTCAAACCTATGTATTTAGATTCAGCAGTGAACTTTATTTTTATTTTTATTATATGCTTCTATTTTTGTTAAAATTTTAAAATTGTCCCACAAATTTTTGGTTAAAATATATACTTTCCCCACTAAACTTTTAAATTATGAAAAATAGGAATCATCTCTCTCTATATGTATCTATGTGATAAGATTGTTATAATCTCCGAACAAAAATTATATTTAAACAAATAAAAGTTATCATATAGTTAAGTTTTGCCTCCCCTCAACTTCTTTTGTTATTTTAATTTTTGATGCCTATAAAAATATCCTTATCGTGAAACCCAACACGGGAGAAATAAGAGAGGCAAAATATGCTTAGGCAATTTGTATTTTGAAAAGGTAAAAGCTCAACAAGTACATATATATATATATATATATATATATATATATATAAAAGTATTGAATTGAAATATTATCAATAAATATCTCTATATTTTTTGTATTAATTATCTTGGTTCAAAATTATTTCATTGAATAATTGTAATGAATTGTTAGATCTATTATTTTAATTAATTAATTATGTAATAAATAAGAAAGTAAAATTTTTTACTTATATATATATATATATATAAAAGTATTGAATTGAAATATTATCAATAAATATCTCTATATTTTTTGTATTAATTATCTTGGTCCAAAATTATTTCATTGAATAATTGTAATGAATTGTTAAATTTATTATTTTAATTAATTAATTATGTAATAAATAAGAAAGTAAAATTTTTTACTTAATTATATTTGATATATATAATCAATTAATATTAATAATTATTAAGTCAGTCAACGGTCTATAAAGTGTCGGTGTCTACTCATATATTTTTGTGATGCTTTTGTGAATTATTAGAGGGGCACGTGGGGTTGATTTGATGTTTCGGTCTCCCATCATTTAGGCCCTCTTTTGTGTTGTGACAACTAATTAATGTACTTTAATAGTAGTTTAATGTTCTATTTTTCTAAAGTTTTACTTCTCCCATCTTTAGTACCGAGAAGTCTTTACCTACTCAAAAAGTTTTTCTTCATCGGCGTGTTTCACGAGCTTCATGTATTGATTTCTTTTAGGAGTACAATACTCCACTTGACCAGAGACCAAAGCCTAAGAACTTGGTGTTGCGCCGTGTCTGAGGAGCTAATAAATTATTAGATAGTTCACATCGTGTGATCAATCAACCAATGACAATAAATAATACAATTAAGTGTATCAAATTTATTCAACTTTGTGATTATAGGACTTGTAGTAGTGACTGATTGGGACTAATCACGAGCAAGGTCGGTCTTGAGATTGAAAAAATTTTGAGAGGTCCTAAGTGAACTTTAAATATGAAGCGCTAGTAGTAGATGATGGCCTATCATTCTTGCTACATTTGGAGGCTGGCCCATCATTCTTGCTCCATTTTGATGGCCCTAAATTTGAAGGCGAGTTTCAATTGCTACATTGGTTATATTTTTTTTTTGGTGGCCCATCAATCTTGAGGTCCTTTATTTGTTGCATTTTGGTTATAATTTTTTTTTTTTTTTGGTGGCCCAACATTAATGGGCCTATAAAATTTGAGACCCCTTAAATGATTTGATACATTTAGTTACAATTTTTTTTTTTCTTTTGTAGCCCATCATACATGGGCCTATAAAATTTGAGGCCCCCAAAATTCTAAGGCCCTAGGCGGTCTCCTTGGGCCAGGGCCGGCCCTTATCATGAGCTATTCTTTTGACTGATTGGGTTGTTGTGATTAATGAAGACCTCGTAATCTCGGACTAACTAATAATTATCAAAAGAATTTTACCCGTGTGTTCTGACAGTATCCAGTCCGAAGATTAGGCAGATCTCGTTAATGGGCTCTGAAATAAATCTGGTTTGGAGAATGAGGCAACCCATAGATCGGCCCAAGTAAGCTTCGAGTCTTGAATGAGAACTCTACAAACCCATCCCCAATCCCATGTACCATATGATGAAGCCCGACCCAAACCAAAAGTCAGATCTGACCCACTTTACCCACTTTTCAAAGTCCAATCCACACTCCAAAGTTCCAAACGTGTCCTCACATAGTTGCTGCTAAAGACCACGTGTTATCACAAGAAGTACACGTGGAAAGGTATCAACCCTCAACGGCCGTTGCACTAGACACTTCACCATTGATCCATACTCTTCACTCCTCATATTTCCTCTTCTTCACGAGCAACACCCTCTCTCTCTCTTCTCTTTCTCTCTCTACTGGTTAATTTGTCTGATCACACAAAAACCGCCATGGCAGTTTCAATCCCAGAAGCCACCAATCTGAACAGAAGATCCGACGACGGTGGCGGAAATGGTCGCCAACAACCCGATACTCTGTCCTTCGCCTCCGTTAAGGTCCAGGAACTTCCACACCTCACCGACTACCTCCCACACCTCCAGACCTTAACGAATCCATTAGAGCACAACCCGTTCTACAGTCCTTCCGAAGGCTTCTACCTCTCTCCCTCCGACTGTTGGGAAACGTGCAAGTTTTAAAAACTTTTCGAGTGATTTTGATTCATAGATCTTGATTCATCACATAGAGACAAGTTTTATGCAAAAATATTAATATGATGTATCATTCAATTAATGGATTGAATACTTACATAAAAGGTCTGAGTAAACCTTTAAAACTTTCCTCTAAAGTGAATGTTCTCACTTATTGTAGATCCCTTAGCAAGATGCCTTCTACTTGGATCTCCATCTTCTTGGTAATTATTTTGCCTTTAGGAATCACTCATAAGCCTCCATGAATTACCTTGGAAAACTAGGTTTGTGGGAGCCTCCATTAGATGAGACCATAAACCCTAATTTTCTAGAGAGAGAAAATAAATTCCTTTTTCATTCTCATTAAAAATCACCCCCTAAAATATACATAGACCATGTATATTTATAGGCAACATAAAAATAAAGAAAAGGAAACAACAAATCCTTCTCCATCTCTAATTCATATGTCTCAAATCTAATATGATTCCAATATCAAGTTGGGCTATGAGTGAGAATCCATTGGGCCTATTATTTTATTGGCTGCAATGAATTAATAATTGGCCCGGTCCATGGACCCAATTCAATTAATTCATAAATTAATTTCTACTCCACTAAAAGAAATTAATTGAACTCCAATTAAATAATAAATAACCTCTAAGTCAATATTGCACTTTGACCCCTCTATGCATAATTAGTTATCGGATAAATAAAGCCATCAATCCGACTACTTAATTAATATATCTGTTTTGGTACCTCTGATTATTTCTGGCTTGATCACAATAAAACATTTGTTTGACAAAAATAATAATTTAAATAAATAAATATATAATAAATCATTTTGTCTAAAAACACACGAAGGCCTTCGAATTTACTTTGTGATCAACCATAATCAATACAAAATAAATACAAGTAGCAATGATGCAAATATTGAAAATATAACCCTCTAACTATTAATTACATAACTACCCAAAGTGTCGGTCTAAGGATCCCGAAGAATCCGCCGAACAAATCAAAGTAATTATTAATTAATAAAAGAGTCTATACTTTTCTCATGCTTAAGAGTCAAATGCCATGACGGTGATAGGGAGTAATTGCATACGACGGCTCTCGCAATATATCTCAACCTAACGCGGATCCAATTCAAGTCTTAATTAATTATGAGTTCATCCATAATTACCGACTATGAACAATTTATAATTACTATTTATATATCATGCATTGATTGCCATCACATACATATATATAAATATTTCTTGTAATTACATGGACACTATCAATTTCATAGTGAATCGAAACATAATACATTGAATTCACCAATTATATAAATCATAAATATTTCAGATATGTCAGGAACATATGTCACTATAATCCAGATAGGAATTTGGTTATAATTTTTTTTTTTTTTTTGGTGGCCCAACATTAATGGGCCTATAAAATTTGAGGCCCCCAAAATTCTAAGGCCCTAGGCGGTCTCCTTGGGCCGGGGCCGGCCCTTATCATGAGCTATTCTTTTGACTGATTGGGTTGTCGTGATTAATGAAGACCTCGTAATC